ATCTTTGCATTACCAGAGGAGCTATGCCCTCTCGTCTTCCATAGTCTTAGACTCAGATAGGACGTTAAACCAATCAATCAATCAATCAATCAATCCCATACAATACATCAAAAAGTTTTTCTATTGGGATGAGGATGACACTTGGGAGTTGGCTCTTAAAGGGTAGGACAAAGTCACTCAATAGTTTATGGATTAGCAGACTAGAAGCATGCCTCAAAGGCTTCAAGATTGTATGGATGTAAGAGGAGAGATGACAGAATGGTAATCATTTAAAGGAGGGTGGTGATGAAGGCTGGTTTCCTTGACCTTTTTGCCATTTTTTGCCTGTCCAATAGGTGCGACAACAAAAACATGACCTGGATAGACAAGTAGAGCTTCAAATTTGATCCTAGCAGGGTGCCAGCTTATTGCAATGCCTCAAGTTCTCAAAATGTGAGTTTTTGCCCTGAAAACTTGGGTGATGGGGAACACCAAGCATTTTGGTGTGCGGGCTTTTTTGGCAGCCGCGTGGCAGGGAAGGGTGGAGTCAACGCACGAACAGGTTGCGCTGGCACGTGGACGCGCTAACCCGTACAGGGAGGGTTTCGAGGCTTACCTCACAGTAACGAACAACGAAATGGGTCTGCCACTCGAGATGCAGAAGACCCGGCCCCGACGCGCTCTCCTCCACTCGTTTTCAAGGACAATGGGGCAGTCGACTGTTGTGTGGCTGGCTGCTGGCGCGAGCGCCGCCTAGAACTCTTGGTGTCCATGTTGCGCCTGTGTACCGCATTGCGGATTGTGTGTCGAAAATAGTTCCGTGGTAAGTGCCAAGCTCAGTGTTCTCATTCACAACGCAACTACGGCGCTTTCCTATGCAAGAATAGACGCACGTCTCAAGACTGTAACAATACGTACCTAAGTGCGCTGAGCGTAATACAAAACGTCTGAAAGATTCTACTGAAAGAAATTCTTGAGAGGGTGTGTGTATGATCCTGAAAGCTAACGGCCGGGAATCAGTTGCCTCAAAGAATATTCCTGCATTATTTTTTTAAATTAAATAAAGAAATATCATAGAATGAACTAAGGGCTCGTGGTTTAGTGGTATAATACTCCCTTAGCATCTCGCAGCTTCTAAAGAAGCTCCCGAATTCCTGACTGGGAGTGGTCCGGGGTTCGATTCCCCGCGAGTCCAAATCTTTTTATGCTGTTTTGGATCTTTTTGCTATCGTTTGTATCTTTTTGCTATTGTTTGCATCTTTTTGCTATTGTTTGCATCTTTTTGCTATTGTTTGCATCTTTTTGCTATTGTTTGCATCTGTTTGCATCTGTGGAGGTCGGATGGGGGGCTTGTGGGTGTGCTGGTGAAAATTTTGACATAGTCAAAATTGGGGAACAAACGGCTGGAACATTGAAACCCTAGTCTAGCATAGAAGATAAGCAGATGGCGATGTGATCGCGCTCCTTTGTCTGTCTGCTACGTCATATTCTGTTGATTGGAGTTAGTGTTACCGAGTGAGCATGCCTCTCACGTGACCAGTTCATGGTCGTTCATCCTGTGCATGCAGCGATATGGATCTACCGTCTATTTGTACAACATAGCTTGCTGTATTTGAAGTCAACAGAAGATTAACGTTGCTAACTCTGAATCTCGTTTGTGTTTGCCTTCACTCAAGATACGGACGCCAGTTGTGTTACCGGGCCGTGCCGACCGAGGAGTAGCTGCGCACCTACAGGTTTGTCCCTTTTCTCTTGCCCGCACATTTCCCTCCCAACTGTGTGCGTCTTTTCCTTCACACAAGGTCCGCCCAAAGTATCTTGCAACAGACCACTAGCATATGCAAATACATTTAGCACGGTCGCCTGCTGAGTCAACACGCAGTGGTCACAGCATGAAACTCTGACACCGACCAACAAACAATTAACGAAGTCACCAACCCCGGCACCAATATGAGCACAGCACCCGCAAGCCCTGCCGGCAACTCTCCGCTTCTTCAGCTCCCTCGCGAGTTACGCAACCAGATCTATGGATACCTACTAGGCGCGGAAGTCATCACGATCCAATGCGCCGTTACCAAAGCACCCAAGTCTCGCGTTGCCGTAGGTGGAGAAATCGGCTTCTGCGAGGCTCTGTACCAGAAGCATAAGCTTACTTACCCGCTAGCGCATCGCAGTACGTGGGCTGTGCCGGTGAACAATCTGGCAGTTCCTGCGGACGACTTTCAGCTCGACTCGTCAACTGTACATATGACCTACCAGATTGATCTCTCACTTCGAAAGACTAGCCCGCTAGCTCTGGAACTGCAGTTACTTGGGGTCTGCCAACAGCTTCACGCCGAGGTCGTTGAGGTTTTCTATAGCAAGAAAACGTTCTCGTTCACATCAGCTTTTGCGATTCCAGCCGCTACCGCTTTTCTTGGAGACAGGTCAACGGACGCACTGGGCTCCGTGCGATCTCTTGAACTCCGTCTGGAAGAGGCTCTTGGCTTCCCCCTCCTGGAGGGCGATTACCCGAAAACAAACGAGTGGTCGGTAATCCGAGATACTTACGGCTACTATCCAAGACTCTGTGAGCTGCTGGCTTCGCGCTGGGTCAGTCTCCGCAAGCTGTCGCTCATCATTGAAAGTCGCGCCATGTACTATCGCGGTACGCAGCCGCAAACCCTGCCAACAATGAAGCAACTTTTTGAGGGCGGTTATGAAGAATCTCATACATCATGGTCCAACCTTGAGCAGAGTACGTTAGCATCGTGGATACATCCGCTTTTCAAGGTCACGGGACTCCGCGCTCTCTCAGTATTTTGGTTCATGACTTCACCGACTATACAAAGAGAGTTGGACACGGTATTACTGATGGCCCAGCGGATGTTGGGGGGACGAAAGCAAACAGAAGATCTCGATGAGCTTATATTCAGAAGTCACGTTGTGTCCAAGTTCTCCCATATAATGGAAGGCTCCCTGGCTTGGTACAATTCGGATATGAGGCTCTTGCGATGGCAGGAAGACAACCCAGAATACTATCCAGACAGTTCGGTTCTGGATCGCGCAAGTGATGACAACAGCCAGCCGATCGATGCTCATGTATATCATTCGATCGTGCAAACGATGTTTGAGCGTTACAATGCCTTCCGGATTTGTCGCTTCGAACTTGAAGCTAGCGACGGATAGGTGTGGGCATGGTGTGATTGAGTCAAAGCAGACGGTATTTGAGACACATCAGACGGACGAACAGTGCTTCAAACTTTAATCATAGGTAGAACTACCACCATGGACAAGCATAAATCAGGCATACACACACTGACTGTCACACCCCTGTCGATGCTCTAATAGAACCCGTGTCAACTCCATGACGCTCCTACAGGAGCTTTTATTCTCAAATGCCGTTTTCATCTGCGCTGCCACAGAAGCTCGTACGCGCCCTACCCACCAGCATCAACTCTCAGTCCAATACGTTTTCTGCCGTCTGACGTGCATACACAAACGTGGTGGCTGCCCTTATCTGCACTTCTCTCCTCTGTCCCTTGTGCCGCGCAAAAAGCAAACATACATCACATCCGACCTTGCAGCAACGCCATGCACAACAAGGGGCAACGTCCGGCATGATCGTCTTGGCTGCATGGTGCATGCAGATGGTCGAAGATGCGGAATTTGGGGGTTTGGACTTTGAAAGTGAGAAAGTGACGGTGCAATCAGCGTGAAGCTGGTGTGGGGAAGGCTGGGCGTGCATATACGAGTGCAGGGGGTAGCGCACGATCGTGAGGATTGTTGTGCGGTTGTTGTGTTCACAAGGGATTAGTTATGTCAGGACTTTTGTTTCGCCCTTGTTGAGTTTCCAAGTAGTCAGAAGCCCCTGCACACACCCACTTGGGCTTGCGCACACTCTTTTTAGAAGCTTTGCTAGCAATCAAAGGACATTTTAGGGGGTGTCTTGACCTCGCGCACTTCCAAGAGACCTGAATCTCTATTGTACCATTTGCCAAAAGCCACGCTAGGCTCTCGAGAAAGGGGGGTAAGTTGCAGATGTTGCAGCGATATAGAAGGTGTGAGCAAGGTTGGCACAACGCGGCAGAGGCAGACACCAAATACGTTCCCCATCTCACACGTTCATATTCTCCGGGTATCGAAACCTCCATATACAATATTCTAGAACATGACTCGCGGACCGCCCCGTCGATCCGCTGATACCAAACGCAAATCAAAACGCCAACGCTATGCTGCCAGATGCCGGTCGATATGATATACAAATATGTCCTTCAGGTGAGCAAGTCTAGTCAGACAGCTCAATGGCATCATCCTGCGTGGCTCCCGGGCCGATACCGCCAAAGCTGCTTCCGGGCTGCGCGGAATGCTGATCCTCTTCCTCGTCGTACTCTTCGGCGTAAGCATCGAATTGTGTCGGATCGTCGACCTCATCGTCCTCTTCGTCTTCGTCATACTCCGCTTCTTCGTCGTCGCCGTCGAATGAGTCCTCTTCGGTATCGCCAGGAACGTTATCCTCGGCATCGACATCCACGAGGTCGACGCCACTCGCGCTGCCATCTTCGCTGTACTGCCGCTGGGTGTAGCCCGGCTGCGGTACGTACGAGCACTGCGTGGGGATGGGTGAAGACAGCATAAGCGGCTCGGTGCTGAGAGGTCGCGGTGTGCTGGTTGGCGAGCTGACATACTGGTCGCGGTACGCGCGGATGGCTTCTGGGCCTTTGCCATAAAGATGTTGGGGGACGAAGCGGCTAGCGCGGCCCCAGTACGCAGGCTTATTGCTTTGCGCGGCACCAACGCTCTTGCCGAGGATAGATTGGCGGAAGGAGGACGTTGATGCACCGAGGTTGGGAACGCTGCGGCCGAAGTTGTGGACAGTCATAGGTGACTGCTTTGGGGTAGGAGATTTGGCGATAAGGTCTCGCACCTGGGCAATCAGCAGGCTGGAGCGGCCTTTGAGGGAGGAGCGCTTGTTGGGGGTCGTGCCATTGACGGGTGGCGATCCTGAACCAGATGTCCTGAAAGACTGCTTTGCTGCACGAATGCGAGCCAAGCGCTCCTCGATGGTGAGCGGCTTTGAAGGAGCTTCAGGCTGGGCTTGGGGTTGTGATGTCAGAGATGCAGTAGAGTCAGACCTGCGTACGCGCTTCGCTTCAGCATCTCCCTTAGGCTCCTCGTCGGTAGCTGAGTCGAAGCTTCTCTTGCGGTGCTTGCTTGGGTTAATGCCCATAGCCCGGAGCTTGAACCAGTCGGTCTCTGTCCGGTCGATGGGCGCCGTCGACTTCTGGTAAGCCTCGGAATAGCTGCGCACGTGATGGCTGTTGGTCATTGTGCCTGAGTCGTTATGGCTCTGTGTATGATGTGATGAATCAGCTCGCGGTTGCGAGTTTGTGTTGCCTTGGGTAATTTGGTCGGCTGCCGCGCTTGCACGGCGTTCTTGCGTTCGTCTGGCGCGTCGCCCGTTGGTTGGCGCGTTTATTGTTGACACGCCGTTGGCCTGGTCTGTGCTCGCTACCGATTCAGTTGCGCGAGTCTCGCTCACAGCTTCACCTTCACCATTGATTGACTGCTCTCGCTGTGCCTTGAGCCGCTTCCTCCTCTCTCTCGCTTTAGTGTTACGCCTCTTTTTTTGCACCTGTGCAACCCAGTGCGTGAACACTGCCCGTGCAAATACCTTTCGCTTCTCCTCTTTCTCCGCCGCCTCACGCTTCCGCCGCTTCTCGGTCTGCCACTCCGCATGGCTCTCTTCTGCAACGTTTTTGACCGTGTTCTCCAGGAATTGATACAAAAGACCCTCCTCTCCGCTGAATACGATGTTTGATGTTAGTGCATTGTATGCTGTTTCTCGTCGCCGTATTCGTGCCAGTCGCTCCTGCTCTCTCTGCTGTTGTCGCTGCTGTTCCTCCCGGATTAGTCTCTCTCGCTCCTCCTTCGCCCTGAGTTCCCTCTGTTGTTGATCCCTAAAGTGTCGTTGTTTCTCTTCCTCAATCCGTCGCTGCTCCGATTCCCGTGCTTGTTGCGCTTCTCTTGCTTTTCGCTCCTGCTCTTCCTGTTCTCTTTTGCGCCGCTCTTCTGCCTCTCGCTTCTGCTTCAGCACAGCCGCTCGTGCATCAGCCTCGGCCTTCTCCTTCTCGGCGGCCTGCGTTGCGGCATCAGACTGTGGTGGCGACCCTGCCGGTGTAGTGGAAGCCCCTGGCAGCTGTCCACTTTTCAGTCTCGCATCCAGCTCAGGCAAGCCGGGAAAGACAAAAGGCTTCGATGCATCAGAAGCAGGTCGACCATTGGGTTGACCAAAGGCTGGTGTAGCCTGGCTAACCGATGGTAGCCCTGGAAGCGCCGGAGATGCATTAGCACCAAAATTGAAAGAATCAGGTGGTGTTGAGGCGGGGATCGTAGACTGTGGAGGGAACGTTGCTGCGTTTGCAGCGAAAGGATTGTTGTTGGTATTTGAGGCAAGCGTGGGTGCGAACTTGATCGTATTCGTGGTCGCATCGAAAGTCCCAGGGGAAGCTCCTCTACCAAACGCTGGGGAAGAGGTGCCTTGTACAAGCTGGCTCTGCGGGGTTGCACTGGCGAAAGGATTTCCGAACGGGTTCGGCGACGAAGTACCGGACGATGTTTGGCTTGGAGGTTGAAATGGCGAGGCGAAAGGACTGAGGTTTGAAGTACCATTTGTCGTGGCGCCGTTCGTGTTTTGGTCGAAGGGGCTCGGCTTCAGCGCCGGGGCAGTAGTCTCAGGAATGAAAAGCGAGTCCTCACCTCCAGTCCGTATTGAGCTCGGGTCTACCAGTAACCCGCTAGTCTTCGCTTGCTGCACTGTCATGCCCCGAATGATTGCCGAAAAAGCTCGATTGTGTCGTTTGGCTTCCACAAGGCCCTGTGAGAACATCTGCGGCTTGACGCTATGGGGAACGCCTAATGACTTATTGCTGTTGCCCAATTTTGAGATGTCCAGGAACGTACGGCCCTCCGCGTTCCGCTCAAACTGGAAGCCATATAGCTCGCAAAGCTTGACAGCGTCCTTGTCGTCGTCTGTCGCGAGCACATGCTTGAGTTTGTCGGTCGTCCAAGCTTCAACGCTTACATCTCCTTTACCTCCCCTCCTGTATGCATGCCATATTGAGTCGAGGATAACGTGACGGACACGATTGAAGCTGACTTCAGCGGCGCATGCCATGAGATACGACACGCTAGGCGATTTGATGAGAACCCAGAACTTCTTCCAGTTGGCATGCGCCTGGACCCAACTCTTGTCTGAACCGAAGTTGAAGGCTGATTTGGCTGCTTTGAAGATCTCGATTGCAGTCAATACACGCTTGTTATTACGGAGGCCATTCGGCAGGCTGTGGAGCTCATTCTCGAGTTGACTGTTGGCGTATAGCGAGGCTAGAATGAGGCGGTATGCGACGAACTCGGCTTCATTATCGGACGGTATCCCCGCTCGTCGATTGTCGTCATATCGTTCCCGCAATGTGGTCAAGGTCTGGTTGAACTGCTCCATGTCCTGTTGATGCGAGTAGTCCTCCTTCTCGCTCTGGGCCATCTGGTGCATCGACAAGAGGTAGAACCGCGCGGACGCTTCCAAACACACGAGGAGTGTGCGGATATCGGTGGGCTTTTCGACGACCTGGGTACGTAGGTCTTTGCGGACTGATCTGGTGCGGTCCCAGATCCAAGCGTGTAGGTAATCGAAACCTTCCTTGTCCAGGCGGCTAAAGAGGTAGTTGACGGTTTTCTGCTGACATTAAATCCGGACTCCTGTGCTTCTATCCGCTACTTACCAAACAGGCTGCTGGACTCCGAATGTCGATGACCAGCTCCACGTCAGCGCCGGCCGAAGATCGAGTGAAGGCCTTCACCATGCGCGATTCGTCTGGTATTCGGGCACTGTATTCGAGGTGCTCGGTTTCGGGCGTCTTCGCACACGTTAGCACCTTGTCGCACTGTATGACTGGCAGACGTACGCATTCTGGACGCTTGTAGTCCTTCTGATCTATCCTGCGCACCCTCTCGAATTCTGGACATATGTCGTTGCAGCGGCCGATCAGCTTGACCGAGTCGCTGAGCTTCATTTGCCCATCAGGGTTCATAAGCCCTTTCTCCTGCAGCTGCTTGCGCCAGCTGGGTTGCGCATTTTGTAGCTGGGCGCATTAGCCCGTATTCGTGTACTCTTGGCGCTCTTGAGGCTCACATAGAGGAATCGGTTGTGGTAGTCATCTTTTGCATGCGGAGTCGAGTTCTCTACGGTGCCGTATTTCTTCATGGGAACGAATGGGATACTAGTGTGTTCGGTCAGAATGGGCCACGGGCGACACCCGTGCGGATCGCTCCTGCTGTCTCGTAGTGCATTGTGTGTAGTCGCGTCGGTAATCGACCCGCAGCCCGTGGTGTAGTCGGAGAAGAAGACGGGGGCTTACTTCTTTGGCTTGCCGTCTTCGTCCGTCTCTTGCCCATTGTTGCGTGTCTTGCTCACTCCAGTCTGCGCACCCCCACCGCGCTTCTTCGCGCCAAACGCAGGCTTGTCGCCGGAGTCGGTCGACGCGCCACTGAGCCCACCACGCGTGCTGTTGCCGCGCCATACTCCAGTGCCTGCTCCTCGACCGCGGCCTCCTCTGGCGCCGCCGCGAGCGACTGTCGACATTGTCGCGACTAGGCCGTGTTCGATGCGCTCATGCGTGTTTGTGATGTGTGGAGGTCGGTGGGCGGGCGTATGCGAAGTGCAGGGTGAGGACCGGGTCGAACAATGTGTGAGACCTGCGCGGGCCGAGTCGTTGCTGAATGCGACAGGCGGCCGCGTTGAGGAAACAAAGAAGTCCCAGCGTGGTCGCGAACAAGAGCTCACGTGGCTGCAGCTCAAAGCCGCGGGAATGACTTCACGCTAGCGGAAGCCTTGGCGTTTCACGCGTGAACAAACACCACACCGCTCCATCCTCACTTTCATCAACTCACGAGATTCATGAAGCTGAAAATACTCCTATTAGGTGAAGACTAAACCGAGATTCGTTACTCATATGCTCGACACCGAAGTGTTGCGGCCTTGACTATATAGTTATGTTCACATCCTCCCTCCATCACAAACCAGAGGCACCCACCACCACGCCCTCTCAAAGACTCCCTCATCCCGGCTCTCCACCTAAATCCGAAATATACAAGCTTTCCACCCCATTAATATCCCAGTAGAAGACAGCTGCGCTTTTGTGTTTGTCATGCAATGCAGTCGTAAGCGGCGTAACATCGTAAGGGTATCTTGCATGACACAAAATTTTTGCCTGGACATAGGCCTGGAAGAATACAATGCTGAACGGAAGCGCTCCAGCGAAGGTGCCGAAGCAAGACTGCATGGAGAATAGGACGTGGTGCAGTGCTGGAGCGTAACAAGACAAGGCAGAACGCGCAAAGGAAACGGTCGTGAGTCGTTTTTCTGATGCCGAAACAAAGAAGAGAGGATGGACAAAACACACTGAAAATGCTGACAACGCTCGCTAAACGTAACACTCAGAAGTGATGCAACCCTTGAGGGTCGACAGGGTAGTCGGATGGCAAACCATGAAAAGTCATGTTGGGGTCGGACGGTGTGATTGGCATACTCATCGGCGTGTTCGGAAAGCTCATTGGCGTCGGGGAGAAGATGCCTTGTTCGTACGGGAACCCGTTGGCAGTAGACATTGGAGACGCGTATTGGGTGTAGCTTATTGGGGGTGGGGGAGCGTTGAACATGGTGAATGGGTTGATGAAGGTTGGGCCATTTTGCGGGAAAGAAGATGGGGCTGGGTTTGGGTAGTTGTCTGTGGGCTGATATGCCTGGCCGCTGAAGCCGGTCGGTGCTGCTGGATATTGCACCGGCTGATTGTACGGGACCATGTTGTATGGAGGGTGCATGGTGCCATTGTCAGACATCGTTCGTGCATGTGGCTTCAAGTTCAGGTCCTCTTCTCCGAGGTGCAGCCCATGCAGTGATTGATCGAAAGATGAGTTGGGTGTAGATGCAGTGCGATGCATCTTGCTGTCGTCTTGAGAGGTCGCGGGCGTGCATGGTCCGGAGATCGATGCAGGTGTGTCAGCTTTCCACGTCTGTCGATGACTGTCATCTGCGATGGTGAACTGACGCGGTGTCTGAATCTCGGGCTGACTATGGGCAGTCATAGGTCGAGGTGATGGGGCAGCTTGAGGAAGCCCATGTGGGACCCTAGCCAACCTTGTCATCGTGTCATCTGGCTCGGTCTCGTCTCCGGACGCTTCACAGATTGTCTCTTGTACGGTATCAGGACGACCTTTGACAGTTCGACGTGGCCGCTTGGGCTGCTGTCGTCTGACGGGCCTCGGTATGGGCTTCCATGTGTGATGCTTGCCTCGACCGGGGTCTGCATTGCCAGAGCCTTCAAAGAGGCTGTACTGCATGATGTGGTCTTCGTACGCCTGCGCAACATCGAAAATGCTGGGCAGTATTTGTTCCAGAGCGCGCTTCTTCATCTCTTCGCTGTGGGCGGCGCCCTTGGATGAGGAGAAATGGTCGGCTGACGTTGTCTGAACCGTGAACTTGGCCACATCGCGAAGCTTAGTGATCCAGGAACCCTTGCGTTTAACTTCATCGATCTCCCGGTGAACTAACATCATCTCGACCGCCAATGTTGAGAGGTCTGCCAAGGTGTCAGTCATGTCAGATGCATCAGAGCAAAGCACTTACCACTCTTCTTCAGATGCGAGGGCTCCTTGTAGATAACAGTGTTAGGCCACCAGGGAGGCGTGTCTGCTTCCGTTGGGAGCATCTCATGGTACTTGCCCCAATCACCAAGTCGCCTAGGTTCAAGAAGCTTGACCCAGTGCGTAGCGATGCCGCGTAATGGCTTCATGGTCAGCTCATCGAAGCGGCAGCGAAGAAACTCCTTGAATGCGTCAATGTCGCCAATGTAGAACGTGTGTGACTCTTCGGTCACAACCTGAACGGTCTCGTCGGTATCATCAACATCATCGTTGTCGACAAACGCCTTGCGGTTTGGGGCCAATCCCTGAGCAACGGATCGGGTTCTTTTCAGACTCTTCGAGTTCAGTAGACCTTGTCGGTGGGCGACAGGCTTTCTCTGCTTACAAGGAGCGGGTTGCCTCTGCGACTTAGCCTTTTGTCGTGGTTCTAGGGTTGCATGCTGGGGTGTCCCTGCGGAAGCGTGTAAGCGATCTGACGATGAGGCACAGCACAGGGCATGGTTTTCTTACCTGGTACTTGGGTCGGTGCCGGTTGGATGGGACGCTGTATACTAGAGGCGCGGTTGCTGAAGGATGCCGGAGAGCCAATCATTGGTCGTGCCTTGAACAAATGTTCATGGCCAGCTAGAGGTTTGTAGACTGGCTCTGTGCGGCCATCCTGAAACACCAGCGTCGCAATCGGTAAAGGTATCGCAACCTCTTCATCGTCATCTTCGGCGGGCTTGTCGTCTCCTGTAATAGGTGATACAACCTTCATTGTCTGGTCACTAAATTAGCCATCATATATGTTAACGTGATGACGAGCACCAGGCGCGAGAAGTGTCGTTCCAAGGTTTGGGTAAGAGCGGACGCTAGATCGGGGCGGCACATCTTGCGGGGAGTTCGGTACCGAAGCCTAGTTCCAACGACATGCAAGAGGGCACTCTGCACTCACCTTCGATAGAGGAGGGTAGTCACAATTCTCCGTCAGCGCAAATGGATCCTGGCCATACTCATCGACTCGCGAGCTCGATCTGTGGTTGTCGATGTTCATGGCAGGTCGCCCGCCCTTCGGTGCTGATGGGGCTGCAGCTATGAACCTCGCCATGTGCTGCTGCACCTAGACGCTTGGTGACGGCAAGCGACAATGATACGAGTGGCAACGGAGCGGTGTGCTTCAGCCGATTGTCGGTGTTCAACAGAGAATAAAGTGATGGTGCGCTATATGGCAGCAAGTGGGAATCTGAGCAGAGCGTTAGCAGCTGATAATTGCAGTTTACAAATGTCAAACAGCGTAATGCCATCGGTTGGCGGAAGCCTCGATTCATGCATGATGAGGCACACATGAGGATGATCGCGCAGCCACCAGTCTGTGGCTCGCTTAGGTTCTGACACTGCTTACCTCAATCAGGAACGTTTGGCCAGGGTTTGGATTAGTAGTCGGCTTGGTCCTTGTCCGCAAAATCGAAAGTCAAGCTCTAGAGCGAGGAGGGTGAAGATGATGGGAGCAGACCTCAACAGCGACAGGATGTTGAAGGCTAAAAGAATCTGGAGGACAATTCCGAGGTTGCTGCCACCACTCAACAGACGCGGGCGCAATATTTCAGTTGACGCAGGTGGATATCCGCTAAGGCAAGCGTCGACAAAAAGCGTAGGTTGTACACGTGAACGATTCCAGAGCAGTCGATATCTACGGCGCCAGTCAGATGGAACAAATGCTCAAAAGGTCCGATAGGAGGCGCTTGCGTCGTGGCAAGATCTCGAATTGATGGATGGGAACGATACATCCGAACCTATGGGCAAGGACATAAAGGCTTTTAAAGCAGGCCTCGTTTTGCAATAGCAGCCGCCGCCCAGATCAGCGCAGCAGCCCTGCTCAACAGCTTCCTGCACATGGCCACGGACCCGGAGCTCCTTGGGGCGCGACAGACAAGCAATGTCCTATCAACAGCCTAGTATCAAGGCGCGCGGAAGGGAGGAACTGGTAGCCGTTGAACGCCTTGTTCTAAACGTCCTTTGGATGCCGGGATTAGGGGTCTTTGATCTGCAGTCTACTCACATTCCGACATCCCCGTAGCCACGGCTTTGCCTCTTTGGGAGTCGACTGCATGCATAGAAGGAGATTTCGGTGAGATCGCGACAAGAACACGAATATGGTTCTCCGCAACTAGATCGCATGATGTATACACGCTACTGCAGCTCAGCGAGGGTCCATCGACTTGAGACATGCGTTATGGGCCGCTCCGTCCGCTGTCCTTCGCGAGAATCAGGCCCAGCACCAGGGTAAATTTGGTTGGAGAAAAGGCCCTTCCTTACAATCAGAATGGGTTGAACTCATTGAGCAGCTGCCAGTACTCACACTGCTTCTCGAAATTGCACTGGGGCACACGACAATTCATTTTCCATGAATACGTTCACTGTGCGTTCGTTAGATACCACCACTCAGCAGACAGTCTACTTTGATCACAAGCGGGAACCCGAACCCAGGATCTCCCTCGTACGCAATCCCTACTGACATGTCAACCACCAGTCACGGATGCAACCACTTCCCCCTCCCCCCGTCACGCCACCATCAGACCAAACGCCAAACGAGCATCAACGGGAACATCCGATTCGAAACAATCCAAAAGGCAGAAGAAACGCAGCACGTCTGAATCTCAAGCTTTAAGAATGAGTCAAGCGCTGCTCGCGACCGAAATCCTGGTCATCGGTCCAGATTCAGATTTCGACAATCGCCGGCTATCGATCGCGGGCAATACGAGTGTACGATCGTATCGCCCGATTTGGACGCTCGCTTGCGAGCCACCACTGATATGTGATGTGTTCATGTGGGGGCACACAGAGCTGCAGCGACGTTGGAACTGAAACGACTGGCAGCTGATGGCATAACGTCGTTCATATTATGTGATCTCTTCGGTGGCTTTATGGCATTGATGTAGAACTCAAAATACATGATCATGGCTAACGTCTTTTGAACTGCAAGATTCGATGGATTATTCACAAAACGATACTCTTTCAGAACTGCTCCTTCCGAGGAGCCCTACATATTCACCCGATATGGATGCATTAGCTGTCAGGGTACCCAATCCGTCTTCTCGATTCGTGGACTGATCGTCGGAATTCCCTTATTGAGCAAACATGTTATCTGTGTTCCACATGTCTAGTCTGTGTATGTCGTTGAAGCCGCGGGGGGAGCGCGAGGCGAGAGGAGCTTGACAGGGGTACGTCGAACACGACACTTTCTGCCGACAGCATGCACGCAAGCTTCAGCGTAGCTCTGATCAGGGTAGCTGCAGGCCCGCATGTTGAGCTACTCGGTGTTATTGCCTGAGGCAGGCAAGACCTGCACCATACACATCGGAAGACGTGCGGAAGGTGCGGGCAGCACGGCTCTTGTGCAACGCTTGACGAGATGAGGATTTGCAGCGCAGACGCGTAGATTGCAAAGGAATTGAACGGTAGGAAAGGCGGTGTTGACTGTGTTGAGATGCACCGAGTGTCTACTGCTTCTATATTCGAGTCTCATGCGCGCGCGTGTCCTGGCATATCAATACAAATCGTGATTATATCTCGGATTAAATGCCCGGAATACCCTCACCTATAACCCGTCTTTTCTATACCGATCAAAAACAACCCAGTAACAACTCTCATTCGCTCATGCCTCCGGGGTCAATCCGGACCCACTTCAGGACCAGTTCAGGAATCGTTGCCAAGCTACTAGAGGGATTTTACCCGCCATCAGAATGACAGGAAGGCTAGCGTGGAAGATGAGAGGTGAGAATCCTGATCCTTGGTCCGATTCTGCCTAGATCGGTATGACACGGCCTGACCCTGTCCGAACGCGGTTTAGGAACCTTGCCGATGAACAGTTCATCACAAAAAGCAAACATACAAATCCACACATGCCCACAAAGGGAGCACAATTCGCCATGCACATATACGAATGTAAACGTTCCAGTATCGAGACCATTTGATACGAGTTACGGGCAAACAGATCTTCAAAACTTCAGTCTATCGAATCTTCATAATTGATGTTGACGTTGTGCTGCTGCCCACCTGACATAAGTCAATCTGGGTCTTAGTGATCCTGCACACGGAGCTCGAAAGATCCTGTACTCTCAAAATGTTCTTTCAAGATGCTGCACTCCACTGCTGTCAAACCCCGTCTCATTGTGCAACCTGCGTATGCATCCCTCTCCCTCACAGCGGCATTACCTTCCCCCCTTCCCGGTGCTATTTCCGTACAGCAATTACACCTCCACAACGCAAGCGGTAGTTGAACGGAGACTTCTTTCGACCACCGCTTGCACTTCACACACCTTACACGCAGTGGCTTCGAGACATGTAGAAAATGTGTAGCGACACGCCCACCCAAAACTGCAAGCGACACGCCCATAAACACACCATGGCCACACAGCGAAACGCCCACGCATCATGACAGCCATGACACACGGCAACGGCATTCCCACACGACGTCCCCACCCGCTAGCGCGTGTCAGACCGTTGTCATCCTGCCGATGCGTCCTGCCCCGTGCACCATGGCTGATGGGGAAGAGAAGCCGCTGGCCGCCCGAGATGGCCAGGGCGCAACGGCTCGTCGCCTGCGATTTTTTGAGGAGGCTGGATGAGGGCCGAGGAAGGCTTCCCCCGGAACACGTCATTGCTCATCTTGTGTGCAGCAATCTGCAGGTTGCATTTGGGGGCGGGTTTGGTGTTGTGATTGGAGGTATGTGAGGATTACAATTTACTACTTTTCATCTACACCAGATCACCATGTTGCTACTTTTTACAGTTCTACACCTAATTCCCCTCAATGCTGTTGAGTAGATTCGCTTCCTTGACCAACTCGTAGAACAACCCCTTCCTCCGTACGAGTTCCGCCGGGGTGTCGAACTCGGCCACTGTGCCCCTGTCCAGCACAATAATGCGATCGCTGTCGAGAATGGTGTTGATGCGGTGCGCAATGGTGATGATAGTCTTGTTCTTGAACATGCTGGACCTGAGAGTGGTTTGCAGCATGGCATCGGTTTCTACATCGACGGCGGCCTAGGTAGGGTCAGCAACGAGTCAACGGGCTGTTAGTAGTAGTGAAACTTACAGTAGCTTCGTCCAGGACGAGAATGTTGCTGGGTGCGAGGAGGGCACGCGCTAAGGAGACAAGCTGACGCTGGCCAGCGCTGAGGTTGGACCCTCCCTCGTAAATTCGCGCATCCAGCTTGCCCTGCATACTGGCGATATGCTCCTTAAGACGAGCATGCTCTAGTGCACTCCACAGCTCTGTGTCATCGTGAACATGACCCGGATCAAGGTTGTCACGTACAGTGCCCTCGAAGAGCGCTGCGTCTTGGGGAATGATAGCCAGTCGTCTGCGCAAGTCGAGAAGCCCAATTGTACTGGTGTTCAGGTTGTCGATACTCACATGACCCTCTGACGGCTCGATGATGCGGAACAGCGCAAGCGTGAGTGAACTCTTGCCAGCACCTGTGCGACCGACGACACCGATCTTTTCATTTGGCTTGATCTGCATGTTGATGTTTTTGAGTACCAAATCGAGGCCTGGCCGATATCGGGTGCTGTAGTTGTTGAAGGAGACAGCGCCCTGCGAGGGCCAGCTGATTGGTGGCCGGTTCTTGGAGATGACCTCTGGCGCCTCGCTCGGCAAGGCGGCGTACTCAAGCACACGTTCCACAGAGACAATGTTAGTCTCCACTTCAACGGTCTGTCTGACGATCCAGTTGAGGGACTGGGTAATCTGAAGGGCGTAGGACATTGACAGACCGACCATACCGGCCTTGAGACCGCTGTGGCTCGCAACAGAGATAATGGCGAACCCCGCGGCGGCCAAAATGATCACGGATCCTAGAAATTCCAGGCGCACAGCTAGCCATCTATTGGCACTGATGGATGGGTAGTATGCCCTCAGGTTTGCATCCACTCGCCACTCATTCTCTAGCTCGAAGCGATTCTGCTGGCTGTACGCACGGATAGTGCTCATACCACTGAGCGACTCCTGGAAGTGCGCATAGATGGGACTACGGCTAACGCTGTCAAGGCGCTTGAGCTCTCGCGAGGTGCGCAGGTAGTAACGCTGAATGTACAAATACAGCGCACCAAGCGGCAAGATGAGGGTGACGAACATAGGGGTTCCTGCGGAGATCACGACCAGGGTGAATATAGCTGCACATTTCATGTCAGTCAAATGTGTCACAAATGCATACCAAGACGGCTACATACCTCTGGCTGAATTGACAAACAGCATGTTGAATGTTCGCCTGTGTACGTCAGAATTCTATTCGCGGATATCTCGGTGCAGGGATAATCTTACGCTAGCACTTCATCAACCTTGTAGATATCACTAAAAGAGTTCCGTCAGCAGCAGCACGCATCACAAAGGGTGGAAGATCAACTGCAGAATCTGCATGCAGAGGATGCATGATCAATGTGGCATGTGGGATTGGAACAAGACATTGCTCTGGCTTAGATTGAACGTACCTGGAGAACCGGTTGAGGATGCGTCCTGCCGGTGTTGTCTCGAAGAAGCTCATTGGAGAGCGGAAAATGGCAAACGCCATCCGCTCATGCAATTTGCGACTGGCCTATGTTTCGCATTAGCCTTGCGTGGCGCAGCGTTGAGAGCATTTCAGAACGTACCTCGATTGAGCAGAAAATCCAGAGGATGAGTGTCTGCACGACCACGAGAGCTGCAGATCCCACACCAAATGCAAAGTATATGCCGATGTACTTGCCCACATGTGGGTTGCCGCCGTATTGCTGATTCATCTCTGACCACTGCTTGAGCCAGACACTTGCACCTGCATGACGTTAGCGTCTATCATCTCGAGATGAAAAAGTAACGAGCCAATCGCGGATTACGTACCGATGGATGCCACCTGAGCGCCGGCAAGGAGTGCTAGGTAGATGGCGACTGCAACTAGGTTGCTGGTCTTTGCATACTCGCCATACACCGACCACTTGACCTTGCCCTGTTCCGAGAATTCTTTCGTTTGTTTGCTCTTGAGACCATTCTCTTCGTCAGTCGTCTTGCCACGTAGACCCTTGAAACTGGCAGTGCTGGCTCGACGAAGGGTTGCAAAGCTGTGTTTGCGGGCGGTACCGTTGCCGGTTCGGAGAGGAGCGAGATGGGATGCGCCTTCCTGAGCAGCCTCAGCTTCTTCCCGTTCCTGGTCATCATCCGAAGCCGGACTAGCGCCGTAGACCGTGGAGTCTTCGTCACTCACGACACTATCAGATGGAGCGCTGTCCTCGTTCTGGTCTTCGTTCTGCGACGTTTTGATCAAGCTCGCAATCTCGCCCTTCATTGCCATGAGCTGAGTGTAGCTGCCCCTTTCAAGGATCTTACCCTCACGCAGGAGCAGGATCATGTCGGCTTCCACTAAGACAGGAATGGAGTTGGTAGCCAGAATCCTTGTCTTACCAGCCAGTAGACCGTTGGGCCCGAGGACATTGTTGATCAAGTGTCGCCCAACATGCTGGTCAACAGCGGACAGACAGTCGTCGAGCAAATAGACATCAGCGCGAGCATACACAGCACGCGCAAGGGTGAGACGGGCCTTCTGCCCACCTGACAGAGAGATACCGCGCTCACCAACTTCCGTCTGATCGCCATCAGGGAGCTGAGCGAAGTCGTCACGCAGAGCGCAGGCAGCAACAGTCTTTTCATAGAATTGAGGGTCCCAGCGATGACCGAAGACGATGTTCTCACGTACAGAGGCGTTCATTACCCAAGCTTGCTGGGGTACATAGGCTGACTTTCCGTGAAGGACCACCTCACCATTGATCTTCCATAGGTCACCGAGCACTGCTTGTAGAAGCGACGACTTTCCAGATCCGACGCGACCAACGATGCACGCAAGATCGCCCTTGTGTGCGGTAAAGTTGATCTGTTCAAGAGTGCGACGTTCGGCGTTCTTGTCCCAGGTGAAGCTTGCATCCCTGATGCGAACTGATTCTTCACCGGTCTCTTCAACAGCGGGCTCGCGACGAACGGCATCGGCTTGAAGCTCATCAGCAGTCAGATAGCTGGTGAGACGGCTGACGGCGACACTGGCTTCGACGATCGCAGTGATGACCATGGGCAGGATGGCGAGCGGGAAGGTGAGGAGATTGAAGAGCGTCAGGGCGGGAAAAACAATGTCGGTGGTCAGGGGACGGTCCTGGGTCCAGACAAACACGCCGAAGGTCGAGCAAGAAACTAGGAATGGGGTAGTCGACCACGTGAAGGTGGAGAAAGCCTGAGTAGCACCGATTTTGCGCAAAGTCCTAAGTTCCTGGTCGTTTCGGATGTGATTCAGGCGACTGGCGAAAGCGGTTGTCCAGGCGTAGAGCTTGATTGACTTCATGTTATTGAGAATCTCAGAGATCAGCTTGGTACGCGCGTCCTTGTTCTTCATCTGTTCCTTCTGCAATGTCTTCATCAGACGTGCGATGACACCGTTGATGGGAATCATGATGATCATGACTGCTACTCCCGCAAAGCACGCTGGGCCGAGAAGCTGGTACAATGAAAGCATGCAGAGGACAATCTGGAAAGGGGCGGACCACAGCTGCTGTCCGTACTGGGCAAGATCTTGCAGACGCTGCGTGTCGACAGCCATGTAGTTGACGATGTCACCGGTCGACTTGGTGGCTCGACCCTCGTTGGAGAGACGCGTGGATTTGGAGTAAATGGCAGCGGTCAGGCAAGACTTGATGCGCATACCAGTCTCGAACGATCGCTGGAAGTACTGGTGGAGAGCGGCGGTCTGCGAGACAGATACGGCGAACATGCTGAGGGCGATGGCTGCGCCTCGTGCAACAGGCTGCGGGTGATCTGTCTCGTACGATTTAACGAAGGTGATCAGAAGTCTCAACAGCTGTGGCTGGGCGAAATTCAAGCAGTCGCTGACAGTCTTGATGCATGCACCGCGGAAGTATGGGCCCCCAAAAGAGCGGAACAGCGCCATCCATAGCGAAGGACTCTTCTTGTGCTCCACCTCATACCCCCAGTTCTCCTCAAATACCTCAGCGGTATGCTTGGTGGAGTCGCGTTTTCGCAGGTTCCATAGATCATCCTGGGTGAGGAAGTGCTTGTAACCGCGCTTCATCATGGGCGTCATCCAACCGAATGTGAGGACCGAGAAGACATCGGCGTATTCGTAAGGGCATTCATCGTCGTCACCCAGCGCGTCATAGTCGCTCAGCCGCTTCTGCACCAGCCACTCCAGCGCAAACTCAATCGCAGCCAATCCTACGCTGGCAGTGAAAACTGCGAAGTACGCCACATGCTCCTTGTAAAGCTGCTGAGAGACGAGCGAGCGAAGCTTTACACCGTTTGCGATGAGGAAGAGCAGCCAGTAGAAGAGAACGACACCGTTGGCATTGCGCGAGCGCCAGTGCTCGATGTACTGGATGTAAAAGATGACGAAGAGCGAGGCAATGGTGACGGCGGTGGTCCAAAAGCGGAAATCCCCAGCCCAGATGCCTGTGAAGTACTCAATCTGGAGGGCGGCTTGAACGGCAGTTGTGGTGATGAGGGCTCCAAGGGTAATCTGTTTGGCAGTCAGCAAGAGCCCGTCTTGTTGTACCTTGTGGTATTCTCCACCAATTTGGCGTAAAAGTGCCAGTTCTGCTTGACAGGCTGCGGCGTGCATTTCCTATACAGATACCACAACGCGCCTGCTCCTCCTACAATTCCCCACACGGCAACCACCATAATCCACACATCGAGGAAACATGGCGTGAAGTCGAACCGGATCGGGCTGATTGGGCCCCAGCCTTCGCCGTTACCGCATAGTGGCTGGCGATTGTGCTTCGATGCCTGGAGATAACCGTAGCTGACACCGGTGCCGTGCTCGAGCGGGGAGGAGGGCAGGAAGGGGATTTGCTGTCCCTGCATTGAGTGTGTCGTGTGCGCGCGGCCAGGCTCTGTGTCGCAGAGTCACAGGCTGGGCGGGTTTGGGCGGCGTACAAAAAGAATCGTCGACGCGCTCGCGTGGTTGGATCTTTGACAAGGCAAGAGCTCGGACATCCACCAATTCCGTCATGCATTCGGCATTAGCTCGTGGGAGGTTTGTCAGCGAACAAGGATGCAGCCAACCTTTTTCTGATACAAGAGAACTGCGAGGGTTTAATCGATTCGCCTATAGCCGCAGGCTCAGTGTACTCAGCGCACTACACAGAACGTCCAATCTTGATCCGCGGACATCGCATCATGGTTGACGTTCTAACACGCATTGACAAGCTTCGGACCCTTGCTCGGAGTCGCGAACCGGTATCGCAGAGCTAGGCTACTGTCACGTGCAGCCCGTTTCTCCGTAGTCCAACCCTCGAAGAAGAACGACATAGCTATTCAGCTAGGCCAACATCCTCTGAACTGATCCTTGACATAACAGTACCGTATTGGCCAAGTTTGAGACCACTGCAATGCGCCGATATCAAGCTACGAATTTTCTCACGATTATACGTAAGGAATGAATCTCCTAACTTTTAGGAGTGTGGAACCTACCATATAATGCGCCTGAAAGCAAGAACGATATCTCGAGAGTTGGAAACGAAGATCAGTTAAATTGTCTTTGGCGCACCTTCGTTCTACACATTGATAAGCGAAGCACAAAGTGCCCTTGGAAAGACAGGCTATCCTGTATCGAGAGCCCAGCTCACGGCGATACACACCTTGCTAATGTGCTGACCGGTCACTAGATACTCAAACGCCTTCACATCTCATCCCGCCCAAACCCAAAAATCTTCTCGTCTGGCACGTTGAGGGGTTTCGAGGTCACGAAACGCATGACATCCTCCAACTGCTGCTTACTTCCTACCATGATACCCCTGACTACCGCACCCTTACCAAGCGCAAGCGCCGCAAAATCTGGCATCTCCACCTGCGGACAAGAAGCAAGGAATCCAATGACAGCGATGTTCCCACCATACGCCACCGCGTCAAGGCTCTGCACGATCGTTCCAGCGCCGCCATTCTCGAGGACAAAATTTGCACCATGGCCACTGGTGATCTTGAGGACCTCCTGCGACCGATTAGAGTGGTCTTGTAGTTGATGGTGTAGCCGGTGCCGTGAGTTCTCTGGACTTGCGCGAGCTCATCATCACACGAAGACGTAATGATTGTGGTAGTGCCAGCGGCATTTGCGAGGATGAGTCCAGTGACGGAAACCCCACCGGTACCTGCATCTGTCATCAGCATGATACTACATGGCAAGAGGAGTATGCTGACCAAAGAGGAGCACAGGTTGTCCTGGCTTCAACGGGACGTTGCCGTACAATGCGTTCCGCGCTGTGGTCCCCGTGCACACCAGGGCACTCAGTTGCGCGAAGCTGAGTTCAGTGCCAGAAGGGATCTTAACGAGCGCCGAACTAGGCAATACGATGTACTGTCGGAGTACACCATCATAGCAACCGCAGAGGCTGTGGTGCTAGTCCGGCATAGCACCGTAGAGTGTCTTCAGGTCAAAAGAAGCGATGACCTTGTCTCCTTCGTCGAAGTCATCAACGTGGCTACCCACGGAAACAACTTCGCCTGAGAGATCGGAGCTGGGCACCACATTGTCCTTGATGGGAAAAGGATACTTCCCAGTTGCAACAGCAAACCCGCGGAAGTTGAGCGCTATGTTATTAGCCTTGATCAGGACTTCGTTGGGGGATTTCTTCCTGGTAGACCTGGGGATGTTGAATGCAGGTGCGCTGAGGCAGGCGGAAGACTTGTTGTTTGGCCATGGCGGTATCAATGTCAAGAAACTCTGAGGTGGATGATAGGGAGGATGTTGGTCATTCTCTATCCTGATCGTGCAGAAGGGCATTTATAGCTTTTTCTGGCATATGAAGTGCTGATAATTCGGAGTATCTCTCAAAATCACCATAGTCACTTGAGATATTGGTGTTTACACAAAAGCTTCGTTTTCTTGTGGGCGCAAGCGCAAGTGCAGCCGCCAAACCGACGAAGTAGCCAGGAGGCAATCAATCAGAGGGGCAATCTTCTTGACCTGCTGCCGATGTTATCCTGACTACTACAATCTCAATTATTAGGCCTATATCAGCAGGCCGTTCAGGCATTGCTTCATTACGAGTCATCGCAATGCAGTGAAACTACACTGGTTTGCTGCGTCCTACTCAGTGTCTATGAAACGATTACATCTGAGGTTACCAAGCGGAGGCGCCACCTCAAGGTAGGCCACTCAGAGTTACTTCGCATATATAAGTTAATCATTGCAGGAGTGTGTCTTCGCGATAATGTTTTCTTGATGTTATTGACGCGAAATTTAGTGTGAGTACAGATGGCGAATGGGTTGGAAGTTGCCGAATCATGCGAGAGTCTCGATGAGTCGAGCCGGATCATGTTTCATCAACTACATTTCACCGTCCGGTACTGTTGAAAGACATCAAGACATTTCCAACTAGAAGCTGTCTCGACACTCGCGTCTTGCGCGACACTTGATATGACAATGGATGGTTATGTCTGTGTTGGTGAAGGAAGGCTGAAGGGGCTTAAGATGAGTGAGACCTGACCACAATGTGCACACTGTAAACAGAAAAGGCATGCGTTGGTATTTGTTGATGCCCGGGTACATCACCCAGCACCCATGTCATCTTGGATCTGTTGCCGCACTAGCCTTAATTGTGAGCGTTCCGACTTCACAGCGCTCCTCCTTCACAGCGCTCCTCGAGCCTCTAGACAATGACCTTCTCGATATTATACCTGACCTAGATTGTGTATGCTTTGACGACCTGGGGAGCCTTCCTTATGGTTCTTTGCCAAAAAAAAACTGCTTATTGGTCACCAACTCAATACGCTCAATCCGATCTATGCGTGCTGGCGAAAATGGCAGGATTCGCAATGCATCAATTTCTTCACCGTGGTGGACGGTAAACACAGCCACGTGAGCCTCTCAGAACTCGCTCGACATAACTCCAGCCATTCTTTCGACAAACCCTACCCAGAAGACTCCATAGGGCTCGACAATACCGATAGCACCCGGCTTACAATCTTGGTCAGGTAGTCTTTAATTGCAGCTGGGCGCACTGAAAACAATGTGCTGAAAGACGTGGAGCACCATGGAAAACGTCTTGTTAAGGCGCTTCAATGGATGAAATCACACAGCCTGCCCACAGCGAACTACCTGCCTCCCACAGAGAAACAACGCCTATTACACCAGAAATAGTAGCCCCTCATTGCTGCTCATGCGCGTTCAGGACTGCCTCTATGCTCATACCACCCTGCCGTTGCAGCCGTGTCTCTGGTTTTGGCCCGGTGGGCAGGTGCTGAGACAGCAGTGGTCGAACGTATTGCCTTGGTTCCGCTGTCCCGCTGGTGCTGTTCACTTCGTGGCTCTGATTGATCGCAACGTCGGTATTATGTGGTGGCGGATGTCCTGGAAAGCATGTAGTGCATGGGAAATCTAAGTTGCAGCCAAACTTGTAGCCAAGATCTCGGTGAGTCACTTCGAGACTGCTTTCGTCAGAAATGGTCGGGAGGTTTAGAGAGAGAAGGATACCCATACCATAGCGAAGGGTCCAGCTTGGTGAGCTCCCCTGCAACGCATATATCTATGTCGCTGCCACCGTTGTCGCTGCATCCGAGAGGAAGATCTGCGGGGCCCTTGCGCGTTAAACCTTTGGCAATTGGTCCCGCGCATTTCGAGCTTATTGCACTGTAACGCGCATAATGGGGCGGACTACCTGCTTTGCCTTAGCAAAAGCCAGCGATGTTGAACATATACACTCACGGCTCATAACTGACAATGTCGCAAGCGCTGGTGTCCAACCTGCGTCGACCAAAGTGGCTATAACTTCATGTAGGTTAAGTGCACCCCTACGTATCGTCTTCAAATTGTACGCCGATGGAGCCTTGGCCTCTAGATTTACCCTGAATACACGCAACACTTTCGCTGTAACCTTGTTAAGGTTCTTAACGGCTAGATCAAGGCTCTCAATGGTCTTGTCATGGTTTTCGATGGCCGTGTCAAGGTTGTTAATGGCTTCATAACGTCCCTGAATGACCTGAGCGTCTTTCCATATGTTCAGGTTCTCATCAATGATACTTCTTCTCATCGACCTCTTCATTGCCACCAAATTGCTTTTTAGTTTCTCCTCCTTCGACTTTCTCTCCATCAGCCTCTTCTCCACCACAGCTGCGTAGCTGAAAAACATAAACAGCTGCATCCGCTTAATCGAGTCCGGTGTTTTCAGTAGTATCGATGCTGACATTATTGTGTCAGCAAGAGATGCAAGTATATTCGAGCCCCCAAATCCATCCGATCCGTGCTGCATTCGCAAGGACGACCGTAGTACACTTATATCGGTGGTGGACAACTGAATCGGTTTATCGAGGAACTGTTTCACAATCTTTTCAAGCGTGGATAGTGGCTCAGGTTGTGGTCTTGACGCCCGTTCTTCTCGTTCCGGTGGGCGGCCTGTGTAGATAATTGCGTCGTTCATGTTCGATGAGTTCATAGGAAAGGCTTGCGGGTCCGCGTATAGGCAGCTTGAGAAACCGCAGTTGGCGCAATCACCCGAATGCTTTTTGGCCCAGCGAGCGGTATGTCAGGAGCGGCGTTCCGCAACGGCGTACTCACGCCTGAGGAGGGGGTAGACGCGCCAAGAACTGGCTGGCGCTAAAATCAAGCCGGACACTTTAGGCTTGGCGTGAGCGTTACAAAGCAACAGCCACGAACAGCTCATGAGTGATAGCTTCGTGTCCAAAGTGGTTGGAGACATGCAAGTTGTTGGGGTCATTCAAGTCGAATGAAGCCGTCGAGTATCACCTGTCGAGAACACAACGTGAGTGTCTGCGCGGTGCCCATGGAAGACCAGTTACACCCCGTGACTTGCGGGGTGTTCCCGCACACGGACATACCGTGTCTGTGCGCGCAATGCGCCGAAACACCAAAATCATCAATCCAAAATTGAGGCTGTAGAGCCACACACAATGGTTATTATTATGAGAATTTCTGGTGGAGTAGTCTATAGACCTATATGAACAAGTTTCTCACTCTAACTTTTGTGGTGCTCTGATTGGGCAGCCACGGCTGTTGTATTTTGCCGGAGGGGATGGGGAGCAAGGCGCAGCAGCAGCACAACCACGGGCAGCTGCACTACCACAATTCTGCTTCTTTCTGGGTGCTGCAACCTCTGAGGCCTTGCGCTTGCCTCTTTGGGACAATTGTATAGGTTTTTTTTTGGTGTTGCGCTGTTACGATCAAAGGGCAACCCGCAACAACACTGAACAAACAGGACTACGCAACGATACGAGAGGAGCCGAGGAACTGTAGTATCGATCGACCCGAGCAGTGGGGCCGCGTCGGCGATACTCAGTATGATCATCACTCTCAGTTGAGCAACTCAAGCGACTCGATTGACCCGAGCAGTGAGGCCGCGTCGGCGATACTCGGCACGAGCAGTATACTCGGTACGAGCAGTATACTCTGTACTACTCATTGCAACCAGTCGCCACGGTCTTTGACTAGCCGACTACCTGACTATTTACGAAAGTTATTACAACCCGCCCGGATAGTCTACCCCTGACCACCCGAGCTTTGCTTAGGTGACTGTCAACCCCTACGGCCTCCCTGTACCTCTGCTCATCCCCAAGAACCAATCGACTAGTGTCTACGAGCTTTGCTTAAGGCACGAATCGCAACAAGTACTTACGAGCTTTGCTTAAAGTACAACTTCAACAGTTGCCTTGTATAGTAGTGCTCCCAGAACCGTCCCAAGTAGATCCTTGCCTGAACAGGAAATAACCTATATATAAAAGAGACATTGCATCTAGTAAAATATTACTAAAATAGGCAATGGTCATGTGACTGATTTCCAAAAAAAAGGAAATCACTACAGGAGTATTCTCTAGACTATAACAAGTAACCGGGGTTTCTATACTTTACCAAGGGTAGCTAGTCCAGGGCCCAGTATGCCGTAGGGCATGTTGGATTGTAGGAAGATATTGCAAAGTTGAGTGAGTTGTAGACAAGAACTTTGTTGGTAGTGATGTGAGTGCACAAGAGCAGTACTGTGGAAGATTGTATTCTTGACTGCGGAGATGCTAACTATGCTGCGGCAGATGAACTCCTCCCACTTCCAATACTTCTTGGAGTACTGTAGCAGAGGCTGCCCAAGTTGCAATCGTGTTACCATTGACCTTTGTAGTGATCTTCAAAGCAATCAATCTGACGACTTGGCGGCTAACAGACCTAGCAAGTCCATGGATGGGGTGTAGCTGGTCGTTTGAAAACACCTACAGTCCTCACAGTGGTTTCCTCCACACAAACCGTAGTTCAGATAGTAACAATACTACACATGACATCCATACTTGTACCTATGAACAGTATTGATGGTAATGGGATTGAGTTACTCTCAAAGAGGGGGAAGTAACTCGACAATGCGCAGAACGCGTCGATAGAAGTGAGTATCAAGAATACAAAGGTTACTTTCCTCTCATGGTAAATAGAGATGTGTCATCCAAATCTTGTAAACACTATCTTGACTTCTTGGAAGCATCGTTGGGAACGGAACGGCGATACAAACTTGAGTGTAGGGTTCAGTATTCCACTCACCAAAAACTCGTCTACCTCCAACCCGTATCAAGGCAGGATAAGACTGAGCTACGAATTGCCACGTATACTTGCCCACAGTCACCCAAGACCTCCGGTCGCTACCCAGGCAACTGATTCCCACGTAGACGCATATACTTGTCCATCATCGCCTTCAGTACAGAAGTTTCAGAGCACCCAAATGCAACCGAGTTTCCCAGTCCACTCAATCCCAGCCACAAGAATATACTCAGTGCTATGCCAGTCTTTTGCAAGAGTCACATCTTTATCAGTAGTATTAACGTCCGGAAATGTCTCGCAGTATTGGAGACCGCCGAGCTGGCAGGAGACGAAGCCAGTGTCATCATTCGTGCTCGTGAAGTCGCCGGGTTTGATGGATTCTGGTGATTTGGATGCGTCTGGTTTCGGTGATGCACTTCTGCTATTGGTATTGTTGTTCATGCCGTACTTGCCGTACTTGTTATCGGGAGTCGAAAACCTCTCGACTTTCCCGAGGAGCTCGTCAAAAATTTCAAAGCAATTCATTTCGCCGTCCTCATCCTCGTCGTCGGAACTGTGGGCGTCGGAGTCATCCAGGCATCGATAAATGCCCTCATACTCTTCTTCACCGTAGACTGTTGGTCCGTCAAGCATCACCGTGTCATTGATGGGCCAGGATTACGGGAGGCGCCACAGTCTTATCGATACCATGTTTCAATTTCATGGCTTTGGTGGCGCCATGATTACTGTGCCTCAGCCAGACGAGACGCTCATCGTTTTGTTCCTTACCTCTGAGCGCTTGCATGAAAGCTTCATTTTAAGTTGTTCGGGACTGGTGCTTCATACAGTTTCTGCAGCGACATATGAACGTTTAGGATGGATATCTGTGGATCATGGGATATACGGGCGCGGGGTGGAAGGTCGTTGGATACCCAATGCTGAGCTAGCGCACCCTCTGGCAGTATACATGTCGACGTTGCCGCTGGCTACTGTGACCATGATCTAATCAATCGCGTTGAAGTTCGATAACGCTTTGAGGAACACATCAGGCGAAGCGATCGTGCCGACCAATTGACTCGACCGCAACGACGACTCATGAACGTGTGTCCATTCTTGGAATTTGTGATGGACACAAGATTAGTTCACACCCAACAAATCAGGCAACTCACACAACCTCCCCGGCCTCTGATACTCTTCCACCAGCTCCAAAAACTCCCTCTTCTCCTTTTCACTCGCAAACTCAATCTTCGCGCCTGAAATGACTTTCTTCCGATCAACCTCCACCGCCTTGCCCTTCCCCTTGCCCTTCTTCATACCAGCAGCACTAGCACGCCGATCACTTTTCCCACCTCCGCCCCTATCACCTCCGCCGTTCCCCTCACTGGCCTCAGTAATAGTATTCGCATCATCAACAACACTATCCTTCCTCATCGCCCTCCCTGCCTCCGCAATCGGCACCCTCAAACCCTTGACTTTGACTTCTTTCCCACCGATGTCCTGAACCTTAACCGGGTTCGTACTGCTGTTCAAATAAAATGCGAGGTACCCGGCCCGGAAGCTCGCACTGAAGTGTATCAACCCAATAACAGCACCAGTGTCTGTATCCTCCCACACCCTCAGATTCTCGAGCGCGCACATCTGCTCCGCATATGTGAACGAAGAAAGCGTGCCTTCGTGTATACGCATGGTCTTGGATGTGCGGAATGTGGCGAGGAGAATGCGGCCCATGATCTCGTTTTGGAAGAGGGATGCTGCCTGCGAGTCTTCGAAAACGTAGTTCACCCAGCTCGTCCGTGCTGACTTGACGAGGCGGTTCCCGTACCTTACGTCGTGAAATCTGAGTTCGCAGGGTACCGTCATGCTGACTTTTGCGGGTGAGAAGTAGCTGGAGTAGGGTATGTACATCTCCCCATCCTCCATCTTGAGCTCGACGCGGACGTTGTTGTCGTCGCTAAGCGCCCATATAGACGTCACAACGCGGACGTTCTTCGTCTCGGGATCCGTGATGCGCTTCCGGACGACGGCAATCCGACATGAGTCGCAGGCTGAGACCATTTCGATGTCGGCGATGGGGTCAGGGTTATCGGGGTCCGGGACAGTTTGTTGAGAGTACTCGAGGAGGGTGCCGCGGCTGTGCGGCGTCAGTAGGTTAACGTGTGAGTGCGTGGGAGAGGTGGAAGGACGCTTACACGTCACATAGGACGGCGGAGTTGCGGAATGCTTCTTTTTCGAAAGCTGCTTTTTGGCTTGCTGTGGTGCAGCTGCGGTGCAACTTCGTTATGCTGTCCTGCCGTACTGGGAATGGGCTTAGTGTCGAGTTCGATTTTACTCTGCTGATGTCCGGGGTCGATTGAGAGGAAGAAGGTCTTATCGCTGGAGGCGGTAGAAGGGTCAGGGAGCTTGTGTTTGGTTGCATAGTCTCACTGAGCTCAGGCGTCCGGGGAAGGGGCAAAGATTCGGTAACAGAGATGAGCGTATGTTTACTATTCAGCGACCCTCGTGACGGTACTGACGAGGTTGACGATGCGTAACTGCTAATCGAGTCGCGTGCTGATGAGCCTCCGAAGCTGAATTCAGACACACGTTTCCGAGGTGGTGTTGGCGGCATGGTGGCATGTCCGCCTGGCAGAGTAGGAGACACCTCATTGCTGGTTGGTCTCGATGTTAGGGAAACTGCCGATTCGGAGCGCTGTCTTGCGTGCGGCAATATCGCTTTCGTACCTGTTCGTCGAGACGATGAGGCTGATGGCGATAGCGGGATAGAGGTCGTACCGAGCGGATCCGAATTCTCTGCTGTGGGCGATCTTGCTGGATTCCGTTGGGGTATGGGTGGTGCTTGTTTTGTAGGATTTACAAGAGCAAGCTCCTGTACAAAGCGAGATACTTCGTCAAGCTGTTCTTCAAGACTACCGGGCAAGTCGTACATCGAGTCGAAACGTTCGGCCATGGGAGTCACTACTCGTTCCAGCTGCGACAAAGATCCACTAAAGTCTTTAGCACTACACTGTACACGCCATGGAGACTTTACCTCTGTACCGCCTCAGTAAGAATGCGTATGGACTTTGTGTGCATCTGCAGTAGACTGCTAAGGTCATGTAGGCTTCCGCCCTCGGTAGTCCATATGATGGTCTCGTATTGAGCCAGAACGAGATCACTCCAACTCCGCTCAATGGCAAAGCCGCCAACCGTGCGGTGCTTCCTGATAACCTGATATCGATCGACCAAGGAGTCAAGGTCGTGTATCGTTCGTTGGCAAGAAGACAAAACTATTGCGACTGCATCTTGGGTTCCTTGGTCAGACTTGGATATCAAGCTAGCATCAGTCTCGGCATGTAGTGTTTCTGCTAATTGCTTCAAAGCTTGTGCGAGTCCGCTGATATCGGTTTCGACCGCCTGGAAGTCGATTGGTGCATCTTTCCGACCTGCGGTAAAAGCTCGCCCAGTTTTCCAGGCAACTTGCGATAGCATTAGTATGTCCCCAACATTGGGGACAGGCATGGTGAAGGTCAACAGTCGACCATGCAACAAATGGGAGAATTCCTATCCGAGCGGGTGTAAGACGCAAAGACGCAAAGACGCAAAGACGCAAAGACGCAAAGACGCAGAGACGAGCAGTAACAGTGTTGGATTCGAGCTGTGGGCAGGCGTTGTGAGAAAAGTGCAGATCTGGGGAAGGCTGATGCTTTACACGAGGCACGGCAGACGTGAGGGCGATGAGGCGACTGTAGACGGTACGCCCTAGAACGGACGCAGGTATGAAACCGAAGCCATGCGGCCGGTAACGATGCTTCATTTTGACAGATGGGTGGGGGCATTTCAGTTCGCAGAGGATGAGGTAGAGGACCGGCGTTCGGTTCGAACCAGGCGGGAAGCACGTGGGGTGTGCGCGGACAACCATTGGCGTCCGCGGATGCTGCCGCAACAGCCCTGCCGACTGTCAATACTGTCAGGCCGCGTAGCTCGGGACGTGAAGATAGGCAAACGAATCTGGAACCGATGGAAGCCAACAGGCGCAGCACGCACGTGCAGGGGTCCATTTGGTGTTTTGTCAACAGGTCTCTTACTCGACAGAGCAGGACGCCATAGCGCAGTTGATTATGTAGAGCCCATTGCTTTTGCCCGCGGTGCTTGTTGTACCATGTACGATTGCGATGCCGTACGTAGACGGTCGAGTGTGCCGAGTGCTATAGAGGAGATGCGTCCCGGCGTGGGGCAGCTTTGTCTGCCATTCATGCTTCCAGTCCAACCAACGTCCCCCAAATACCGATGCGCCGAGTTAGTGGTGTTGTACAGTGAAATGGAAACAGTCGATGAAATGCTCGATTGCCATGTGGATTGCCATGGGACGGACTCTATGCGAGCGGAGAGAAGAGACTGTGCATGCGTAAGCTGGTAGTGCAGGCCAGGCTGTCTGGGCCTCGTACCGGATGAGGGAGGGCTTGGGCTGGCTCTGGGAGTAACCAAGGTAGAGGATCAAGGGCAGGTAGCCGTAGTGGATGGCGACGCGGGAGACATCGATGATGCGCGCGATGCGCTCCTGGTGGTGGATTAGCATAGCACAAGCAGGGTGTTTCTTGGCGGCGCACAGCGTACCTTGGACTCTTCAGACAGCTGGAACATGATGTGTGTAGGCGGAGGTGTGCGGAGGGATGCGGCGAAGCGACGCGAGTTCGGGGCGGGCACTCGAGACGCGGAGTTGGTGATGGGCGGATGGGGCTGTTGTCGATGATGGCAGAGGCCATGCCAAAATCTTGAAGCCGGGGGCAGAGGCGCTAGCGACGCAAAGTAGCGCGGCGTCGAAGCTCCAAAACTTCTAGCATCATCTTCCCAGGCGCACCGACACACATAGGACGCTAAACCAATCAATCAATCAATCAAGCAATCAATCAAGCAACCAATCAAGCAACCAATCAAGCAATCAATCAATCAAGCAATCACGCGCACCGACACACCCGTGCACCCGTGACTGCTTCTGCGCAACCCGTGGATAGAAGAGGACATTCGCTTGGGGCAAGAGCTGCACATCGTTGCCATCACGCTCGCCCACCATGTCGGCACCAAGTGCGCGCCACTGGTACGTCTGCTCGCACACGTCTGCTCGCACGCGTCAGTGCCGCAGCTGCTAACGCGCCGCAGGGAACAGAACAAGGAGGCTACCGTATACGTCGGCAACCTCCATGAGCGCGTTACTCCCCGTATCCTCCACGAGCTGATGCTCAACGCCGGCCGCGTACGAAACGTCAACATGCCGGTCGACCGTGTCAACAGCCAGCACCAGGGCTTCGGCTTCGTCGAGTTCCACACGGAGGCTGAGGCCGACTATGCGCCCAAGATCATGAACAACGTCGGCCTCTACGGCAGCCGGATTCGTGTGAACAAGGCATCAGCAGACAAGCAGAAGAACGTGGAGATTGGCGCCGAGCTGTTCGTCGGTAACCTGGACACCATGATTGACGAGAAGACACTCTACGACACATTCGGCCAGTTCGGGCCTCTCACAGTGGCACCCAAGATCGCGCGCGACGAACACGGCCTGTCCAAGGGCTACGGCTTCATCTCCTTCGGCGACTTCGACTCCTCCGATGCAGCTATCGCCAGCATGCACGGCCAGTACATGATGAGCAAGCAGATCTCGGTCCAGTACGCGTACAAGAAGGACGGAAAGGGCGAGCGCCACGGAGACGAGGCAGAACGCATGCTCGCGAAACAGGCCAAGGCGCACGGTGTTGCGCCTGCTGTCCAGCCTTTGCCAGCACACCTGTTCCAGGCAGCGACACCGATGGTACCACCAGGTGGCCCTCCCATGGGTCAGATGCCAGATCCTCGGATGGGCATGGCTGGCACGCCGAACGGACCCGGTGGATACGGGCGACCTCCACCTATGGCTCCGGGAGCTCCTCCCGTTCTCGCACCACCACCTGCTGGGTTGCCGGCACGCCCTCCAAGCGGAGCTCCTGCGAACTTCTACCCTCCGCCTCCTGGCTTTCCAGGCGCTCCGCCACCTGGTGCGCCTCCAGGTTTCGGTCCACCAGGCTTTGGGCCGAGATGATCGCCAACGCGCTTTGCTCCCTACACCCCAGCGCCGCGCTTTAGCGCTGCACTCAACTCACGTCCAGCCGACGAGGCGCGAAGGAGACGTGCATGTCGTTCCCACGGACTTCCACTCGCTGAACGACAACACAACCTCAGCCACGAAGCTAGATGCACCATATATACCCAAAGAGAGGATCGATTCGGCGCAGCCCTTGGCGAGGGGATTGGAGAGAGTTGAATTAGTATGATGAAGCAGGTCAAACAGGACCGTGGACAGGCAAGTCCATAGGATAGCAAAAGACAAAGGAGTCAATGAACGGAGAAGAACGAATACCAGAACAGCCGTCTCGCTGCAGTCGACATCCGTGATGCCAAATAGGGCGCCATGTGACAGTGTCCATGGCCTCAGGTCCCGAAGCTCCCTCCCAGATCCAACTGACAAAGGAAACCCAGATGCGATCAACCAAAACACTCTGAAGAAAACGCTAACCAGACGGACCCCAAACCCTTACTACCAACCCCTTACACGCTTCCCATCCTCACGAGAACGAAACAAATTTAGGATCCCGCGGCACGCCATCACTCCCTACCCCCGCCTTGCTGAACCGCTCCTGCATCAACAACCTCCTCGCCTCATCAAAGCCCACGTTCTTCCTCTTCATGATGCGCAGCACCTCCTTCTTCCCCGCATCATCGAGGCCTTGCCGCGAGTCGCCTTCGACGTTGCCCGTTAGGTCAAAGTCCGAGGAGTGTAAGCCGGCTTCGATATCTTCGCGGAAGGAGGTGGGAAGGCGTTGGTAGAGAGGCGCGGGAGCGAGGCGTGGGAGGAGGGGGAGCCAGCGCGCGCGTGTTAGGTAGAGTGCTAGGCGGTGTGAGCATGTGTTTTGGGGATGGGTGGAGCGTTTGGATGGAAGGGGGACAGGGGTGTGGTGGACGTACAGGTGCCGACGGCGAGGACGAAGAAGGCGATGGAGTAGTGCATGTAGCCCATTATGGCGGTGAGAGACGTGTTTGCGCAAAGCTTTTAGGGGGGGGGGGGGGGTTCAAGTGGCCGCTGGAGGTATACGTCTGCGCGGAGGTGTTCGGGAGTGCGACCAGGTGGTGGTCAATACGATGCGGAAGAAGCGGCAGGAGGCTTGGTATGAAAGGGAAGAAGCGCAAGGAAAGTCGGAGTTGAAGAAGCTGCAGTCGCAGTGTGTGCCCGCTGAGCTCGCAACGAGTCTCTTTCAGCTCGAAGCAGGCAACAAGACGTTTCTGGGTACTATCGCAAGCTGACGACGCTGTTCGCGCTCCGTGATCGTCACAGCCCTAGCGTGGAGGGCCAGCCCAAGCCCCGGCAGCTCAGCCACAGCGGCTGACTAGCAGCTCGGCCGCACAGTTGTTCCATCCCCGCGCACACTAAGCGGCGCATGCTGTCGAAATCGCACATTCGCGAGCATACCGAAAAGTCCGTACCCGCGTATCAACACCCCATACCGACACAATGGCCGCCACTATTTCGCACGACCTTGCCTGGACAGTGACCAAGGGCCACAGCGCCACCCTCGTCAAGAGGGCCAACGGCGTCCAGTTCTCCCGCGACCCGCTGAACCTGAGGAACGTCTACAGCCGCAAGAACGAGGGCCAGATCGCCAACAAGGTCAGGAATCACCCATTGGAGGGGCAAGGGACGTGTGTTGATAATGATTAGGCCATCGGTGTCATCTCCTCTGAGAACGGCGGCGTCACTCTCGTCGTCAAGAAGGCCGACAAGCACCACCAGCCCGCTACCTCCACCCAGACCACCACCTTCGGCGCCTCCAAGGGCTCGCGCAAGTACGTCTCCGACAACGCCTACCAGCGAACCACCCAATACACGCCCAGTTGGAGCATAAAGGAGAATGGACTAACGGTTATCTAGGCTCTACTCCGCCATCGTCAACAGCACCACCAAGCGCAACTACCGCCCCGACCTCCGCAAGGACGCCGTTGCCCGCGCCTCCGCCATCCGCAAGGCCGGCAAGCCCGTCAAGGCTTCCCCCGCCCAGAAGCTGAGGGGCAAGAAGGCACAGAAGGCCGCCGAGGCCAGCGCATAAACTATTCAATCAGAATGATGAATAGTTGAGCGTTTGCGCGCACGAGGGATAGAGGAGTTCGCTGCTTTTGGGGAATGGATCGCATGGAATGGGATGCATGAACGAAGTTTACGAGCTAGGTCAACACGGATGTAGTGGATGATCGGCCGGGAATGAAATGCTTCGAAACCCACATACTGTCCGGGCACTGCAAGTGAAAAAGCCCCAAGGCACGACTGATAGCAGTGCAGGTCTCACTCACGTCCAAAGGACAAGAAGAGTTGTTTCGAGTAACTTTGGCGACACACCGAAAAGGATAACCGATAGTATCTACTCTTCCTCAGCATTTGAAATCAACTGCAGCTTGGAGAGACCTCAAGCCCGTGTCGAGATGCTTTCCATCCTCACCGCTACGTCGATCGCCTTCATCCAAATCACTCCAAATCAGCCAGCAACGCCCCGAAGCCATTGTTCTTGCAAGGGGCCCAACCTGTAAGGAAGCAAGCAAGTAAGTAAGCAAGCAAGCAAGTGAGTGAGTTTGGCCAGATGCCAACCTCTGAGATCATGTCAACTTTCTGGATGTGGGAGCGAACGACACCTTGTACAGCTAGTATCCTCTACCCGGGCTGCATTATGGTAGTGGGTAGGTGTGAGCTCCTGTCCTATTGATGCTGTCGTATGATGCAGTGATTGGTGGGAGAAATTGCTCTCGGTTCTGAACACTACTTACACTGCTTTAGCAAAGCAGATAGGGCTCATTCGATGGACATAGATGGCACACAACTTCCAAGGAACCGGCAACAGTGGTACCATTTACGCATAGCGCAGCTACAATTGTCTTCACTGCGAAGCTACACTTTCTATAGACGAAGCTTTGGCAGCATTCAAGGCGTGGACTGACAGATGTCATTAGGACCTCGTGTAAGTATGCGCCGATGCCTGCACACAGGCGTCCATACATCTGGTCCTACCCCGCCCGTCGCTAGTGACTAGTTGCAGATCTACACTTTCGACGAACAAGCCACTTAGCTAGACACAGCCTCAACACCAGCGATGGCGAGTTGACCTCCTCCAAACAGATCGACGCGGCTCTTGTCGAGACCTAAAGGTCTGGTACATCAGGCTTTCTACGCTCAAGAAAACACCTCCAAACACCTCCAGCTTGCCGGCTTACTCTGCTGGCTGATCGTTATGTCATAAAAGCTCAAGCGATCAGGGCTGAACATCGTGAAATCACTGGATGCCTCCACAAAATAGTGGTCACGGAAAGGGGCTGCATGGAGCCGCTCCTACGGGATAGCAATCTGCTTGGCTGGTCGAGCCCACTCCGCGGAAAGAGGAGAGGACTTGGTGTCGTAGATTTTGAAACATAGCTCAGAAGGATCATTGCGGGCTCTCCGACTAGCATGCCATCGATGAGCACCGCCTAGACAGTATAGATGCGAGTTAAATCCTCCAGAAACATCGAAACACCAACACCTCTTATCCTACTTCAACCTGCATTTGCTCTCCTCCTATCATACCGGCTTCCACGTTCACCTACATCGTCGACGCTACTATCACAGAACTGTACCCTTGTCGACATGGTGGCGCAAAAGTGTAGCGTTAGTGAGTGTAGGAAACGGTGCGCAAGTGGATATAACGCTTGTGACGACCATGAGTCCTCATTCTGGCCAACGATGATAGTATGTTAGAGGCTGACAGAGCTCCAGACAACGACAGGGAGATAGATGATGCTGAACGGCGACGAGAGTAGTGACGAATCGAACGGCAATGGAAGTGATGACAAAGGAAGAGCCTCAGGCAGCTCGCCCGAACTAGGCGACTCAAGTGACCCGGACTAGTGTACACTGGTGTTCGATATGTAATTAACGGACATGAGACGCGCTCTGACGCCTCCATCTTCGAGTCTTAGCAAAATACAAAACAGTCGACTTTGATACAGCTTGTTCGATGATGCTCGTGTGTTGCTCACCGGCTCACTTTCTGGCTACGTTGCTCTCAGATGCCACACCAGGCGTCCCATGCTCTTCAAACTCCTTCTCATATGCTCGCCACGCTGCCATGTCTGTTTGCAGCTTCTTCTGTTGCCGTACTGCTAGCTGATATTTGACCATTCTGCTGTCCGCTTCGATCATGCCGCCAAAGACCATGGCGGACATTTGTATGTACCTAACCAATCTCAGCACCGGGTAGAAGAGGAAGCGTGTGACAAGAGGTCATGCCATGAAGAGGATCAGGAATGAGCGCTTACGTCTTGAACTGTACTGTGAGTCCTCGATATAACGGCGAGAAGGCATATGCGACACCCCCTGCTACTGCGAAAAAGGCACCCCACTGTGATGGTTTGTTAGCATGCACCAAAGAAGAACTTGAGAACAACCATTGGAGTTTCCTAACGCACGGAACAATACGTTGAAGCAACAACGCAAGCCCGTTCGAACACTGATTCAACTCTTCCTCATGACGTAATAGCAGCAATGGGATGCAGAGGCCATGGAGCAAAAACTCGTGTATGTGAGGATAGGCCAGAAGTCTCAAGCTGACAAGGAACTTGAAGGTAGGACCTCGAAGACATCCAACGACATAGCGCGTGCAACATACCTTAACACCACCATACGCCGCACCCTTCGCCGCCTCCCACGCCGCCTGATTCGTCTCGGCATCCTTCATCAGACTGCCATGTTCACGCACCATGTTGGAAAGGTTGTAGGGCCAAATGCGTCTACCACAGTCTGGTTGTCATTGAACGGATGGTTATTCTGACAAAATTGCAACTTGATGAGGTGATGTCAAACTGCAGCGGGAGCTAATCGGAGATGGACAGGGATGTTCGCGTTTGGAGCGCGGCATGTTCGGCATCTTGATCGGCAGGAACGACATTCTACCACTCCTTGAATCTGTTTCTTGGCACAAACGTACCCAAGGATGTGGTAAAACCTTGGGAAGACAATTTTCTGGTTCTAGCTGTATAGGTCGATAGTCTGCACTTCTCACTACACGTCGACCCTACTTCCAAGACTGATAAGTTGAGCATATCTGCACATTCGTATACACAGCCAATCTTCACGAAAAATCGTGCAGGTGGCACTTGAAGAAGAAGCCCACAAAAGGTCACGGAGTCGATCCGCATGAGATGTCCGAATCTATCTGACCCAAGGATATGCATACCATGAACTACATTATGCAGCAATGCCACCAAACACCAAGCTATGCATTTCACCATGCCTTCAACATTTCCATTGCCCGCCCATCATCTCCGCCAGGATGGTGCGCTGCAACTCTGACTCTAGCTTCATGAAGGTTACCAAATCATCCACGCCCTCTGCATCGTCATGCGACCACTGCCCGCCCATCACACTCGCCAAGCAGGAGCGCCGTGACTGAGTTTCCTCGGGCGTCACCTCTTTGACATCCACCGTGACCTCGGGAGCAGCCTTGTCGTACGCCTGCGCATCAAGCAACAGCTTCTAACCGCCCTTCTTTTCCGCAAACTCAATGTGCTGCGTCTTCGGTTCATCAACAGGCACCTCCTTTACGTCCACCATCTGCGTATCGCGACTTGGTGTCTGTGTGTCTACCTCCATGGGGTCGCTCCTCAGACCAGTCAATGCATCCATACCGCCGTTCACCTCGACCATCTCGCGTACCCCGGATTCACCATCCATCTCCGTATTTGGTGTTAGCGTCGCAGAACTCATGCCTGAGCCTTGTTTGCTCGTCTCGTCATGATACTGCTGGGAGCTGATGTTAGCCCAATCATGGTTATACTCCGGCGGATGTGTCTCTTTGTCCCAATCTCCTCTCAACTCATCCCCAAAATCATCCCATCCGCCCCCAGCCCCTAGGTCGTGATTCTTCTGCAATTCTTCAAGGAAACATAGCTTGTCTTTCTTGACGAAGTCTTCAAGGGGCTTGGACAAGGGGATGGGGGCTTCAGAGGTAGCGGCTTCGTTAGCGTAGATGAGCAGTACAGACGCGGCTTCGGAGGTGGCTCGCTCGAGGACCTGCTGCAGATCAACGCGGTCGCGAATAATATTTGCGGGGCCAGATTCAGAGTCGTACTGCACGCGCCACCATTGCTTCGCGCCGGGAGTGTTGGAAGTGGTGTCGGGATGGAGGAGGTAGATGACATCGCGGCGGGTTGCTACGCCGTAGAGCTGGTAAGGGTAGTGCATTGCGTCTTGGGCGAACTGCCCTTCGGGGTAGTCGGGCTCAGTGAGATCGATCAGTGCTTCGGCGCCATCGTCGATAGTAGGCTTGAAACGGTTGGAGATGTTGTTGAGTGCCTCCTGGGCCTGCTTGCGCTGCTCCTCAAGGGCTAACGTAGTTAGCAAACGTTCTGCACACGGACCTATGTCACTTACCGGCTAACTTGCTCTCGACACTTTCGTACAGCCTTTGTAATTGAGCTAGCGTAGGAGCGTCTTTTGCGTTGGGCTCCTCTTCGCCCGCCTTGGGCTGGAAAGCTTTCATGCTCGTCTTGATCAACTTCAAGGTATCAACCGTCTTGGAATTGCGCTTTGCCGGCGTGTGATACTTGAGCCTATCGGTCTGATCCTTGATGCTGTTCAGTTGAGAATTGTGCACGGCCATCTCATCGAACATTGCCTGAATGACATGTTTGTTCTTTTCGAGGTATCGGTCCGCGTAAAGTGTCGCAGGAACGCGGCAACCCAGCTCGTTACCATCTTGTTTCGAGCCTTCTAGTCGAAAGATCAAGACATTGCTTATGTCCATGATATGGGCAGTTCCGTCTGAGCTGGGAAAGAATGTGTCATCGAGCACATCGTAGATATCTGTCGCTCTCCCGTCGCGCTTCGACACCGTACTATCGAGGACAAAACTGTTGACCTGTTGCTGAGCATTGACGACCGACCGCAACATGCCGTTGATCTGAAAATCTGGATTCCGTCTCGCATAGGCTGCGCTCCATAATATGAGAAACTTCAGCATGTCGTCGTCTGGATCTTCGAGGGAGGGCGTTTCGAGTTGCTTCCAGGCGTCCATATCCAACATCGACTCTATTGTTGTGTAGGCCCTGTCAGTGTTGTCCAGGAAGGCCATCAGACGTTGTGTCTCGTAAATGATTTCGAGTCCATAAGCTTCATCCCATCCAACTGTACTATCCACAATACGTGTTCGTCCTGCGGGATTGCCTTTCCACCATTCATCGCCCACCCAGTAGTCGTCTTGCGTCACTGCGGGCGACAAGAGCGCGTTTCGAAATTGCGGGATCGAATGTAGGATAGTGAGCATAGCTGGAAAGTAGTTGAATCTCGGTGAAGGCTTGAGGATGGCGGGCTGGCCCTCTTCTCGCTGCCTCTGGCTCGGTAGCGGATCGGCGATGTACTCGGACGCAGTCGTGGCTGGGACCATGGCCCAGTTGGCGGTGTCGTAGTTACTGCGAGTAGCAGGTCCGAAGACGGGTTTCGCGTTGCCTGTAACGCCCGACTCCTGCCCCTTCTCGATACCTGGCGCATGTCAGCCTCGACTCAGCCTTCCATTCTCACAGTCTCCCACGAGACTACTGACTTTGCATGGGATCGTCCCCCACATGTGTCGACAACGCCGAGCCTGGGCGCGTGCCTATCCGCGAGTTCGGCCGGGTAGGCGCTGTGCTGTTGGCGCCGCTGCGAGGGTGGTTGTCGAAGCCTGGCGGGTAGTCAATATTGAATGCTGAAGCAGAAGCTCGTCAGCTGGCGTCTATGCGATTACCTGAGTAGGGTGCCAACATACTGGGCACACTATTGTTCGATTCGTCAGCGTACCTGCTTGCGCCGAATGCGCTCTCGTCCCAGGTCGGTGTTGATCCATCGATGAGCTTGTGCACGGTCGCTATGTCTGAGCTGAAGAACTTCTCTGCCGCCTGCCCCAAGTCGCCATTGAAGACCTGCCCTCCTTTAGCTTTGTGCTGCCTGGTCGCGCGGCATAGTGGCGAACCTTCAGTAGCTTCTGGCAGTCGTCATATTGTAGCTGGTAGCCGCTGAGCTCTTGGAGCATCCCCGCATTTTCCTGGTCTGCCATGGTGATAGCTCTGGTGGTGTGGTGTTGTAACGATGTGGTGGTGGTGGTGGTGGAGCTCTCAGGCTCTGTCCAAGCGGGGCGCAATGGAGGCAGCAAACGGCGCGTGCTAGCAATAGGACGAAATGGCGAGTACGTGAGAGAGAGACAGGATGCGGTAGCTCGTGAGGTTCGTGTTGGGAGACATAGCGGGGAGGTGCAATTGCGCTCGGTCGCGAAGGAGCTCTCGGAGCTACAATGACGACGCGAATTGCAGGGATCTGGGCTCCGCCATCAGACTTCCCACCTTCGCCGCGGCGGTCCTCTGTAACACCTAAAAGTCAACTGACTTGCACAATGTTTGACTGTTCTCCACCGTGCGAAACATTGCGTCGCACTCGCTCTGCTCACAATTTGAGCCATGGACTTCAATATGCCTGGCTGCCCAATGCCCCGACCGGAGGACCACAACGAGACCTTGGTGAAGGCTCCCAGGAAGCACGTTTGTTCCATCATGTACCAGCCGGCGCCCCCGGATCCTGTACACGCTTTGTCTGTTCTGACTGCTGTCTCCCCTCATCACCTGCTTTTCTGCAGTGCTTCTACCGGGTGAATGGCGATTATCTCCGGCCGTATTCCCGCTTCATTAGAGGTACCTTCACTGGTGGCTGCGACCTGGGCTATCGCAGAGCGCTCGCACTAATGGCTCCAGAATCGTACGATGATGATGTTCTGTGCGACGGCTGGTGGCTCAAAAGCCTCTGCAACAAAAGGCAACGCATCATTCGAAAGCAACAACGTGAATATGGAAGCTGTGGCGGTTGCTGTCACCAAAATGATGCGCAGACAGGACACTGCTTGGGATGGAAACCCCGACTACGTTCAAGGCATAGCGCAATTCTACAGAAGAAAAACGCCGTTGATGCTATGATATCTCTAAGCTCCCCAATCTCGCTTTTGTACAAATCGTGGTCTATCGTGTCTACAATGCAATATACAACATATGTTACAACATATCTCGTACCTCACGAGATCTATCTAACATTACTCCCTGCTCTCTGTAGCCGCCTCAGGTACAGGCTCAGACGCAGCCTCATCATTCGACCTCGCCGCATACTCGGGAGTCCCGGGACCGAGAGGCTTATACAGCTGTACGCCGCGCTCCTCATCGATCTGATCCTGCCTCGTCCTCCACGTCCTCCCCCTGCTCGCATACCTCTGAATAATCTTCCTGTAATTCGCCAAGCCCTTGTTCTCCTCATCGTCGTTCTGGCCGATGAGTTGACGCCTGCGTTCTTTAGTCGCGTTGTAGAGCTGCCAAACAGAATTTTGATCGATCTCGTTGACATGGTATTCAATCTGCCAGTTGTCCTCTGGCTCGAGCTTCTCGGGCCGCTTGAGGTAGTGCCCGTTTACTTTGTTGCGGACGGTGAGCGTCCAGCCCATCAGAGGCCCGGAGCTGGTTGTGTCTTTTTCGAACTTGGGTGGCGCGATGACCGATTCGTCGTTCTCGGTTTCGTTGGCGGTGGGCTCGGCATTCTCGATGGTGGTTTCGCCCTCAGTTGCAGCCTCGCTCTCAGCGGAAGTCTTCGTTTCCTGGCTCGCCGCTGCTGTTTCGACGTCCTTGTTTGCTATGCCGTCCTCGCTGACCTGCTCGTCGACTTCTTCCTGTAAGTCTTGCCATGCTTCTTGTGCCTCGGGGTCGTTCTTCCCGACGCCTACGACGCGGCGCGCCCACTCCTTTGCGTATTGTGTTCCAGTGTTCTGGATCTCGTCTGCGCACTCTTCTGTGACGGGCTCGGCAAAGACATACATGAACGGTGACTTTGTGTCGCGGGTTTCAAAGTGGAGGCGGATCGACTAAAAGCGTTAGTATGCTCTCCAGATTGAAATATTGAGTGCACCTACTGTCTCGGGGAACTTCTCCGTGGCTCTGTTCAGGAGCTCTTCCATCAGGCCAATGGACAGCTTGAACTCCCGGTCACCCAAGCATGTGTCGGTTTGTCCGTGAAGAACCTGATCCATCTCCGCAAGGCTGAGGTACTGAAAGCCAAAAATGCGCTCAATGTTGTGGTAAGCCAAGAAGATGCCGTCCATTCTGCCCATGCGCACTTGAAGCGAATACTTCAACATGGTGGCACGAGTCATGTCGTAGAACTCTCGTTCGAACGACTCCCACTCACCCTGTGCATAACGCAACTGATATCCAAGCCCTTCCTGGTACTCCTTGTGGTTCATGCGGATAGATACTACGGCCCGTGTCTTCAAGTCGAAGATGCCAGCGCCGGGCAGGCGAGGGTCTTGGGCGTCGAGTTGAGAGCGCATCAAAATGCTTCCCTGCTTCGAGTAGTGGAAGCATCTCGCCGAATCGCCTTCCGCCGGCGTCTGCTCCGGATTTGATCTGCGGTAGCGCTCGAACTCGGCGCGCTCTGTCGTGAGGAGTTTTTCGAGAGAATGGCCGAGCCAGCTCATGACGTTGGGGGTATCATAGGTTTTGTCGGCGTCGATCGCATACACGCCTTTCTTGTATCGCAAGAAGATGGCGTCTGGTCCTTGTGTGATCTTCGAGAACTTGTCGGTGGGATCTGGGAAGTTCTTCGAAAGCATGCTGTGATCGAGCCTTCGATGAGCGGACAGTAGGAAGTGGAAGTGCTGAAGCACGCTTGACATGCTGGATGTCGATCCTGTGTACTTGACACCCAATCTCCTGGTGACGGCGAGCAGATCCTCATCCTTTGACGATGTCTTGTATTCGCTCAACGCATCGAAGTCGAACTCATCGACGGGCATGATCTTCTCCAGGTAGGGATCGAAGTTGTAGACGCCTGTTCGGGGGTCCTGCAGACGGTAGACGCCAGGATTGAACAGGACACGGTCGAGGCCGTAGGCGAGCATCGGTACGGGCGGCATGTCGACCTCGACAGGCTCGAAAGTGAAGTCTTCTGGGGCCACCTCTTCTATCTTGATATCCAGCGCTTTCTTCCTCTTTTTGCCCTTCTGGCCAGTCAGTTCCTTCATGGACGATCCCATGAGAGCCTCCTTGAGGGACATGAGCTTTTCTCCTTTAGCCTCATCCTTCTTCTTTTCCTCAGTAGGGATCTTTCGTATACGGCCGTTGTCGTCGCTGGACCCGTCCTTTGCGTGCGCATCGTCCACAGCCTCTTCTGCTCCCAAGAACTTGTTCGTGATGGCCGGATCATGCTTGAGGTTCTTGAGCGTCTGACTCTTCCTGGCGCCTTTCGATCTCTTGGACAGGGTCTCGGTGGCGCTGAAGGACCGCCGTTGATGGGTTGTGAGCTGGCTGCGGGTGGCGCAGAACCAACATACTGAGGTGTTACGCCATGGCGCAGCCTGGGCGATGGTCCTACTACTCCTGAGCATCGAAAAAAGTAACCGGGGTTGAACGAGCGTGATGGTTGAACGCGTCGACGATGGCCAATCGCGCTTTCCATTGTCAGAAATTCTGTCGGTGTTTACCGCCCAAAACCTCCGACCGATCGACGCTTGACGTATTGGCCCTGCACGCCATCACCAACTCTCTCGAGGTCCCGCTGATGCGCGTTGGTTCCTGAGACCCACAGCGCCGCCGTTGCTGCTCCGCTGAGCAGCTGTGTCTTGTCCTGCAGGGCGCTGCTTTGGGATGTTCTGCACAGAGCTTCACTTGCGCGGTCTGCTGAGTACGTGTCGAGCTTGTGAACGCGCCGAGCTCATCGTCGTTCCCGCCGAGCGCCCCACGTCTGTTCGTCCCCAGCCCTGGAGTGCCTGGGCTGATACAGGGGAGCATTCCAAGTGCAGCCAACGTCAAAAGCCTGTCGCCGGTTGGTCATGGCCTGCGAATAATGACAGCAGCCATGTCGGCCACTCTGCCAACTTTTGTACCTAGTCAATCAGCATTTCACTTCGTAGTCTGCGACACAATCGCTCGTATCGCCGTGTAATCTTAGGTACCTACTCAAACCTCCGGCTGTCTCCTCATGCAACAGTAATTTGCGCCGCGATTGGCCGCCAAATTTGACATTTCGCAACTGCACTGCCTGGCCTCTCAATCTCCTGTCTGAGCGTGCGCCTATTTACCCTTTAGCTGCCTGTGGCCCTCCGCATGCGCCATTACCGCCGCTGACCTCGCGAGGGGCGGCGCACGCCAGCAGAGAAGGTAGTCGCACACCATGTCGAAGGACAAACGGCGGAGCATCTTCGGCAGCTCTCTCAGCGCATTCACGAGCATCACCCCGAAGAAAGATGAGTCGCAGCCAGCAAATCTACTGCGGAAGCGACGGACGGCGTCTTTCATGTCCAATTTGTCGGATGTGTCAGGGTACAGCGAGAAGCAGACCATCGACGAGAACACGGTTGCGGAGACACCAGTCCCTGCCGCGCGACCACGACCGCAACTGCCCAATCGAGGAACCGGCAAGCGCGCCAGCTCTGTGTTTGGGTCGCTGAGGAGCTCCAAACACTACGACGATGAACCGCTCTGCGCGACCTTGACCCGCACGTCCTTGGGATTCGACTTCCCCATTGACGATACACACAGTCGTCATGTACTGCAGCATGGCGAGGTCCAGACGAGCAGCTCCATGTTCAGAAAGAAGAAGGAATATCTGGTCTTGACGGAGACACATCTTATCAGGTTCAAGAGCCAGTCGAAGGCATCAGATGCTTTCTCTGGGTAAGCTCCATAGCGATCTTGGCCAGGTGTATATACATGCTAACGAATAGCAGGGTGCCCTCACCACACAACAGCAGCAACCGCGTATCGAACTATCGACACAGTCAAAGTCCCTCGACCGGCTCAGCGCAAGAAGCTCAATCGCTCGCTTCAGATGCTTCGGGAGACCGTGAAATGGGCACGCCGTTGCGCCATATCGTAGCCGTGTTTCATGCGCCGGACGGAGGACCCTATTTTGCACTTGATGTTTACTACCTGGACGACGAGACGAACCAGGCCTCCTCAATGACTCTGCAATTCGGCGACCCGGAGGAGATGCACACATGGATGGCAAAGATACGAAATGCCTCGAACAGCGCGCGCCTGACGGACGCAAATCCACTTTCTGCATACAACTCGCATCTTGCAGCCCGGGTGGTCGAAGCAGAACGCGACTATGTGCCTCCGCACTATGCAATATACAAGGTGGTCATACGGGAGCCGGGCAAAACTGCATCGAGGGCATCTTCTGATGATCTGGGCAAGCTCTCTGCTTCTGTATGTTTCGTCGCGATCGGTGTGCACAAGGTGCATCTGATTCCCCTGTTCAAGCCACCTTCTCAACGGTCGTCTAGTCCGTTGTTGGCTTCGCTCAGTTCTCAGTCCTCGCACGGTATACTTGCACTTACTGAGTGCGTTCTCAGCGAGGTTGATGATACCTTCCAGTTGACGTTTAGGTAAGCCATCCCTCATTGTTTGATGGTGATTGGCTAATGTTCACAGAAAACCTTTGGAGAAACCCAAGACTTTCCATTTAGCATCACTTGCGTCACACGACATCGCCGTTCGCCTGCGCTACGTTGAAGAAACGATGCGACCCGAGTGGGAATCACGACCATATCAGTTCGTTGTTCCTGACCCCGTGAGACATGACATTCTTCGTCAGTCGCAGGTTCATATGATGAACCAGGATTCTTTAGATCGTACATTGATTGGATACTGCATCGCATACGGCGTACAACCTGAGAACATCAGCTATCAAATCACATACCCAGACGAGGATTCGCCACGCTTCGAACTACTTCGACCCATTGGTTTACGGCGAAATCAGTACACGGTGCACGAACTGCTCGCGGTTATGCGAGCTCTGCGATACAACGAGACCTTTGCGGGCATATCTTTTAAAGATGTCCACCTCGACATACTGAATGGCTTGATCGACGAGCATGGAGTCGAGCATGTTTGCACCAAGACCAAGCGAGGGACATATGCGCGTATGGATATCGAGGACCTATCCCGGTCGTGCTTGCTCGTGCAAGAAATTCGAGCTCTAGCCTTGACCAACCGCAAGCTGCGACGCATGGATTTCTCAAATTGCATCAAGAAGAAACCTAAAGACTTCACAGAGGCCAAAACGAGCGCTAGAGACACAGGATGTGGTATTGTGGAAGCACTGTTTCCGCTCTGCAAGTATCAAACGACGAACGTTGATTGGATCGCGTTGAACGGCATCCAGCTTGGAGAGACAGATTTGGATTACTTAGTAGCAGCAGCGGTGGAGCGAGCCTGCCATATACGGGCACTCGAAATGAGTCGCTGCGGTTTGACGGATCGTGCATTGTCTCTTATATTGGATTCTCTGCGGCCCCAAGAGAATACTTTGGAGGCACTCAACCTTTCCTCGAACCCTTTCCGGCTGTCACCTACACTGTTCGACTCGCAGATTGGTTGTTTTGCATACCTCACAAAGTTGGATCTGTCGCATGTCGCACGAACATCAGGTCCTGAGCCCTTGATATCTGTTGAAACATTGAACGTGATGAGGTTGCAAGAATTGAGTTGGAGTGGGACGTCGCTCAATGCTGCGACCATCGATGCAATAGCAAGGTAAGTTAAGTCTGCCTCCGCAACGTGACAGCGACTGATCCTGCCTAGTTACCTCCTCAACACCAAGCAGTCTAAAGGTCTACGAGAGCTGAAAGTGGATCACTGCTACATCACAGGGAAGGATGTCGCTTACTTGCTGCAATCTATGACTGAAGAGCCCGGCAAAGCAAGAGATCTGCACCTGGATGTCAGCGAGAACTACATTGAGAAGGATCTCAAGCGTCTCACGAAGGCTATTGCAACCGGCTATGCTCCAGCACACCTCACGATCCGCCTACTCGAATTCGAGGAAGAAGCAGACTTTCGCAAGATGATTCTCGCTCTGGCCCAGAACAACACAATTCGCCAGCTTGACATTTCACGTGCTTCGTTACCGAGCGACGCTTCGGAGGAGACATGTCAAGCACTAGAGAAGATGTTCTCCGACAACAGAACCCTCGAGTGGCTTGACATGTCAGGAGAGGACTCAAGACTAGAGACTACGAAGCTTGGCGTTGGAGTCAACAGGGCTTTGCGAGGGTTACAGTATAATGAGTCCCTGCGCGTCTTGTATATCAGATGTAAGGATCACGTTCTCCCCTTAATCGCAATGCTAACTCGTCACAGACCAAAAGCTCGGTTTACAAGGTGCAAGCACCCTTGCCGATGTGCTCAAGACCAACAGAACTCTGCAGTATCTCTACTGCGAAATGAACGACATAGCACTCAACGGTTTCACTGACCTCGTCAACGCTCTCCACCGTAACACCACACTGCTGCATCTACCAACGATGCACGAGTCTCGTCAGATGGCGCTCAAGCGAACAGAAGATCAAGTGAAGCAGATGCGCGATGATGCATCGATCCACACAGCCCCCAAGCCTGCTTCCGTCCGCAGCAAACTTGCAAGTAAAGCCAGCAGAGTCACTTCCAAGACTGGGCGGGACCGCGGGCCTTCCATCGGCCTGTCCGACCAGGACATCAAAGCCGCCTTAGGCCTTGTAGACGAAAGTTGGTCACGCCAAGAATATCGACTGCAGCAGTATCTCCAACGCAACTACAACATCGCCAACGGCATTCCCGTCTCCATGGACGTTGGTGACGAAGACTTTGAGCGCGATCGCCCAGACACGGCATCCAGCCTCAGCAAGATCATCGAGAAGGTCACCATCGATAGCACGCCTACTGCAGAAAAGGACTTTCAACTAGGCGCTCCCACCCCCGGGTCTCTATACGAGTCACCAGAAAGCACACCAAGCGGTACGCCGGGCCTCCGTATGGCAAAGACTAGGCAACTGCATAGTTCGAAGGTGGATTACTTCGGCAGCGGGTTCACAGCGAGCCCGGATGGCACGCCGAACGGGACACCGACTGTCGAGAAAGAGATTCAAATCGAAAGGACACTTGGCAAAGAGAGGCTTAGTCTCAACTTTGACGTCACCAGTCTGGAGAAGGAGATCGAGATGAGCTTCTCCCACAACCGGGACGCATTCTCATAGCAGCCGTGTGAGCTGTTGCTGCACACTCCACCTGCACATACTCGATTTAGCATTTACATTTTAGGCGCACTTGTAGGACCATTTTGCATACACGGCGTTGCATCTGTACGGTATTTAGGAGGTTGTGGTCATTTATCATCCGCGCTTGTATGTACAGGCGTTTTCGAAGCATAGAGCAACAATTTAGCGGCCGGTCAGCCTCTACATGAGGACCATGAGTGTTGGTGTTCGAGATATTGGGCATGCACGTAAGCTCTCCACGAACTGTAGCATGTAAGTCTCTCACGGGTGCTATGTTTCCTGTTTCAGCCTTTCGCATAAAAGATTAGAGCTATCGTGCACGCAGCACAGAATAAGCCAGCATGCTGGTGCGTCTGGACTTTCCTTTCACCTTCACCTACCATTCGCTTGCGACATTGCCTAGCGCACGGCGCCTTGACAGATGTCTTTACCGATGATCGTCAACTCTCCTCCCTCGATGACAACGACACCACAAAGGGCGTCCGGACCTCCGCTACTTCTATGCTCCACCCGCACAATGAGTGCCCGCAATCCACCAACCAAAGCGGCATTCTGCTTTCTCGACCTTCCGAAGGAATTCAGGCTGATGGTTTACGAGTTCCTGCCGGTCGCCCGCATCCACCGAAACATCCACAACTTTCCCACACTGGTAGTCTTGTGGCCACTCACGAGTATCCTGCGCATCTGCCGAATTGTCAAAGAGGAAGCACCCAGAAATGTCGGCGATACCGTTGAGCGATACAAGCAAGCCCGTATGACTTCGACCTTCACGTACACACCCGACCTAGACAAGATGCCGCGAATGATTCTCCAGTTACAGACCTTGCTCTCTCCAAATCAAATTGAGAAAAACTCCGACAACATTCCCGGTCTGCTTGAGGCAGCTATCAAATGGAAGGACTATATCTCAGATTCCAAGAGGCGGCCGCTCCACTATTCCATCAGCCCCGCGCTTCCTTCGGTCATAAAGGGCCACGCTGCAGCATCCCATATCGCTGAGTGGGCCCGACAAGCAGGTCGGCTGTTGAACCGAGGATGTAAAGGTCTCAAGGCAGTTCGATGCGGCAATCATCGTTTCCGAAGTAGCGTAATGGGAACCCATCAAGCAACGAAAGAGTTTGTTTGATAAAGGACTCGAGAGTACCGACTTCGTTGCTGGCATGTATTGTCATGTGCTACCGGAGGACGACAACATCTCCACTAACTTCACTGTTTTCCCCCGGATCTTGGTTGCGTCGACTCAGAAGATTTCGGTATCTTTGACAGCTTGCCGTCAGATATTCATCTGCAGGGATGCTTCCCTGTTCTTATTCCCAGAACCGAAATCTTCGTGGTGCTTTCGAATTTCCTGCACCATACGAGTATCATCAAGATTTGGTTGTGTAATTTACTTATTTGGTTGAGTACTTTTGTATGGGAGTGAGAGCCTGGCTTCTTCGAAGTCCTGCCGCGCAACACCACCTGCACCAATTGTCCTCAGCGAGATACTGTTAGAAATACTTATTTAGCTCTTCAATTGTTGTACTAATCTCAAAATGCGTTGTTCTGGTAGATGTTGAGATATTTGAGCCAGAAGGTGGTGTGTTTTCTAGGTAACTTGGTGTTGTTGGACCCTTGCGCACATGACAGAACATTAGATTTTGGGTGAAAGTACTTAACCGAGTAAGCAAATTACCCAACCAGATAGTGCTATCCATCATCAGTACTCCCCTCGAGCTACGGGTCTGAAATCACCCTCAGGCTGCCGTATCCACGCAATCGTAACTAGGGAGTACTGGGATATGTGGGCCGAAGAAGAGTGGTATTGACGATTCCACAATGAGCAGCGTAAGGACAGAGCTTCGAGAATGAGGATGACACTGATCCATGTACAGGCAATCCACGAAGTAAAGACAACCGCGCACGAAGAGGGTTGTTCAGTTATAACGACCTGGAAATATAGATACTTTCGAATCGAGTTGAGGACCTACGAGGGTAGTGTAGAAAAAGCTGTCACCACTTGATGTAAGGTCGTTATACGCTTCACTAGAATTGTGACAGCTCTTGAACCACTGACAAGGGCTAGATCTAATAAGATCCTGCTGCACTCGAGCCAATCTGCACCTTCTCATCTCCCAACCCACAGTGATCAATGCAGACACTTTAGGGATTAGCAAGTCTCGACCTCCCAAGATGACGCACCAGCATCCCATCTCGCCTGACTCGGCAGCATTCATCCGCCTCTCCCCCATCATCTCTCATGATTCCCACCTATCTCAGCGTCTACAGAAATTACAGTTCACATCTCCGTCGCACGACTGCGATCTATGGGTCCAGGGTCCACCCTCACTCCTGCAGAGTGGTACAGCATCGTGCAGCAGCGTCGCGCCACGCATGGTCTACCTAATTCGGTCTAGTGCGGCTGGGTGCGCAGCCGAGTACGATCTGATTTGATCATACACAGCCGCATCGGGCGAGCTGCATATTCAGGTCGGCGAGGTCAAGGTGCAGGATCGAGAGAAGTCGAGGCGGGAGTTTGGAGCGGATCTTGCACGGATCGCTGGGATTGTACGTGTGTGACGAGGTGTTGTGGTGGTTTTGCGCAGTGGCTTTGGAGAGGTGGGTGGGGGCGGTACGTGCCGTGAGCGTTTTGTGACAGATGATGCTGATAGAGATGAGCATCTGCAATTTTGTCCGATCGAGAGGATCCAGGTACGCTGATGTAGGTGCATCTCAGGGCAACTGTTTGGTTGCCAAGCTCGGGTCTGGCTGATTCTTGTACTGGTGGATGTACAGGAGCAAGTTTCCGAATAGCTATATCTTGAGAAACGTTGTAGCACACGGCGTAGGGTTGGTGAGTTCAAGTCCTACTGATAGATGCAACAGCAAAGCGTTGTAAACCCCAACCGGTCACTCGATGTACCAATCAACATGTGCAAAGATGTCAAGATCGGAGAGCTTTCATCCCTATCTTGATCAGCAGCACAGTGCGTGACCATGTGAATTTGCACGGCTCCAGCGAAGCATGATGGGATTGAAGCGGTGGAGTTGTATCGATCTAGACAGGGCAGTGCAGCATCGTGCAGCAAGCTGTCGAGTCCGTCAATCGGAATGGTCCGGAAGAACCCTTTCGATAGGTTGCAGATGTTGTTTCGAAATGATACTGTTACTTGAGAGATCCTCTGCACAGAATAGCCAGGCTTGTGTTATCCGTGTCGCGTGAGGGTTGACTGCGGTCCACATGAAGGATCGAGTAGCACAACTTCTTGCCCGCGCAAGCATCCATCTGTCTGACCAAATTGGGCGATGTGAAGACGGTTTCGTATGAGTAGCACACGCTTCGAGTGAGTTACAGCTGTCAATTTGGCTCCAGTCGCCGATATCGTTGAACTTCCGTCATTGAGATAGCGGCCTGCAGACTGATCAGGGGCATCACCCACGGTCTTGCCCACTTCTCTATCCATTCATGGGCGAGGTAAGATCATCGGTGTGTTGTGGGCACAGCGATCGAGTCATGTTGAGGACGATGGGTTCGCTATCGGGCAACGAGATTTAGGACAGGGGCTTGCATGATCTTGCAGCAACCCTTGCAAGAACACCCGTGGTATGCGGGATCGTTCTCGTGAGAAAGTGGTTCCTGACATGTCCAAGCCGGTCGAGGATTTTCGTTGCTGTGTGTATAAATGAAGTTGTGAGGCGAGGCCGATAATGTGATGACGTGAGTCTCGTGGGTGCCTCACTTCACGATTCCCACAGGAGAGCCCTTGACCCTTGTCAGATTCGCTTTGCCGAGGTGACTTAGGTTGTTGCTACAACCCCCAGGACAGATGGTACCTTGCAATTGTAATCAAGTTTTACCACAGCTTGAGCGAGGTGCAGTGGTACATGCTTGGTTGCCATGCCCGAATCCGATCTCGCATTCGTGAGGGGTTGAGATCGGATTCGCAACGAAGTTGGACGTTTACAGCGACGTGCATTGGTGTCGTTTCGGGTCTGCGAAACGCTTGCCGTTCGCTTATCGGGCACGACGTCTGATTCAGGCGCTAGGGTGGGGAGTCCCACACGTGCAAGGTACGATTTGTGATACTTCGGCGAAGACGTATCGAATCCTTCTCAAAACTCTGTCCTGGAGCGAGAAATATCCGGTTCTTGTTGTGATTACTGACGAAAGAGCACATAAGAATGGATACCTCAGTCTTCAAGTACGTGTTTGCAACTGCAGATGATGAACGGGAAAGAAGCACGCCAATTCTGGATGACGAAGACCAATGTTGCCGCTAATATTGCTGACGAGAATGTATCGAGTGTCCACATACCACTGACGAGAAGAGATTTAGGTGGTGGCTGAACAAAATCGCTAGATGGGCTTCCGGATGTGAATCTTGAATGGCATGCGGACCACTGATACGGAATTCGACTTTCTGTTATGACGGAGAGTTTCGGTTGCTCGAAGGAAGATCATCGTATATCAAAGTATCTCTCGTATCGGCTTATCTGGTACAGGTGTTAACCAGTATCTGTATGGAAGGCCTGCGCACGAAACACCTTAGCCAGATGAAGTCTGACAGGAGATGCTGCATCTTCTGTGCCAGTGTGGCAAGGCAACATTGCTGCATTTTCGTACTTGCATCGTACATAAGGAGTACTCAACCTTACCGGTCCAAGTTCTGCAGTCGTATGCTGAGTCATCTGTCTCCAAATCGTCCGCCAAACGTTGATACTGGATATCTGGTCTTGTTGCTCTTCGGGTAACGTTTCCAGAAAGTGCTTGATCATTGCGTGCTTCAGGCTACTGCAGGTCCACCGATATGGCAGCAACAGCTTAGCTCTTCAGAATAATCGTCCTCTGAGGGCAAAACCGAGCTTCGTATCAGCCAAAGAATTGCGGCGAATGTCTATTCGTCCCATCGTCGATGTTCTAGTCGTGCTTGTCGCAAGTAGACTTGAGTAAAATCGTGTCAGCTACCTGGAAACCACCTGCTAGTATGATCGAGCTCGCTGTCCTTCCGCTCTTGTAGCTCTTCACCAAACTGGAAAAAGCTCCAAGGAGCCGAAGAGTGACCTGTTGGCGTCGTACAAGATCACGCTCTACAAACGGTTGTTGTTAGCTCATTTCCTCGAGCATCACATCCCTGCATTGATGTCTGTGCATGATCAAGTGTCGTTTGTCGATCAGGGCCAGTCGTGAGCTGAAACCTTCATCAACCGAGTGGTCAAAGCTTACCTTGAGCTGGTTTGAGAAGAACATCGACACACTGAATGCAGATATGCTGCGTCAACAATGTGTAAATGATGCCTCGGAAGTTGACTCAGGCGAGTGACGACGCTCGATTCCTTTTGCAGGCTTAAGCTCCTGAACTGTAACCAATCCGTTGGGGCCAGCCACCAGATCGAGGCTGATGCTAGCCATAACGCCGGGACGCCGTTAATAGCTGAATGGCTGCACACAGTAGAAATGGCAGACAGGGAAGCTTGCGGGTGGGAGAGGGGGTGATGCCGTGTACTGCGACGCAGAGACATCGGCGACGATAACGACCAGGTATTGAAGTCATTGGTCACGGCAACGGCGGCGAGCCTGATGTTTGATTGCCAGCAAAAGCGAGCTGGGCAGCGGTCAGGGTCGAAAACGACTGCGCAACAATATGCATGTTTTTCTAAATGCGGCTGTGAAGAGGTCCGGGGTGGAATTCAGGAGCAATGGTAAGCAGAGAGTTGCGTTTGTGATGTTTGATGCAGCACAATCCGACAGGGAAAGTCGGCGGGGAAGGCGCGGATTCGCTTGGCTAGTGCCATGGGCAGGAACAAGTAATGCCATTAGCAAGCTTTTCTCCCGCTGTGCAGATACTCCCGCTCCAGTGGGATGAACGCCATTTACTGCTCATCGCCTTTCTTCACCAGCAACGGCAGCGTTGTGCACATCGGTCGCGTTGACGGACGAACCGCTGCTGGTCAGCCCCACGACATGAAGCTGCTCCGTGTCCACCTCGCCGAAGAGGCTGGCCACAGTATTTGGAACCGCTGACCCTTGCACACTCACTGCGCCCGCTACCCAAGCTGGATGCTCAAATGATTAGTTGCACTTCCTCGACTGACAGCCCGGGGTTTCCATACAATCTAGCCGCCTCAGGAGTTCTCTCAGTGCGGCTGTCAGTGCGGCAGCCGCCTCACCAGAGTCATTACCTAAGGCATCACCCTGAGTGAGGCTCATCATTCGCCTATACGACAGCAGCAGCCACTTGGTTTGTCCAGATCAGTGTAAGATGGGCGAGAGGCGTGAAAGGTGGTTCAATGGGGGCTCGGGAAGAGGCAGCTATCTGCAGCGGCCGCCATCTTGAACCAACAACATAAGGTACTCTTGCACCCACGTGCGTTGGGCCTGGATATCCTGAATCGCGTTGTGGGAGTGAGAAAGAGAACACGCTGCGAGATGCAGCCAGCCAAGGACCAGCATTATGGGATCCACACCAGGATCCTTCGCGCACACTAGGCTGATCTTCATGCCTCATCGCAGATACTACTGGGCCCTGCGGATCTTGCATCTCGCAGGCATGCCGGCAAACACTCTCGGAGCTCTCAAGACGGCCCCATCCGGCTTCCGTGACTGTGCAAACGAATTGTGTCTTAATCGCCAATATCCGAAAACACTGAAAGCAACTCTTCCAATAGGCACGAATTGGCAAATCCCTAATGATTGTCACCACTGTAACCAATGGGGTGCGGCTGGGGCGTCTGTCTCAAGCAAAACCCCCACATCTCTCAGCACCTGAGATCAGCCACTGTTCGTTCGTTCACGGTCTTGATGTGGCACCCCGATCCCGTCCCGACCCTGGACATGTGTGGGCGCCTTCAGATTGCATCCCTGATCCGCCGCACAGTCCCCCGGTGCCCCCATTCACTACTCTGCAGATGGAATACCCCTCCCCTGTTCACGCAAACCCTGGTCGAATCTCACTAAAACCCCTAAGCCGAGCAACATCTCTGCCCTTCGTCCACCAGTACTTGGCTGCATGCGAGAGCGACGTACCCTGTTCAATCTGCTGCATGAGTATTGGTCTCGATCTCCGAGCTTGCTCCCTGTCTCCAAGGCCTTTCGTCTGCTCCACAACACTCGTCATCCTTGCCCATTTACGGAACACTCTGAGGAGCGAGCGAATTGGCCGTCCATATGTAAACCCCCAATGTCTCCCCCAACCCTAGGCGGTATCGACGAAGTATATCTATATCTTACCAACAAGCACCATCCACGCCACTAAGCCCACTCAGCGTTCCTCTTAGCTCCTCATCAGAGCTTCACCTCGGTCAGCCTTCGGCTCTGGCCGTTGTCAGTGCTCATCTCCATACGCCTCGCACCTGCGTTCACCTACGAGGCACATATCCCACTACTCCCCCACTGGCCGCTTAGTGGCATTGACGTCTCGATCGACTATGACTACCATGGTTGCCTCTCACCATGTTGACCTTTGGCAACAACGCAGCCAGCCCGCTTACCACATGTCCAACATGAACCTCTCCGGCCTGATGTCTCCTTACGAGACACAACACACTGTCACCAACCCACCATCGTCAAGAGCATACCATCAGACAACATCAAGTGTAGAGATGAGCATGCCGCTCTTCTCTACGAACGGCCTGGCCTCGTCAGTGCCCTACCAATCTGGAGCATTCGCCTTTGATCCGGTTCCAGTGAACCCATACAACATGCAGGAGGCATATCCCATGGGTTATGTAGCAGATGTCCCTCGGAATGTTTCATACGCTCGATCAAATCTCGTCCAGCAGATGCCCGCGCTTCAGGACGCACGCCCTACGTTCTCTGCGGACCAACATTCATCGAAGTCCGTTACCGCTTCGCCCCTGCAGTCGAGTCCATCATATCATGGGTCCCCGTACGGCGCAGAATTTGAGCGCTCACGTTCTGAACCATCTGAAAGCACTGGCATCAACTTTGCTACCGACGTCGACACTCTGATGAAAGCGATCCAGGCAAAGCAGCCGGATTCGCCACAACCACCACAGGTCAGCAAGGTGCGTCAAGCCGGGTTCGATTTTGCCAGTAGCGCTGCTAACTTGAACCCAGGAGGAGGAGAACAAGCCTAACCAAAAGCCCAGGAAGAGGTACCAGTGCAACATGCCAGGATGTAACAAGAGCTTCTATCAGAAGACACATCTGGAGATCCATGTTCGTGCACATACTGGTGCAAAACCGTTTGTGAGCCTCCTTGCATCTAGCCAGCTTGCACCTGCTCATAATATCTAGGTCTGCAAAGCACCATCTTGCGGTCAGCGCTTCTCACAGCTCGGCAATCTCAAGGTAAGCAAGTCTCTTCACGTCTGATCACAGTATCTGACCCTTGTAGACACACGAGAGGCGGCACACAGGCGAGCGCCCTTACAGCTGCGACATCTGTGGCAAGACCTTTGCGCAGCGTGGCAATGTGCGTGCTCATAAGATTGTCCACCAGCAGATCAAGCCTTTCACCTGCAAGCTAGATGATTGTGGAAAGCAGTTCACTCAACTGGGCAACCTGAAGGTGAGATACCGCCACAAGTCTACATCGTCCTGCTAACGAACAACAGTCGCACCAGAACAAATTCCACGCTGCAACATTGAGGTACCTCACACAGAAGTTCGCAAACATCAGCCAAGGCGACTGGGTCTCGCAAGAAGACAAACAACTCTGGGAATACTTTGCTTCGCTGTACAAGAACTCCAACAAGGGTATCAAAGGTCGCGGCAAGGACAGGAGAATATCGGCTGTGTCGACCTCAAGTGCTCTACACTCGACTTATGCCCCGTTGCAGATGGCTTCCATGGATAGGAACTTTTCTGGATACCACCAGCACGGCTGCGACCGCAGTAGTCGTGGCTCATCATTGTCCTCAGATGCTACCTGTGGTACCCATCCTCGGTCAGACAGCAGCTACGACTATAACGCCCCGATGCACCCCAGTTACCCATCTCAGGGAAGCGGTTACGATGACATGGTCTTTCCGGAACGGAAGATGTACTGACGATTTTTCACATCACGCACATCAGAACGACACAACCAAATGAAAGCATAAGAACAGGACCTCACGGCTAGAGCAATAGGAGTTGGGAGGCACAGAGGATCTGAGGTCATTGCAGATGAATTAGGCATCTCGGAAGTTACAATACCCACCTAGCGCAGCGATGGGTACATTCCTCTTTCATTTCATTTTACTTTGATAGGCGTTCAGGTCTTTCACGACATCAATAACGCTGTTCATGTACGCTCGCTGTTCTGTAATTACGCTTCTCGCGGATACCCCATGTATGCTTACTCTTACTGTAAAGGGGAAGACACGATACCACAGATAATCACATTTGTCAAAGGACAACACTCTTGCCGTACGGCACCTCAACACTTGCTGTTATCCTCCTATCATCATAGGGTATCAAACTTACTCAAGGTACTCGAACACTTCGATGCTCAACACTCTGCCCAATCATCAAGCCCACTATCGAGTATTGCTGCGTCACACAAAACATACACAGGATAGCCTTGCTAACTGAGCGCGACTACACTCACCGCTTCTACCTGGTGCCCGCAGCTTGTACCGAATGAGTTCGGAGTGCGTAAGCCTCTACCATTTCTATCCACTCATCCACCATCATCACCCACTCACTTCGCAGATCTCCGTTCTCAAGCAAGATCTTGTATGCGTGACGAGATCTCCAGATTGTGGGGCATTGCACAATCAGCCATGCGATTGCGCGTATCTGCATCTTCGTACGATTCGATCACGGACACAGAACGTGGAGGATACAGAAAGCCATGCAGGTCTGCTGACCTCGCCCTCGTGGGATCGATCTCGCTTTGGAACACGACTCTGGACTCGAAGTGGATAGTCCAGCCACTACGGAGCCCTGCGCGCCCGTAGGGCCGGACGGCGGAACCACTTCCGTCTGCCGTACCATATCTTGCACAATCCACTCGGTCGGTATGCGAACTTACCACATAATGTTTCGCGTCAAGACATCTCAGTGCGGCTGCAGGCTTCCTAACGCTCATGCCATCTGAGATGAATGCCTAACGAAACTACAGTGGCCTTCTCCGCGGCTGCGTGAGGCCATTGGCCGTTCCAGCACAGCGTCCATCTCGCGTTGCCGGCATGACCCTGCGGCCAGAGCTGTCCGCACATGCGGGTAGCCAAATCGGGACTTTTGAGTAAATGCAGGCAGCCAATCAGACAATATGGCATACGAACCCGAGAGTCTGGTTCGCATATATCTCCAGGGTATTCCCAGTTGGCAGGGCTGTGAGCTGGGCGCAAATGATGTCAAAGTGTTTGAGTGAGCTGGAGGGTGTGTTGGGATATTGGGGGCCAGATTCGAACTTCGAAACGAAGGATCGAAGGACTGATGGCGAACAGCCTCACTTCTTTGGGGGCGAAGGTTAAAGGCGAAGTTACTGCTCTAAATGTGAGGCACTATGTATGATCGGCGGGTACTAATTGTAGATCTGTCGTCCCACACCTGCGAAAGGCCAGAATCGTCGTTGACATGACGTTTGGACGTTAACAGCCAGCGGCCTCTAAGACGTCGGATGAGGCTTCGAGACAGGACATCCAAGTCGGTCTGCGGCGAACTGCGAGTGAAAGACGATGTCATGTGCGTGGAGTGGCCGTGGGGAGTTCGCAGGGATGCAGGGACTAGCTTATCAGCACAGGCTAAATTTCTATCTTGACTCAGCGGGATGCTGCTGTCATTCGTAGAGTTCCTAACAAAGCTCAAGCTCCTTGCAACTTCCACCCATTTATTCCTTTTTCTGTCTCCGCATATCGCACCGTTTACGCTACGAGCACGTGTATAACGAGCTTTGCCTCGTTCGCTCGCTGTGTTGTCTTTATCAGTCTTCGTCGCTGATGTTTCTAGTACACTACATCCCGCTCCCTGTATGCGCAAAGATTGTCGCCCACAAAGGCCTTGCAGCGCATACATTGTCAATACGAACCGCCAATAGAATACAAAGGACGCCTGCCAGGTTCCAGCTCAGCTCTCCCGGACCGCTCGGTCGGTTGTCAATCTTCCGAACCCAACTTACCACTGTGTTGGGCCGCCTTGATTTGAGTTGATCAGGGTTGTGCGAAAGGGGACGCGGACGAGTCAGTCAGCGACTCGCAGCTGAAGCTCGCTTTCGTATGCAAAAGAGCATCTAGCAGCCTCGACTATGGAGGGGTACATGGGTACTTGAGTCGCGCAATGCGATAAGTTGCGAATGCGATGTATGACGTCTGGTGGAAACAGGTACCCTCGAAGGATTCATGTGGGGGTTTCGTCTTACTTTCGCTGCCGCCAAACAGAGCTCTAGATCTTGGAACCGCGATACGCTGCATCGAAGGATTCGAGTGGACGGCGAGGTGAGTGAGAGATCAGGCATGCAGGACAAGCATCGCTGTGAGAACGCCGACGAACCTCGGACGGACAAGCGCGGCTTAGTCAATACACCAAGACCGGTGTGTGAAAGCAATATTACCGTCATCGATGCCTGACACAACCTTCCTAACTGGGAAGGTACACACTTGTCACAGCCATTGCAATGGCAGACTCCATCATTGACCGATGAAACTCGAAACCATATATCGACAACCTTCTGGAGACGATCACGATGCCTGTCTCATATATCAAAAGGTCGCACGCTCACGTGGTGTGTCTCGATGACCATGCCCAGTTCTTTCCTCGATCTCTGTGAGAACATTGCATACACGCATGCGGGCATCCGCATTCACCACATCCCACAGCCACATGGATGAACGTGCGCTGCGAAACATCTCCAACTATCGCCGTTGCACAAAGGTTGCCTCCATTTCGCCGATTTCGCCAATAGATGAATCTGCATCGCCTGTACAACCACACTCCCACCTTACCGGTACGCACTATCTCACTCTACCGCGGCTCACCAATCCCAGAAACGCCTCCTGATAATTACGCATCTCCACCACCTCGACCGCAAATTGGAAAATTGCACCAAGTACCACAGTCTCGTATAAAGCCTCTGTCTCACCCCCAACCGCCGCTCTGGGATCTCCACCACCCTCTTCAGGACGCCGTGCAGTCGTACGCCCATACTCACCACTAACTCGGGCTCGCGATATCCACGTACATGCTGACCTGCAGCATCTGAACGAGATGGGCGTGGCTGACATGGAGACCTGCACGCACTTCTCGAAATTTGAGGCCATGGTTCCACGACGCTGGACCCCGGCCCTCGGATCTCCCTTCTTCCACCTGCATCTTGTTGCGTCGCCGAACGCCGCCATACATGTTTGTGTACGAGCTGCTTCGAGTTTGTTGCGCATGTCACGATGCCATGCCACGCCATCTGAGAAGTCATAGGTTGTGAGCCATATGCCCCTTCATCTCCGTCGTTCCAGCGGTGGCTGCAGGTAAGGTCCCGAGGGTACGCGCCGAGTGGAGGGAGACTATCGCCTGCTCGCTGCGTGGCATTCTGCTTTGGAGAGTTCGTGCTGCTGAGACGTATCGGTGAGGTTACTGTCTCAATGGGTAAAGGACATGCGAGGGAAAGGAGGGGAAGAAGGGAGCCGGGGCGCCCTGTGTTGTTCGAGATGATGAGATGGCACAGCAGAATTGAGGGGGCGGCGGGCTTTTTGCTGAGCTGCATTGCATGATGCACCGATGAATTTGAAGAGAATAGGTCTTGGATCAGCTTTTCGTGAGGTCACGGCTCAGTGTGTCAATACCGTCAAGTTTACACAGTCCTGATACACAATATCCCGTCGAAAATGCAATTTCACCATAGTCCAGTCCTCTTTTAAACTTGAGTTGGACAATAGTCACCACGGTGACTGAGCCATCTCGGTCTGGCGTGTCACTGTATTGAGCTCGTCCGATCTCCAACAACTCATCAATCCTGACATGCGGTACAATCACGTAGTCCCCCAAAGTATGCTCTGTTGGTATGTTGATTTTGGGGATGATGTAAATCTGGTAAACTGATTCGACTTACTTACCCGCGCGTTCCTTTCTAAGAGTTCACAATTATAGGGGCTCACCGTTGTGGCCCAGTTCTCTTCCCATCCTTGTTATTTTACCGCAAGACCTGGGCCATGAAGCGATCTCAGAACGAAGCGGACGCAATTTGGCAGCTGCTCTCTTGTAGTGAAGGTTCGTTATGTATCAGGCAGCAGGTAGGAAGAAGCGCTGCTAGTAACCACAGTGTGACCAGCGTGATTTGAGCTTCAATGCGCGTGTCGCAAGAGCTGAAAGGACAACGCATGCGTCTGAAGTTAAACCCGTGCTGGAACTGTAAAGGCTTTGACCACATTCGAAGTGAAAGGAAGTCGCGTAACAAACAGGAGGAGTAGACCATGTGCCATGGGATTGCCATTTCTGTCGGTCCCCATGCAGTGACCACCACAAGCTTCCGTAAGAGATCCTAGCTCGTTCATGCACATCAACCCCCGAGGACGATTTGCCGAATTCATCGAAGCAGTCTTGGTGCTTGACGGTTGTATGAACAGACTGTGTAGAATTTGTTATCTGATCAAGTCATCTTCTCGGGTTGGCATTCTGTAGTCTGTCTTAAAAGTCATCATTATCTCAGAGTATTTGGTCGCTAAATATGACCTTGGTGAGTCGAGTACCCTGTGTCTACGCCAATTCTTGCGCGACCCATGTTTCGTCCCACTCATATTTATCTATCGCGTACTTCACGTACAGTGATCCACCATAGTCTGTAGGGAGGTACACGCCGGTGGCTTTGAAGATAGTGATGGCAAAGCCTTCCTTTGTGTATGGCTCGTGCTCAGTTCCTTAGGTTACATGCAAGCTCGAGGTGAAGGCGAGCTGCATCACATGCGGTATGAGTGCGCGAAGGTCTCAGACATAGAAGCGGTTGAAACGGACGGGCAGCTCAGAATTGAGCAATCGATAAATAACGTGAGATAAGTCAGTGCCAAATAGGCAATGACTAAAGATGGAAGATGCGGCACTAGATACTTGGATCGATCTTGGTGTAAGCCATCGGCTTAAAACAGCCATACCTCCTCTTTGCGCGGCTCACTCCTTCCACGAACGATATCATTCCAGGTTCTTACATCACGTCCTTGTTCTATGAGCTTCCACAGGCCGATCCACTTGTAACAGTTTGGTTTGCCATGGATTGGACCAATTTCCTGGAGCACGAGAAACATGTCGAAAGTCCTCGACAGTTTTTCATTATGCAGTACATGCGATAAATTTACTGCTGAAAGTGCACAAATCGATTGTCCCGTGTTCACACATCCAGTGAAAGACACCGTTGGCAGATATTCCCTTTGCGTGTTTGCATCGAGTTGCAATTCAATGAGAGCGCCGCGGACATCGAGCTCTTCAACGTGTGATGCACCTCATAGAATGGTTAACTCTCTTGACATACAAATCTGGACGGTTCCAGGTTTCAACAGATTGTTCTCGTTTAGCAACGTAACAAAAGTATCTGATGTACCAGGGGTACAGAGTCGTGTCCAACTTAAGATAGGCAGTCTTAAGTCTTCTAAACGGATTTGCGCCTGGCTCTGGTTCGCAGTGAACTTCTTTCAGCACATCATCCAGGAGTGTTTGGGTAGATATCCAATCGCTGTTCCTGTCACCCCAGCCAATGTGTGCAATGGTCCGCCCCATCGCTATGGATGCCCACGACCACGAAGGTGCAGTCGAGTCCGTGGGCCGCCTTTGAGACTTTGTCTGAAATCTCACGTGCCAAAGCAGGTCAGTGGACAGAGTTTTTTTCCACAGACCTTCGGACTGAAGATGATGCGCAAGTGCTTGAGCACACCCGCTGATGGCGGGCAATACATCAGCCGATTTGGTGATGCGGAGTTGCACGTACGTCTGCATCAAAGTCCTCCAGTAGAAAAGTATGGCTCTCTTCCCACTACCTTGAGCGCCTTGAGTCCGGAGTCCATGTGGCCCTCGCAGAACTAGGTGACGTTCGTCTAGCAATGTGGAGTTACGTATGACCCTGCTCGATGGATGAGGAGCGAAGCTTGACACGCACTCGCACCTCCACGATTCCAGACAGTCGTACGAAAATTCGCCGTAGTTCACTGCAAAAGTCGCGTTGATAGAAGACGTTCTTGGAAGACCCAGGCACGTGTGAGCAATGGATAATAGTTGTTCACGTCAGCTAGGGTACGTGCCTGGCCCTGATGATCAAGTACTCGGGCGCCGATCACGTGAGTTCGGCCATTCGAGTCCTTGATTTGTTGTGACGGTACTGAAGATAATCGGTATTGGGCAATGGATATTGAGGTTCACTGAAGTTGTATTGTACTCAAGCCGTGTGGTCATATACTGTGAATGAACGGAAAGAAGAACTGACCGTGAAGCTGTTATGTTACTGATACTGTTTGAAGGAGTCTGGTCCAGTTGGTCCTTTTACACAACCTCATACAGTGCTGTAACATGACCTCTTACTGTACTGCGACATTTGTAGACATATGTTAGGCCAGCGATCGTTCATGAAGTAGCCTAGACTGGAATTGGGGGATGACACTGCTGCAATTGTGAGCTGTGCATTCTGATACATAAATCCTATCTTCGCGATCTCTCTTCCCAAGTCTTGACCGTTGTCTCCTTCTTGAACGATGCACAAGGAGTCGATCCACAGGTATTGGATGCCCAATTCGCGTGTGATGGCAACAGCATCACGGAAATTACCGGGTAGATTGGCTAAGTTGATACTTTTCATGACTTCGACCAGGTTTTGCGTTGTAGTCTTGTGGCTGTCGACCTCATCGTCCCAGCGATGACTGAGGCAAACATATTCGTAGGATCGGCCTGGTGTCGTTTCGAACAGGTGAAGGCCAGGCTGACCATCTTCCTCGGTGACTGTGACATCAAGAAGTCGAGTGGGACGCATGTCGTCAGTCCATGTAATGCTGCGCGTCGCGCAAAGTTTGTGATTGCTCAAACATTCGGCCACCCATTACTTCAGCCGAGCAACGGATCTTGTGCGGCCAAGGAGCGAATTCGAGCTCAGCATCTGCTCGAAGTGTACGTCGACGTCTACTAGCTGTTAGATGAGCGTCGTTGGAAGCTTGTTATGACTGACTTGGATGCCGGAACAATTGAGCAGTAAGTTTTGATTCTGTATCGCCAGCCTTTCGGCATTTCAGCTCCCACATGGGAGCTACGGAGTAGCTGTACGTGTCTGGTAGATCTTTTGCATTGTTGTGGAATACGATTGCAAGGATTTGGCTGAGTACAGCGCAAGATCCACAGCCTTTCAGCTTTGACGTCGCGAGCTCACTGCTAGTGAACTATGATTGTCGTGTCTTATAGAAATCCTTGGTGTGCGATCTTCGGGCTGACCGAACCCCGCTCCTTGTAAGTATTGGGAGAGCATCTCTCTTGGACTCGAAATCGGCTTTCAGGGTTCTTTTACCTTCACAGCCTAGCACGCAACCGGTGGTGCCAAAGTGCTCGAAGAAGTTGATGACCTGAGGTTGAGGTGGCGTGTCCTGCGCTTCTTCTGAGATGGCAAGAGCATCTTCTGAACACAGTACGATAACAGGCATGACCGGCAATACTGTGCTGAGGATTCAGTACCCGGCCTAGCTAGTTAGACTGTTGTGTGTTCTCGTGTGCTGTCGTTCCGCGGACTTCGATTCAAATGCGGGGAAGGGTCGCCAGCGACAACGAGGCTGTGGTCACCAAGAAGTATCTGCAACCACAAATTGTTTCCAGCGCTTTCTTCGCCGTGTCGCCACTCCATTGGGGCCTTCGGGGCTGGCTGCATCGATACACAGCGCACGACTAGAGTTGAGGAGGCTAAAGAGGTTCGTCTACAACTTTCACCTCTCGCAAGGCAGTGGCCCGAGTATGGACCAAACATACGATTATCTGACCTAGTTAACGCGCCCTTAACGACTCCATGTTCAATGCACGAGAACCCGTCGATGCATGTCAGACGCGTTGAGGGAACGTGATGGAGACGCGCAAGGGCGTTGGAGAAAGCTTAGTCAGTCGTGCCCGCTTCCAAATTCGGGTCGTCGGCGCGAACGATAACCATCACTTGACCACGACAACATGCATAAGATAAATACCCCCTCTTTCCCATCAGGTGTTCTGAATTCGGACTCTGGTCCTCGAAAATAACCTATATGATGCAAAGCATTGACGCTTTTCGATTCTTGGACCTTCCAAAGGAACTCCGGTTGATGGTCTACGACCGCATCCCTTGCGTAAACGACCATCTGACCTTATCAAGGCGGGATTGGTCTTTCTTCGCAAAGAAACAACCTCTTCACAGAGATCAGACCGCTGTGCATGGCGATGCGGACTCCGACAAACCAGTCATTCTTGTCGTCCAAATGCCTCCTTCATCCATCCTCGCCACGTGTCGAACCATCTATGATGAAGCGCTACCCATCATCTCCAAAAGAAGAAAGAAACCACAAGTGAAGTCACTCAAGGTCATGTGTGGCGCCGACTTCCTCGATGTTTTCTCGCAACAAGACGGCCTTCTCGACATCATCCTGAATTGGACAAGGGCTTCCGGGCGCACTGAAGACGGACGCAGAGGACTTGAGAGCGATGAGAACATCCACGACTGGCTACTAGACGCTTCTCTCGTAACATTCGAAGACGCAAAACACCCACAGTACCCAGCACTCATCCACATCATCGACCAAGTCCAGCAAAACCTCTGCTCTCGCCACGCTCTTCCCATCGAGATCTCACTCATCGATCGCAACCTGCACATGTTCGAGCAGTTCATGGAGATCTTCTACTGGCGAACGATGGAGAAAGAGGGTAAGGTGACCATCAAAGTTGGCATGGCTGGGCCGCAGTATTATGTGAATCCTAATAGTTTGAAGAGGTGGGAAGAGACGTTGAGCTATGTGTCGAGAGATTTGGATGATGCTATGGATATGCGAAGTCTGGTGTATGGAACGAGCAGTGGGATGAAGGTGCTAAGGGCACCTCGACTGATAGGGTCAGCGAAGGACAGGTGGGATAACGAGTGGGGGAGGCAGCAGTAGCAGCACCGATAGTCACGAAACCAAGCGTCAGTGGGTTCCCATAGAGGCTGTCGCGCAGAGCAGACGGTCGCAGTGTGTTACCTGGAATGGCTCGTATGATTTACATTAAAAATGTCAATTTATGTGGCCTCCTGTCTCCACATTGTAGCCATCATGCTAAGATACAATAGGACGCACCCGTCTCAAGACGATCTTTCCTTTATCCATAGTCCCGTACGTCTCAACCCAAAAGGTCTCATATATATCGTGTTCATTCATTCCTCCTCTTTACCCCTCTCGGCACCCTTGAATGCTTCTCTGAAGGTGCTCACTCTCCACTGATCCCTCAACATTGTCGCCGTCGGGTTCTTCACAATACTCTGGTGTCTTTCGAAGTCTTCGTAGGTGTACTCAGGGCCGTGAGAATCATCGAGGAGTGTTGCCTCTAGCCAGTCGAATATTGCGGTGAACTCTATAGTCCAGTCAAGCCACCGAGGGTCAGTGATATCAGCTGCCAAGTTCCTGGCCTCGGCCATGACGTGTCGATAGGAGCTCCGGGTTCCACCACCATACCAATTTCCACATTCTTGTTTGTGTGAAGATCGGCGAGCCGCGACCACGTCTGGACCTGCACATGGTCGATTGTGCCACCTTCGTCGTCATGAGCCTCGCAGAAGTGTCGGTGGTGGTCCTCCATGCCTAGACGTACCGGAGATGTCCAAGCACACACTGAACCTAGTACAGATGTTGATGGCTGACTACGATCCTGATTGTTCTGCATGCTGTGTCGACTTAAGGGTCTCCGGCTCGGCTTCGTTTGCAATCGTTCTGTTACTCGACAACATCGTACGGTCGATAATTGGAGGATGAGGACGACGGTGGGAGCCCCTCCTTCATCGGATGCAGCCGTGGTGTAGACCCTTCTCATTGGAAGATGGTCATAGCCGAGCACGCACAGTTCTGCTGATAGGTCATGAAGCGAGTCGGAACAACCTCGCAGCTCGTAGCCAGTGCCTGTGGCTGGAGGCTCGACTACATCGTTGCAGTGATCACCCTTGACTTTCTGGCTTGTATTGCGTAGCTTCCTCGGTTTTGACTAACACGCCCACTGACGCGGCTCTGTTTCTGATTAGCAAAGAAACAATTAGTTTCAATGTTTCACACAACAGGGCTGTACTCACCAGCTTTGCCCTGCGCTCGACAAAAGCAAGGAGGCTATGAAGTCGTTTCATGGTGTTGTTGAGCTTTTCTTCGAGGCGGGGTCATATATAAGGTTAAGTAGGCTCGAGAGCTTGGGGCAGCATGCCTGGGCACGCTATACCCCTCCGAGTAGGAGCTGTGAAGTTTGCCAGCCCAGACCAAGGTACATGTTTGAATACTTGGAATTTGCCTCTTCAGCTTGGTGAAATGCCCCATACCTGCCCAGTAGTCTTTTTTAATGGAAAACATTGTTTGTCCGTTGTGATGTCCCCCAGTCACAATACTGTGCATTCGAGCATTATGCCTTGGTCATGAACGATTGCTCTTCCGATCGTGCTGTGAACGCAACAACTGGGCACCATAATTCACCAACTGACTTCCTTCAGCGTTTCTTCAATCCTCCTAAGCCCCTCCTCCACAACCCCCCTCTTCAACGAAAACACCACCCTAAACCACCCCACCCTCCCATGCTCCTCACCGGGCTGCAAAAACACCCCATTCTTCACAAATTTCCTTGCAAGTCTCTGATCCCTCGTGTCCCCCTCTCCATGCCCCGGCCCGATCTTCTCAGACACCATTCTCTCATCTTCGGAACCCTCATCATCTCTAGGTGGCAACCACGGACTCAAATCCACCCAAACGAAAAACCCCGCATTCCCGCCTTCCAAGAACGCAATTCCAATCTGTTTCAATCTGCCTGTAATGAGTGTGTATGCCTGCGCAAGTCTGCTTCTACTTAACCCAACAATCTCTCTCACCCATTCCCTCTCCTCCAACATGCTCGTCGCAACTGCAACGCTCAATCCACTCACACCACTAAACCTCTGCACCGCAGTAACAGCTCTCTTCAGCTCCTCATTACGAGTGATCAGGCATCCGACCTTCAGGCCTGCGAGCCCGAAGTCTTTGGACAAGCCGTATGTGGCGTGGATGAGGTTGGGGTCGATGATACCGGTGGGATCGATGGAGAGTGCGGATGTGAAGGGTGTTGCGGAGGGATAGGAGGGGTTGGGGAAGACGCTCAGGGCATACACTTCGTCGGCTATGAAGTGGAGTGCATGGAGGTGGCAGAAGCGCATCAGCGCTACTAGTGTGGCTTGCGGATAGCATTTCCCTGGTCTCATCAGCATCTCACCCTGCACTTTGTACTATCTGTATCGTACTTACCAAGCGGGTTATGCGGATTTACGATGAGTACAGCCCTGATCTTCACTCCTCTAGTCTCGTTTTCCTTGAAGGCCTCCTCAAAAGCCTGCACAACACCTTCCCCAAAACATTCTTCATGATCCGTATCAACAGAGACTAGTTTCACCCCCGCTTTGTTCCCAAAATCGAGCTCAAACCTGCCGTAATACGGTCGACTCGTCAGTATTCCCTCGCCCTCTTTACAAAGACTGTAGGCGAGAACGTCATGCAGACTCGTCGCTGCAGCCGTAACCCTCACGTCCGTACCTCCTACCTCCCAGTAAGGAGCGAAATACTCATTAACATGTGTCGCGAACGCAGAGGGTAGGCGTGGGCCACCGGCAGTGCTGAAGGCGTAGCGGAGTGCAGCGCTGGGGATTTGGATTTTGGATATGAAATCGTGCAATTCTTCTTGGAAAAGGCAGTTCTCTGCTGTAGCGAAGGATATAAGACCAGTGGGGTTGGTGACGGAGTCGTATGTGTGGGATTTGGCGAAGCGCCAGGGGATGGAGAGTTGATCGGCGTTGGCCTGGCCGCGAGGTGAAAGGACCATTGGGGATGATGGCTCAAGGGCGATATGCTGCGAGATTGCGACTACAATAGCTGTGATCTCAGGACTATTGTTTTTATATCTTTTGGTCGATATCATTCCGATATTGGTATGTTCGGAGTTGGTGATCGGAGTAAAATGCCTGCTTATTAACCTGCTCACTTAGGCCACCAAAGGTACGAAACGCTGCTGACCTGCATGACATCAGAACATGGGTAATGTCGAGTTGCTTCGTATGCATGTGAGTTAAGAGATGTAGTGAAGAGACTGCGTGGAAGTAAAGTTCAATGATTCCGATTCTTGTGACGGGCAACCCTGCCTTCTAAGATCCAGGAAGCTAAGATCGCGGGTAAAGAGTTGCGCCCTGCTGTCAACGCAGCCTCGAATGTATAAACAAGAAATGAACTCAGTCAGTAGTCCAATACGACGACTGTGAAGAGACGAGAGCCATAACGAACATAACAACGTGATCCGTGGCGAGCCAGAGGTGCCTGAAAGATGCAACAAGATTAACAATAAGCAAAGACAACGCCATGTGACCAGAGCACATATACAAAATCAGGTAGATCAACGAGACATTCCCAGACAAACCAACAAATTTTGGTGGTATCATAAGTTCGGAGGCGTCATAGCGCATAAAAGCAAAGGGCAATGGTATATCAGGAAAGAGGTTTTGAGGGTTCGGGCGTACGAAAGTGCGCCAGTTGGTATACAGAGAGCGACTAGCTTACGCCTGTGGGCAGCTGTGGAGTCGGCGGATGTGAAAAATGCGACTTGAGGCCTTGCTGCATGTGGGATTGGAACTTGGTCTCGAGACCATCATCGAGGAGACCAATGCCGCTGTCATCATGATGGCTTTCCTGTTGCGAAGGGTTCATGTCGTACTCGAAGCTGAAGCTCATGGGATCGTACTGCTGTTGAGCAGGTCGTCGAGCATGGACTGATTATCTTGTGTTAGTTAATTACCAAGCCGGATAAGTGACGATGTTGAGATGCATACCTTCGTGATTCGCGGGGATGTTGTCCTGCATCGCCGTGGTAGTGGTCGACATGAATGATTGATCGGGTCCAAATTCGGCATCGAGGCTGCTGTATCTGCTCTCGTTGTTGCTTCCACTCCCGCCGTTGTTCATGCCTGCATTTACAGACCCCTCAAGGACCGGCGAGTATGATGACGAACTCCAGTTTGGTGGACTGTGATCCAAAAATCCGCCCAAGGAAGCAAGCCACTGAGCCATCTCATCGACGAAGACCTTGTTCAACCACCAAGCCTGAAAGCTGACACCATTCTCCACAGTGATTTCACGTACTGCAGCAGACCCAATTGCGTTGATGCAGTGTAGAACGGTGCGAGCGTGCGCATTCGGGAAGCGGAATGGTAGGCGTATGAGGAAGGCTGCGATACGATCGATGACGGATTCTGTAGGATCGGCGGGGGGGTCTGGGTATGTGGCATGGTAGACAGTTCCGGTTGGCAACTGGATGTCCTGTGGCAGTGGGCCGAGCATGGGACGTATCTCCGTCATCAATATGCTGTATACTTCTTCGTGACTACAAGAACCGGGCAGCTCGTTGGCGATGATGCGTTTGATGTTAACGTGCGACAACCAGTCAGCGAACATCTGAGTGCGGTGGTTTTCGGCCGTGAGCATAACAGCAGCCGCATGCGCTGTGGAGTTGACTCGTAACATCTGACGTAATAGATGTGCGAAGTTGGTCGCAGGCTCAAGCTTGGCCTCGAGGACGTGTACGGGCAATGGCTGGAAGACTTTGCTGATATGTGCGTGCAAGGTCTTTGCAACGTTGTCGAGGAATCTGAGAACGATCGGAGGAGCAACCTGTAGTGTGAGCTGGGAGACGTTGCGAATCATCTTCTGGTACATCATCCAATCGCACTCCTTGATCCACGGCGCGAGTTCTGGCGACGCGAACAGCTTCTGCACTGGTACCGTCAAGGTGCCGTGGAAGGTACCAAACAACCGAAAGAATTGCTTCTCCTTGCAATACCGGACCGAGTCTACAAGGGATGTGACATGCGAACGGTACATAGCCGTCAGGTTGTCCGCCGAATCAGGATCGGTGCGCGCAGGCAAGTATGAGGTGATGTCTGGAAGCTCGATCTCCAGCACATCCGAGGCTGTGAGTACTTCTGCCGTTGGAAACTTCAGTTCGTATTCGTATGAGGTCTTCGTGCGAGCGTTGGTTGGGCGGTATTGGTTTGAGTAGATATCGGCAAACAAAAGACCCTTGGATCCAGCCGGGGCGTATTGAGTGGTAGTAGATTCTGTGCCAGTATCCGGCGGTGGGAACTGTGCGCTATCTGCAGGCAGCCGTGGTATCGAGTTGAAGTCGAGCTTTGGGCCGGAGGACTGTTGCCTCTTCATGGTGTGGTGTGCTATAGGGCCAATGTTCGGTCGACGAGCATCTTCTCCATCTTCGCTGTCGTTGATAAGGGCGAGGTCAACGTAGTGGTACTTGGACTCTCCGCGAACACCAAGGCGTCGAGTCTGGATGCCCGGAAAGATGACACGGACAAGCTTGCCAAATGATGCCGGGTTCAATGGAATGACGCGGTCAGTACCACAGCGCTCTGCATACTTTGAGTAGACTCTGTTGCGTGGTACGGATGTTTTCGCAAGGCGGCAAACAGACTTGAGCCTATGAGATGTTAGGGAGTTGTCATGACACGGATGTAATAAACTGACCATAGCATAGCAAATAGCTGCTTCGACTTCTCCGCCTTCGACGTTCTGTCAGTCTGGATGACTTCTGCAGCCACGTCTTTCAGTTTGCGCCCCTCGTTCTGCTGCAGCATTTGTCGTAGCTCCTTGTCGTTTGTTGCGCTTCCTGACGTCGAGCCTTTCTTCTTCTTGTCTTCCACTTCGACTAGCGGTGTTATGTACTGCGTTTGTAATGGTGGCTGCGACATGGATGGGTGGTACGGGTGGGCATCCATGGGTTGCGAGGGCATGCCGTTTGCGTGGACTGGGTTTTGGTTGGCATCGACAGGGTAGCCGAGGAATTGCTGCAGGCTTTCCATCGAGGTGCTCATCAGATTGTCCTGCGCGCTCACATGCTGCGCAGCTTGTAGCAATACAGGCTGTAGGGGCTCGCTGGTGAACGATGTGTTGTATTGTGGTTGTGAGAAGTGTGCCGGCCGGGGCGGCTGTGACTGGGAAAACTGCGGTTGGAGGTCGTGTTGATCGAACGAGTGCACACTCGTTGTCGAGGCGCGCGAGAGCGGTCGATTACTCCTTGTCGACATGGAGGTGTTCGACCGCGATCGGCGGATGTCAGTAGCCATTGGGAATGAGCCGGGCGGCAGATGATGTTCTGTGTTTACACCAAAACAAACGGATAGCAACGCGATCGATGGGGCAGTGAGACCAACGGAAAGGTGCCTATCTGAGTGCGAGCAGCTTTAGTAAGCCGTGCAGAAACAATGAAATGTTTCTGTTGTTTTGTTGTGAGCGAAACTCGAGTCTAGGTCGATGTCTGGATATATTGATTTAATCGTCGACGCGGGCGACGGCGGCGGCACGTACTGTAGTCCGGAGTGCGACGGGACGTGAAGTGATATATATTAGAAGTAAGATATCCAGGACCAAGACGGCGTCGCGGGTCGGAGGGCGAAACCTCAATGTCGAGCTTTGTTGTGGAAGAGGCTGGGTCGTGTTTACGTTTTCGTCCACAGACCAGCAACGGTCGAGGTCACGTGCATTCCAGCTTATTACCAACTTTATGCATGACCATTGCAAACTTCAGTTTTCGAACGAGAGTCATAAAATTCAAAATGAGGGTGTTGAGTTGCAAACCTTACAGTGAACGTCCCTTGTGCGTGCACTTTCATTGTTTGCTGCAGGCACACGCATATTGGGCGTTGCTGCTGCTGTTTGGCTTGTGAAAGCCGATCGCAACTGACGTAACAAGTTAGGATGACGCACGCGCACTTCCTTCATTCCACAATAATCCTTCCCCACCCTTCTCCCTTCTAAAGGCCACATCGCCAGCACACTCCGTTCCACTCACACGAGCACGAAAGTCATTACATCAACACCTTCCTAAATCTCATACACAACCCCCAAAACCACACCCATCATGTCTGTTCAGGATAGAGCCCAGGCGCACCTTTCACAGCTCGACAAGGAGGTAAGATCATAATTCAAGCAAATCTACTTCTGCGCATGCATCCATGTATGCTCTTGTGGCTATCGCATGATGTTCGTTGGTTGCGCAATCAATCTTGAGCAATGTTCGCTGACAGTTTGGTGTGCTCCAGCTTTCCAAGTACCCCGCCCTCAACAACTTCGAGAAGCAGACCTCCATCCCCAAGGTCTACGCCATCCTTGGTCTCGGCGGTCTCTACTTCTTCTTGATCTTCTTCAACATTGCCGGCGAGTTCCTCGTCAACATTGCTGGCTTCATCATTCCCAGCTACTACTCACTGAACGCCCTGTTCAGCGCGAGCAAGGTCGATGACACTCAGGTGCGTTAGCTGGCTTGCAGACACCCGCGCATTGCTTTTTTGGGCATACTAACCTGCTTCAAGTGGTTGACCTACTGGGTCGTCTACGCCTTCCTGACGGTCTTCGAGAGCGCCGTCAGCGCAGTGTACTGGTTCCCCTTCTACTACACCTTCAAGTTCGTCCTCGTTTTGTGGATGGCTCTTCCCCAGACTGCGTAAGCCAAAACCCCCTCAACCTTCAGTACGTCTAGACTAACATTCCAAAGTGGTGCCCAGATCATCTTCCGCTCCTTCATCCAGCCCGTCTTCTCGCGCTACTTCTCGGAGTCCGGATCTACTGCTGCCGATCTTCGCGCTAAGGTTGACTCGGCTGGCAAGTCCCACGCTTCCTAAGCGTCTCTTGTCCATACCGTGTTCTGATAGCCGCATGTCCAGGCAAGGAAGAGGGGTTGGACAGCACGGCCGAACCGACAATTTGCATCACCCCAGAGGAGCGCATTCCTGTGGTGCAGCAGATTGATCCCATACGGCATGCGGCTATTGTGGCTTGGAGACATTATACAAACGAAAATATACGACCTATGAATACCATTAGCGAACGTAACGGCGGTTCTGGCGAGTACAAGAAGATATCCCTGCGTGTCACGATCAGGTTCCCTTCGACGACTTGATTGGATGTCTGTATTGAATCCCTTGATTTTGGGTAGTAGTTGTAAGGCGAGCTATTGCATCAGGTGCGATCCGATGCTTTGTTCGAGCAAGTCGTAATTCAACTCTACATTTCTATCAATTGCCCAACACCGCATCGTTCTTGTGACGACGACATCGCAAAGAAGATATTAGCGTCTACTTGTCAGTATCTGCTTACGTATCGTAGGTGTTATCTCATCTGGGTCAATTACGGAAACTGCAAACAACAAAGGCTTGGCGCGTACCTTCACCTTTCCGTTACCTCGACTTTCTCCGCATTATCTTGACCGACCGTCCACCACACCACCACACCGCTGCTTCCTTAAAGTGATGAGTCTTTACTTGTCCCCTCCTGAGCTTCTCGTCATTTACTAATCGCGATTGCCTAGAGTTGAACAGAGCTGTAAACAACATCATGGTCGTGCTGAATCGCAATATCCAGACAAGAGTCGTCCTTTCCGGTTTCTCGACCTTCCCAAGGAGCTACGTCTCAAGGTCTACGAATGGCTCACTCGCTTTTGTGACCGCTTCGATATCGATATTCCGGTCACCGACGGTACGACCTCGATCACCTTAATGACCCGCAGTCCTGTTACACTAATATGTTTGGGTTGTAAATTCATTCATCAAGAAGCTACTGCAATCATAAGCCTGACACAGACCCCGATCCGTTGTGTCGCGCGAGACCACTGGTGACCATAGCACTATCGGTGAGGTGATGTGGTGTCTACGTGGCTACAATCCACATCGCACCATCAATACAGGGTCATTCTCACCGAAACACGAGTGCAAACTCGACCTCAAAAGTTATGAGAAGCTCGGGGCGTTCGCAGATGCAGCACTCCTTAACACGGACGCGTGGCAAAAACCGATCGGGCTTGTATTTTCGGATCCGCTGAGCCTATACATCGTCATTGATGGAGACGAGTCGCAGTTCTAGATTCAGGTAGATCTGTTCTTTTTCCGACTAGAGTCACTCTGTCGCTCGCATGTCAAAGCGTTCGTGCGCTTTCTTGGACAGAACGAAGACTTCTTTGAACATTTCATTCACATAAAGAACACTGAGAGGTTGTTGTTGGAGATTGCATTTTTCGGCTCACATATCGGGGACCAAGATTTCAGGACCTTCCTCCGAGATTTGGATATCTACCTTCTAGCGGGTCACCGAGTGCATGTGTACGAGGTGACCTTTACAAGGATGTTATCGATGAAGAGATGTGGGACAGTAGTTGGGCTTAATGCCACAGGAAAAGTGCATCATTCGCCGATCTGATTTGTGCAAGAGACTAAGACTACGTAGGACAACACATACTCTAAGCAGTACATCTTACCGTCCATTTAAATAGTGCCTGGGCTATGATCTGCGCCCTGATTAGTGAGGGAAGTGAATCTTTTGCACTCGGAAGAGGGAGAAGCAAACGCACTTGCTCATTGTTTTAGCGTGGTTTTGTTAACCGCTTTCACCTATTTGCCTGAAAAGCGTTCTCAACCTCGCAAAACAACAATGCTCCGTCCACTGACTCCCTCCACTCAGCCGTCTCACGAAACCACCCTAACTTCTTGCTATGGAAAGCCTTGCCCAGCGAGATGGGTAGCAAACGTTCCGCCTCCTCGACCTGCCGGAGGAACTTCGCCTCATGGTGTACGAATACCTAGTCTCCAAGTCGGGTCGCACTCTCGACATCAAAAGTGCCTATGGTATCCATTTAGGGGGGCGCAACCACGGCCCCCTCATTGTCGATTCCATTTGTCAAGAAGCGGTTCACATACTGGCAACACATGTTACGGATCCGGAAGGCAGTTGACAAGAAGAATAGAGAGGAAGAGTAAATGTAAAGATAGCGAGGTACCTCCGTAGTGCTAGATGTCTGAATATCTCCAGGCTGCACTTTCAGCCCCTGACTTTTGCAGGGCAACACCGAGGAGCGATTCTTGGAAGAAGTCTTAGTTGTCGGCAAAGGATCCGCCTTCTCATTGAGTTTGGACAGGAGACAAGAAATAGTAAGGACTGCTTTCGGTCTTTAGCCAGGATTGAGACCGCTCTTTTCAAATCAAGAACACAATGTGTGAATCGCAGAATTTATCAATGATGTTGACCCGTGTTTGGATGAAACTTAACATATGAAAGAACGTGATCAGGCGAGAGTCGTGACGTCAGGTGTGCTGCGGGGCGCGTCTCAACGCGCAGGAACAACCGCAAACATCACCTCTACCATCGTGTCGATCTGCCGCCGTGCGACTGCCAATTTTCTAGTCAATTCATTTTTTATTTATTCTGATTTGCGTAGTTCTCAATCCTCTTGGAAACAACGATTCATCCATTCACACTCACCATGGCCGACGAAAGGAGCCCCAAAACGGGCAAGAACGCCTACGTTACTCTCCTAACCCGGCCATCATACCTCGCCGGCGCCATCCTCCTTGCATTTACCCTCCACAAGCACTCTCCAGACACGCCACTGATCATCACCTACACGCCCGACACCGTGGGCGAAGCCTCATTCGCCGCCTTCAAAGCCGAAGCAAAGTACTCTAACATTATCGTCCGTCCCGTCGAACATCTTCGTCTCCCCGAAGATGGCACCAAACACGGAATGGTGGCCGAGCGCTTCATCGACACGTGGACGAAACTGCGCGTTTTTGACCTGTATGACTTGGGGTTTGAGCGGCTGTGTTGGTTGGATGCGGATATGATGATTTTCTCGAACCCATCACCACTTATATTCAATGAAGATAATGATGCGTACTTGGATGGAGGAGATGCGATGCGCATAATGGCCACACACGTATGCGTCTGCAACCTCGACCACGACTCGTGGGCGCCGAAGTCCTGGGTGCCAGAAAACTGCGCATTCACACATCTCGCCAACTCCTCAGAAGTACCGGAAGTCACCAACTCGCCCGAGACCTTCGGCCAATTCAACTCCGGAACCTTCGTCTACCGTCCCTCGAAAGCGCTCTCAGACTTCGTTCTCGCCAAGTTCAACGAGCTAGGCAACGCGCGCCTCCGCGCCATGAAGTTCCCCGACCAAGACTTTCTCAACGAAGCGTTTAATTCCCGCTGGAAGAGCTTGTCCTGGAAAACCAACGCGCTGAAGACATGGCGGTACTGGCACCCCAACGTCTGGGTGGACAATGAAGTCGGCGTGTTACACTACATCGTCGACAAGCCGTGGGCTGCGCGCGTAAAACCTGACGGCACGGCGGGGTATTTGGGTAAAGATGGCGAGACGCACGAGTGGTGGTGGAACGAGTACGAAAACTGGCAAAGTGAACGGGTCAAGCAGAAAGAGGCCGGCCTGCTTGCTACTGTGAGCAAGTACGCCGCTGCCGAAACCGGAGAAGAGAACGAGGAGATGAAGGCTATAGGAGGTGGTGCGCAAGACTATGCGAAGAAGTTCAAGGATGGGAAGGAGATTGATGGTCAGGATGGCCACGAAGAGTTTCCACAACTGCAGAAGAAGGTTGAGAGGGGGCATGGGCCCGTCGTCCGCGGGAGAGGGAGGGGAAGGGGCGAGGGATGGAGTCTCATGGAGGCGTGAGGTGTCGAGGATGTTGTGATGGTCGAACAGAGGAAGATACCCCTGGGTTTATAAAGAGGGCAGGGCCTTCAACAAGGACCATCAGGGTGCTCACGATGCACTTCGTCTGGAAAGATAGACATAGAGGTGCAAAACAAGATGAGATAGACTGAGCAACAGGGGCCTAGTCGCGAGCGTGGGAGACCACCAGTCCCTCTCGAGCAGCACTTGATTCAGGACATTCACGCCCCATGGCTGCTTCCCTTTAAATCGACAAGAGATCTCTGCAAACTGAAGCATGTCGACGTACAGAAGGCGTATCAATATGCCACCGGTTCAGGAGATTTTGACGGACGACAGCATCGGTGTTTATGTTGCGATGTCATGTGAAGGAAGTCGAGGCGGGTAGGGAACCGATGTCCCGTTCGGGCAATTACCTCGGCGTTGTTCTCCACGCCACGGCGTAGCTGTACAGCTCTCCACCAGCCTCTCTTGCATCGCACCTCTTCTTGCATTTCCATTATCCAACCCATGCACCAGACACCCGGAGTCCCGCCGTGTTTGTAAGCCACCCAACTGCCCACTACGCGCCCAATCCAACCACAGGCTCCGTGACCGACGCCCTCTCCCACCTTCCCACCTTCCCACCCACACGCGACCCAGCTTCGACGTGGAGCTCTGGGGATCGCTCCACCCCACACGATGATGCAATCAACGCGCAACTGGCTGCGGCGCAACCGCACAAACTTCGCCATCGGCGCCGGCGTCCTCGGCACCGCCTACCTAGCCGGCCAATATGCGCTGGGCAAGTTCAGCGAAGCACGACAGCGCATGAGCGAGGAGCGAATCGCAAAGGAGAACCTGCGCCGGCGCTTCGAGCAGAACCAGGAGGACTGCACGTTCACTGTGCTGGCTATCTTGCCGACGGCGACAGAGAAAATCCTCGATGCGATACCCGTGGAGCAGGTGCTGGAGGAGCTGCAGAGGCAGAAGGCGGAGAGGCTGGCGAGGAGCGTGGGGCCGAGCGAGATTGCGAGTAGTGCGCCGCCGAGCGTGGTGGACACGACGGAGGACGGCACGAGGAGCGAGAGTGTGCAGACCAGCGCGGAGAGTTATGTGCATGCCAGTCAGGCTGCGCTGGAGCGCGAGCCGAGGACGGTGGCGGGCGAGACAAGCACAGAAGCCACAGGCGACAGAGACAAGGCTAGGGCGAGCAGGAAGAGCAAAGCGCAGCTGTGGAACGAGATGAAGATAGGCTGTACTATCCCCTCCCATCCTCCTGGAGACATGATCACTAATAGGCCCAGCAATCACCCGCGCCTTCACCCTCCTATACACAATCTCCCTCCTCACACTCCTCACGCGCATCCAGCTCAACCTCCTCGGCCGCCGCAACTACCTCGCCTCGGTCGTCTCGCTCGCATCACCTCCCCCCGCAGACTCCGCGTCCCGCATCAAGCTCGAGAACAATGACGACGACAACCTCGAGCAAGCCTACGGCAACGACTTCGAGACAAATCGGCGCTACTTGAGCCTCAGCTGGTGGTTGCTCCACCGCGGCTGCATAGACCTGATCGAGAGGGTCCGCGGAGCCGTCGAGGATGTGTTCGGGCTGCTGAACCCGAGAGAGGAAATCACGATCGAGAAGTTGAGTGAGCTGACGCTCCAAGTACGCAAACGCGTTGAAGGCGCCACGGAAGAGGAGCGGCGGTACGCCTCCCCCTCACCCCTTCCCCCTCCCCCCTTCCTTCTCACCAGCTAACGCGACACAGCACGCGCAAGTGGCTCACGTACCTCCTCCCACCCACCGACCAAGAAGACTTCGTCCTCGCCGAGTCCGGAATGACAAGCAGCTCCCAATCCACATCGCCCACTACCACAACCTCCCTCCGCCGCCTCATCGACGAAACATCCGACATAATCGACTCCCCCGCCTTCACCTCCGTGTTGACCCGCCTGCTCGACGCCTCCTTCAGCCACCTCATCGACGTCAAAATCTCGCAACTGAGCTACAAAATCCCACCAATCTCCGCCGACAGCGCGCGCGTGACGGAAATCGTCGGCGAGGGCGTGAAAGCCAAGGTCGCAAACTCTCTGGCGGTGTTTTCTCGGCAGGCGCATAACATTGGTACGGGCGCGAACAATGACTATCTCGAGAAAATTGAGGGAGTTGGCGAGTTGGAGGCTTTCGCCGCAGTGGTGTATAGTAGTAATTTCGAGTTTGAGAGTCCTGCGCTGGGTGCTGAGGGGGCGACGGGGGCCACGGCTGTCGATACAAAGGAGTTGACGGCATTGAAAGATGAAGTCAAGGAGGAGATTGAGAAGGCCGAGGAGAGCTTCGAGAGCGCGTGGGATAAGGCTGTCGCCAAGTAGAGCATCGAAAGGTGGGTTCGCAAACCATGTCAGAGGAGGATGGCTCCGGTGCCGGCTACAAGTCACTTTGGGACAGAGCTGGGCTAGACGTTTGGATGTTGAATGAATGATACCCGATGACCAACACTTGCACGCTCCCAACTTGTACCGCACAATTCTACGTTTGTGTCAAAATGCCCAGTCTCCATTCGTCTGCTTGCCCTGCAATTTGTTTCGTAAGAAATGATCATCTCCAAATTCCCCGTTCCAAACACCGCTGAAGGGTGGAGGCCATTCATACCCGAATCCCATCGTGTCCTAATGCAAGTGCAATCTGTACACCACCCTTCGATACAACGAGTCATACGCATCCGACAAGTGAGTTCGACCAGACAGAAGGAGTTTTTCATGCGGCTGGTGTGCTCTGGCGAGGCATCGAATTGCGATCGTTCTGAAGCCCGCGAAAATGTCGGAAGCCCCTTCCATGCGTCAGGCGACACACGAGGCGTTGCCAAGTCCGTTAGTTTGCTGTTTGACCAGCACGCGCTGAAGGTGATGTGCGCACAAAAGTGGCAAAAGATGAGGCTGGAGGGAAGGATGTGGGGCGCTGTCGTCAGAGATGGAGCCAAACAGGGCTGCCCAAGCGACAAATCCCGTACCAAGGGTAGAGTGAAGAAGATGCGTGATGCTGAGGCAGCTGTTGACAAGCTTTACGCACACATCGACAGTGCTTACCTCCAGTACACGGCGCTTGTCAGAACACACCTACATTCGGGATCATGTGTTCAAAGGGAGGCCGGTGCAGCGCACTCCTCCTTGGGCCGAAGAGGAGGTAGCCAGCTCAGCACAGTTACCAGCACGACAGGGTATGGTGGCACGGTGGCCTTTCACTGACGTCGTCGATGAGATTGAAGAAACCAAGATAGCGCTCAGGTCCAAGCTCAAGATTAAGACCCGTGGCACGACTGCTCTGGCCGTACACCCTAGTCTGAACGTTCAAGCTATCGAAGATGAGCTGCTGAAGGGCGAGCAATGTACCAAGCCCATCGAAGTTGACAAGCGTTCCCATAAGGTGCTCAAGAGCCTGTTCCACGTTCCCTCATCAGAGCCATCCGAGTACCTCCGGGCCATCAATTGAGATGACTTCAAGCGGGCGATGGTGAGCGTAGGCTTCAGTGCGGAGAAGCTGCATGGCTTGGCGTGGTAGTTTGCACCTGTCAACGATGAGCTCGGTCTCGAGCGCGGTATCCAGTTCCATGAGCCGCATCGGGAGAAGGAGATAAGGTTCACGGAGGTGGGGAGATTTGGCAGGATGCTGCAGCGGGCGTTCGGCTGGGAAGGGAGTATGTTTCGATTAGCTTGGTTTCGAACCGTATGCTTGGGGTCTGTAGCTGGATTTGTATGTGGGTCTTAGGCTTGGACTGTAGATCAGGCTTGGTTAGTGTGGTAGCTTCGCGTGTTGGACATAGAAACTCCATTTGTGTCAATGATACATACTATGAACAATGCCTCCAATGAGCAATCTGATTGTTGACGCCCATATAAAAGTGTTACGACCCCATTCACCACAGCTGGCAAGTAGGCTTCTTGTCCTTGCACTGAAAGCTCTCCCTGAATTCGCGACTGTTGGCCATCGTACCCAGAATGCGAGCCCACTTAGGTGCATGAGGGTCGGTATAGATTCTGTTGATGGCATTCTCCTTGCGCGACTTGCCGCACCACCAGTTCGAGTAAGTGACAAAAAAAAGTTGATCTTGGGTAAAGTGCTCAAGACCTGGGAGGTCCTGGTTGGGCTTCTTGTAAGAGCGGCGCTTCCAAGCCTGGTAAGAAGCAGAGAGACCGCCAGCGTCCGCGATGTTCTCGCCAAGGGTGAGACGTCCGTTCACGTGGAGAGGCTTGTCGTCGGTGCCAGGGACAGAGAAGTTGGAGTACTGGTTGACGAAGCACTCGGCGCGCTCCTTGAAGGCGTCAACGGTCGCGTTGGACCACCAGTCTGTGTAGTTACCGTTCTGATCGTAGTGGCGGCCAGTAGAGTCGAAAGCGTGGCTGAGCTCGTGACCAGCAACGGACCCGAACGCACCGTAAGACATGTATGCAGGTACGTTGACATCAAAGACGGGGAATTGCATGATGCCAGCCGGGAAGACGATCTCGTTGCCAGGTGGGTTGTAGTATGCATTGACTGTAGGAACGGTCATACCCCACTGATCGCGATCGACAGGCTTACCCAATGCTGACCATTCGTCATCAACAGCGAAGCGGCGTACGGAGAGAGCGTTCTGGAAGAAGGTGCTGGACGAGACATTGACAGAATCGTAGTACTTCTCAAGGCTTGGAGGGTCCATGATGTTTGGGCTCTTCGTGGGGTAGCCAATCTTCTGGATGATGTTGTGGACCTTGTTGATTGCCTGCTTGGTGGTAGCCTTATCCATCCACTTCGTTGCCTGAAGCTTCTTGGCAAATTCGGTCTTGATGTCAGTGATAATGGTATCGCCAAACTTCTTGGCTTCAGCAGAGAAGGCCTTCTCAACGAAGAACCTGCTCAAAATCCAGCCCACACCGTCATCAACATGACCGACACACTTGCGCCACCGTTCGGGTGTGGAGTCAGGGTCCTGCGAAAAGTCAGATTATACAAAGAGAAGTGTATTCGCTGCTACTGACCTTGCCTGCAAGCTCGTTGACAAATCTTCTATAGGGCTTGACTTCGTCCGCATCCACATATCCTGAGAAGGACTGTACAGCCTTCCACACGAAATAATTCATCACAACCTCGCTATCGGTTTCGTTAAGGATAGAAGAGAGCTTGCTCTGATAGTCTGGGGCCATGACAATAACACGGTCGACACCAACGTGCTTAGGTGCAAGCTCGTGAAGTAGTCCCTTCAAATCAACTTCTGGGGCCAGTTCGTTGGCTTCGTCGAGGCTCATTGGGTTGTAGTACTTAGTGACGTCATCGCGATCCTCTGTACTAGGCGAAGCAGCTGCCAATTTCTTCTCGAAATCAATGATCCTGGAGAAAGACTCTTCCTTTGCGTCAGGGTAGAGAGCACTGAGTACTTTGACGGTGACACCGCGGTACTTCTCGACCAGCTTCTCGTCTTCGTAACGCTCTTTGCTTGGCAGACCGAATGAGTAGGGTGCGGCGACAGATACCACAACAGTGTCGGGGTCACGATCATCGGCACCGGTTCCTGTCGCGATCAGACCAGTGACTCCATACCTTGCGAGAAGGGATGCAGCATCGCCCTCTGGATACGCTTGTTTGATTTCGGCGAGGACTTTGAGAAGTGGTTCAGCGCCGAGGCTTTTGATCTTGTTCTCGTCGAGGCAGGCATCATAAACAGATTTCATCTTGTCGAAGTTCTCCTCATCGGCAGATTTCTGCACAGTTTGCAGCTGCATTGGAGAGAAGTATGAATGCTGTACAGACACGGTCAGGCAACATTCTGTTTCTCTTTGAAGACACGCACCTCCGAGTCCTTGGGATATGGCGCCTCCAGGATGTGACGAAGCAGTAACTCTGAGTTCTCGTTCATGATAGTGCCCGTGAATGCATCCCCTTGATCAGGACGCAGATCATGTCGGTCTCGCCAACCACCACAAACGAGCTCCTCAAAGTCATTGCAGGGATCGAGCTCTTTGTACTTTGGCGAGAGGTTGTACAGGATCTCTGAGGCTGCATGCACACATGCAGGTGTCAAGCATAGCTTGCTTTTAATAGGGTGTGTCGTGACTTTGCAACAAGGTCAGCTCTGCATCAATGCTTAGAGGGTGGCTGGCATTACCTTCGGGAACACTGTAGTAGAGTATTCCGGCAGCAGCAGTGGCACTCAGTACTTTCAATGCTATCTTCCTGGTCGAGCAGCGCTGAGGACGCGGAGCTGGAGCTGCACTCGCCTCAAAACGCGAGATGAGCGGCGCCTTCTCGCCCGACATGTTGTTTGTGGGTCTGAATTGCGGCTGAATGATGGGTACGATGATGCCAGCCAGCTGAGCGCCGAATTGTAATGAAGATGATGTTGATGGATGAGCTGAGGTTGGAATGGGGAGATATCAATGATGACGCTAGGCTGCAGCCCGTGCGGAGATCTGGGGTGCATGGGGCGAAATGCAAGGGGCTGGTGCGGCAGCATCCGCCCATAACCACAACCAGATGATCGCATGTCCCACAATCTTCCACATCTTGGGTCTGTCCGATGTTGCGCGCTTGTTCTGGCCTAAGGTTTTGATTACAGGAGATTTTCGCATTCACTCTCAGGGTACGAGCCCAGCTACCGCAAATCGCGGTAATGACGTCACGAGTCGCCAACAGCACAGAATCGATAGTTGAGAAGTCACATTACATAAGATCTAAGAAGGTATCTTACATCTCTCTACTTCGCAACAACCTTCTTCTGCTTCCAGAAGAACCAGGCTATAGTCATTATGACTTTGATGCCGACTGCAATCCACAGGCCGCCCTTGAACCCAGCATCAGACTTTGTCAGGAAAGCACCTGATATCGCACCGCATAAGAGGAGTACTGCTCCAAGGAAGCGACGGTTCCTGTCAGCGTTCTGACCCAATGGTGCCGTAAACAGCTGTGCATCGCTCATCAGATCGCAGTACAAGCTTGTCAAAACCACGGTTGGCATCGCATTGTATTTCAGCGTGCGACTGGCCACAATTTGACCAGCACTCTGGAAGGCCAGGATAGTAATAGCGGCGAAGTCGGATCCGGGGAATGTGCTCGGCATGGTGAATGTCAGGAACTTAGTATCATTGCGAGTGACCACAACAGGTGGGTGGTTCGGAATGACTGGAATCGTGGTGATGATGGCGACGATGGCGATAAGGAGAGCCTGTATGGCGAAAGACGAGATCAATACCCATCGCTTTTGAGGGCCAAAGAATCGATGGAGAGTCGAGAAGAACAGTGCGCCAAGTGCAAAGCACACGATTGCTGCTAAAGACTTCGCCCAGGAGTATCGAGGCGCTGAGTCAGGTTGTCCATTGACTCCCAGTCCGACGAAGATCGTGTTGCCTGGACGATGTCAGCCACCAGTGCTCATGGGTTAACTATGTTGTCCACAGACCTGTCTGCATACTAACAAAGCATGCATACATATTGAATGCCATGCTGTCGATAAGGCCTGAACAGAAGAAGCAGCCCAAAAGGATCAGATCCGCCCATTTTGCATCGATCTCAGCATCAAGCCGTTGCCGGACCTGCGATTTCGCGCCCGGCTTCTCAAAATCACTTCTCATCGCCTCGTTGTCGGTGACCATGGTGTTGAGGATTCGCAACGCTGTTATCGCACCGATGACGAACTCACGTACCTTTGTACCAGGCACATCCTGATCCACATCAGCCACGACCCAGAAAATTTTCAGCCACTATCAAACAAAAAGCATCGCAATCTCTGAGCCCTTACCAGAGCACGCCCCTTGCGTGAAATAAGAGCGATGTCGCGATGCACGCTAATTGGTGCGTCATGCGCCACAGCGCGGGTGTTTGGTGCCGCACGCAGAAATCGGTTGGATAGCTTCAACAACGAAACACTGCACGATGCCTTTCCCACCATTCGTCGCGCACGCTCGAGCTTGTTGATCGCTTGAGAGGGGCTTTCCTATGAGCTGCTTCCCTGGCGCTTGAGGTACTGAATGTCTTGCAATGGAAATCGACACTGCAAGTTTGCAACACATTGAATTTGCCTGACGGATAACTGAATGAGACACTCGAGCCACAAGCCACCTCTCGAGAAACGGAAAAAGCGGGATGCAAACGCACATTTCCAAATCATTGGAGATATTCAGGGCGAATGAGCAGAACCTCGTTGAGTGTGACAAGATTTCAACAGTTTTTGCAAATGGTGCCAGATCTTTGCACTCGTATCGAATGCCTCCAGCACTTTGTTCTGAAGGTGTCGTCGGGATCTTGCAGTAGGCCTTTTCTGCTACACGTGAGCCGCGAGGAGCATTGACAGCAGCACGCGTAATATAGAGCCCAGGAACTTGATCACATCGAACAAGGGCATGCTTGTGACCCCTTGTCAATGGGCAAAGAGTTTCTCGTCATTCAGTGGGTGAGAGAAGCTCACATATGGAAGCTGCTAGTACTATCACGTGATAGCTATCGGGGAATCTTTCACCTCCGACACTACTCGTACTGCAAGAAGGCTTGATTGAACAACATCTATGAGGGCATATAGAGACTCTACTCTCCGGAAGGACCAGTAATGGTAGTGCCCAGCTTCCCGGGAGTGCCAAAGTTTGGTGTGCCATTGGAATTCCAGTTGACCTTCTGCGCCATAGTGTATCGGTTGCCATCGCAAGCTCCTGCGCTGTTGGCAGTAGCGTGGTATACGTTCCAAATCTCCTTGCCGTCGGGGCTGGTGAAGAAGCTAAAGCACTGTCAGCATACGCCCATGAAATACATGCAATTGAGGCTTACCCATTGTGTCCAGGTCCATAGTTGCTGTTCGCAGAGGTAAAGACGGGTCCAGACTTAGCCCAGCTGGCACTTAGAGATGGGTCACCGCTTCCGCTCCAGGTGAGAAGACCCAAGCTGTACTGGGCAGTCCAGCAGTAGCTAGCAGAGTAGGTGAGATAGGTCTTACCGCCATAGTACATGGCAGCAGGGCCTTCCATGACGGGTGCGCCGTTCTTCTCCCAGCTTTGGGTGGGTTGCGAGAGCACTTTTGTGGCACCAATCTTGCCGGGCGAGGTGAGAGGTGCAATGCAGAGCGACTGAAGACTGTCGGACATGCAGGACCAGACGAAGTAATTGCCCCAGGAGCTGAAGCGGACGATGCTTCCATCGATACCCCAGGTACTGGTCAGGGTTGCGAGGTAAGAGTAGGACTGGAAGGGATCGGCACCGCCTACAATATTGTCAGTATCCCCGCTCACGCGTACAGGTTCAGGTCTTACCCTTGAGGACGTGTGGACGTTGCAGGTCCAGGTTGGCGCTGCTGCCGGCTGTGTAGTAGATGTACCACACGCCGTCGAAGTAGTGGAGCTCAGGCTATAGAACGTTATCAGTAGGGACAGCCGCACCCTCTGAATCGGCATACATACAGCCCACATGTTGGCGTTCCTAGTACTTGTTAGCCTTGGCCCCCCTCGAATGCTTCTGCTTTTGGTTCGAAGACTCACCTGTTGGTGTTGGTGTCGGTCCAGACGGTCTTCTTCTCTCCGGTCTTCAGACCTTCAAGTGTCTTGGCCCTGATGATCTGAAGGTTGGTCCATGTCGTGGTCATGAGGTAGTAGTATCCTCCAGTCCAGACGATGTGAGGATCAGAGCCATCAGTCTTCTTGAGTGGGTTCGAGAAGTTTGCTGCGCTGACGAGAGAGGAAAGCGCAAGCACAGCGGTGCTGAGAGTCTGGAGGAACTTCATGTTGCAGGTTGGGGTACGACACAGTTGATCTTCATAGCTTGGGAGTACATAGTCAACTATTTAACACTGCTCCTATGTTGTCAATTGGGACTGCAATTCGGCGTTTGGCCGATCTGCGAGATGAAGGTATACCACGCGATCATGCTCATACCTCGCCGTAGAGACCGGGCTACCCATTCCACGAATAGCTGTTTCGAAACACACAATACCAAGACAATTAAATTGACCAAGTAGAACCACCTGTGTGGAAGTCGCGGGACCTGGGGTAAGCGTTTCGCGAATGTCAGCCACAGAATGCTCCGATTGGTGCAATTTACCTGGGGAATTCCCAATGTGTATTCTCCGGTCCACAAAAAGTCCTGGCTTTTAGTGTTCTAGTTTGAGCTGGTATGACAGCTCACGGGCCGTACCTGAGCAGTGAAGCTGGTGCCGCATAAGAAAATGTGGATTATGGATTTGCCGGTGTGCGCCTCTGAAGTCATGCCGATGCTAGGAGTACAAATACGATTGCATACATCGACACCTTCCAAAAGCACTCGTGGGCCGCTGAGTTCTGGATGCTCCAGCCTTCATTTTCAGGTTCTTCAAGAAGACGAGCTCCACTTGCGGATTTTCCGGGGTACGCAGTTTTGTTCATCCATTGACGCTCGCGCTCTTCGGCATGCCGATCCCAACTGCCACAGTCGAACCAGCATCGACAGGCAAGATTGCTCCTGTAATCCATCGGGCATGATCACTCGCCAGGAACGTTACTATATAAGCTGCATCCCATCCATTGCGATCTGAGCCAAGTAGACGTATCTTTCGACGAGCTTCGTGAGCCTCATCATTCATACCACCCGCGTACATCATCGGTGTATACAGCATCTGTGATTGCGTTAGCACGAAGAGACAAGAGATCGCAATACTGACTCCGGGGCAAGCACAGTTCACACGGATACCATCTGACGCATGGTGCGCCGCAATCGCTCTTGTCATGTTCACCACAGCACCTTTGCTCGTTGGGTGGAGCAAGTGCAGTGTCCCGCCTGTAAACCGTTAACAATGATGTTGAAAATCAAAGGTAACAAGTTTACCCTATGAGCCTGCACTGAGCCCATGTTGACGATGCTGCCTCGGATCTCGCCTTCCTTCTACATAGATGGTATGCAATACTTCGCCATCTGCACCATACTTCTGACATTGATCTCGAGGTCTTTCGCCTAGGCTTCCATGTCGACTTCGACGGCAGTACCTACTGCACCACCAATGCCGGCGATGTTGGCCAAGATGTCTAGTCTTCCGAACTCTTCAGAGCAGTCTCAACAGCAGCTTTGGTGACGTCAGACTTGAGAGGCAGAGCTTTCACCTTCTGCGACCTTGCAGTAGACATCTGTGCTATCTTATGAGCCCATTCGAAGTTCAAGCCTAGGCATAGTACGTTGCAGCCGTCTTCGGCAAGCATGATAGATATGGCTCGTCCATTCCCCATCCCTTTTCCGGCACAGCTGCGCCCGTAACGATGGCAACCTTGCCCTCGAGTCCGCGACGACGGATAAGATGGAATTTGCGACATGGTGGCTGTTCAATGTCTGTTCATCTGTGGGCAGCGACTGATGATGTGGTTCTAGGTTCCTTTCGAAGAACAGTTATCCCAATCTAGAAAGCCGAGAGGCGCTGCTGCATCGTACACCAGCGTTTGCTTTCGACGGACAACGTGTTACAGGAGCTCAGTTGACACAGCCTTCGGAGACGATGCAAGTACGGACCATCTGCGAGGTGTTGGCATGCTGTGCCTCGGTACATGCGCGAGGTTGGCGCTAACTGAGGGGCAAGTGAAATGGCGAGGGCGGATTCGCTAGGCATCGCAATTACAAGTATACTTGTATACCTCCGTCTAGATTCTAACTACTTCCCAGATCATCGAGCTTTAATCCTGCTACAGTATTCATCGTCAGGCGTGTCGTTACCATGGCTTTGGATTTTTCGCAATATGGTGGTCCGTCGGACGAGTGGCTGGCGATCGAGAAGACGCTGCCAGCCTTGTCCTTCGACACAAACATCGACCCTGTTGTTCTGAAGAACGCTGTCAACAGAGAGCGAGAGGAGAGAGCAGCTGCAGGCATGAAGTTTTTGGCGCCGCATGTCCACACAGTTGATTACACCATCCCAACACGCGACGGTTCGACGATTGAGGCCCGTAGCTACCGCTCTGTCAAGAAGGATAAATCAGAGAAGTTCCCTGTCTACATCTATTTCCATGGAGGTGGTTTCATCTTTGGCAGCATAGCCTCGGAGGATTTCGTGTGCGCCCAGACTGCCATCAACACTGGAGTACTTGTCGTGAATGTCAACTACCGGCACACCCCTGAGCACGTCTTCCCTACCGCGTGGCACGACTCCCAGGATGCATTCGCCTGGGTACACAAGAACATCGAAGAGCTCAATGGTGATCCTTCGAAAGTTCTAGTAGGCGGGGTCTCAGCTGGCGGACAGCTAGCGGCATCTCTCACGCTGGAGAAACATCTCGGAAGAAGCGAGGTCATGAAGGGCCTTCCAGATCTTGCCGGACAGATCTTGATCATTCCCTGCTTGGCAAGTCCATACACCTACGACGAGGGACCAGGCGCGAAACTGAAAGCTGGGAAGTCCTCTTACATCGAGAACGAGCATGCACCGATCCTGCCGAAGAAGACAATGGAGTTCTTCACCGCGTTGCTCAAGGCTCCTAAGGCAGATCTGAAAGACATGAAGGTCAACATCGTGAATGCGACGGAAGAAGAGGTCCGTGGCTTGCCTCCTACGGTCTTTGGTATTGCTGGGCTGGATCCTTTGCGAGACGAAGCGTTACTGTACGCAAAGCAGCTCGCCGAGGCGAACGTATCAACAGAGATCAGGCTGTTCAAGGGCGTACCGCACGGGCATAGACGATTCGGCAAAGCGTTGAAGGCTTCTGATCACTGGGATGAGTGTGTCGACGAGGGCATCTTGTGGGCGTTATCGAAGCCTCAAGCGACAGGCAAGTTCGACGTCAAGCTTCCTTAGCCTCTTTTGCAAGCAAAGAAATGTCGGGTTTGAGATAGAATACACGTGTTTTGCTGTTCAGACAATCTTTCACTCCAGTCTTCGCGCATCCTAGTGTGGTATGCATCGGCCGCGAACTGAAGTTCCACATCTAGTTCAGTGCAGGTTGCAAGCCGCACCAGGGCGGCTTTTCACCGCTAGTGATCCGGGCGGGAGTTGAGCCGAGAACTAACTTGTGCTAACACGATTTAGCTCGATCTACAGGTTTCCCTTGATGACGCAAGGCTTGACTTGTTTCAAGCTCCACCAATTCACTTTCGGGAAGATCGAAGCCCGGATCGCCCAGAGCCCCACACTAGCCCACCCAATACGGGTCCTGCGATATCTTCCGACGTGGGATCAACACTATGCCAGATCTCTAGCTCTTTTACAAGTGACGTTGCGTCACACGCCTGTATGTGGCCGACGTCTCCATGAAACTCACCGTGCGCAAGATGATTGAGCGAAGAGCCAGCTGCTTCTGAGCAGACAAGCTCCTTCGCTCTTCGACACCAGCCATCCCACAGTAACCTCTTGCAACATGGCTCAGCAAAATCTCCTGCCAAACAACAGATGGTCCGACACAAGTACTGTTGTGCCCACAAGGCCGGTCAGCTATGCCGACCCCGAGAAGGCATCCCCTCCTCTGGAAGAAGCGCAGGCAGGAGTACCAACAAAGCCCAACTCCAATGCATCAAAGGCTGTCTCTCGATCGACTCAGGAACGCCCTACCGCTCTTGACTGGGATAGACCAGACGATCCTCTCAATCCTTACAACTGGTCGCTTGTACGGAGATGGTTCCAAACGTACACCATTTCAGGTGTTGCGCTGGTAGGAACTTTTGCGTCCTCTGTTTTCACGCCAGGCATCAACGCCACAGCGGTAGAGTTTGGGTCTCCCATCATCATCGCTACATTGGCATTCTCTATCTATCAGCTCGGTCTGGCTTTTGGTGGACCCTTCGCAGCACCGCTCTCTGAAAGCTTCGGCAGGAAACCAGTGGTCTTCATCAGCATACCGATCTTTGCGCTCTTTATTCTGGGCACTGGCTTTGCGAACAACATGGCTACCCTTGTTGTGCTTCGGTTCTTCGCTGGCTTCTTCGCCGCACCAAGTCTGAGTATGGGAGCTGGAACGCTAAGCGATCTGTGGCAACCAGAGAAGCGATCAGGTCCGATGTCAATGTACGTCGCGGCGCCATTCTTTGGGTATGTAACACAATTCGCCATGCAGCGACGAAAAGGCTGACAGAAACAGGCCAGCTTTGGGTCCTCTGCTTGGAGCCGCAGTTACGCAGACTGTTGGCTGGCGTTGGACGTCTTGGCTGATCCTCTTCTTCACCATCGTATTGGTGATCATCCCTGCGCCGTTCTATTGGGAGTCGTACAAGCCGATCATACTCCGTCGACGAGCAAAAGAGAACGAACAGCCAATACCTCCATCGCCGTTCGAAGACGCTACCTGGGCCAAAGCTCTCAAGATCTACGTCTCGAAAACCCTGATGCGACCGATGCACATGTTGTTTACTGAACCTATTGTCGCAGCGTTCAACACATACAGTGCCTTCAACTTCGGGCTACTATATGGTCAGCAGTCCCATCACTGAACATGACAAGCCCGAGCTGACAATGAGACAGCTTTCTTCGCCGCCTTCCCTCAAGTCTACCTCGAGTACTACGGCTTCGACAGTCTGTCAACCGGCCTTACCTTCCTTGGTGTTGGTGTGGGAGTCATCGCAGCCACAATCGTAATCGTTCTGTTCAGTAAGAAGTGGTACCTGCCTCGCGTTCGCGAGGCCATACATAACGACGATCCTGCGCCTTCTTTCGCGACGTCTCGACTCGAGCCCGAGAAGCGTCTGCCTTTGGCGATGGTTGGCGGACCCTGCATCACTATTGGTATCTTCATGTAAGGTTAAATGCCTCCACAGGTCACTCGTACTGAAGCAGAACAGGTACGGATGGACGACCGCATATCAGGTACATTGGCTCGCACCGACGATCGCTGAGGCACTCTTCGGGTTTGGAAACATGCTGGTCTTCATGGCTTGCATGATGTACATCACCGACACTTATGGCCCGCTCTACAGCGCAAGCGCAATGGCTTCGAACGCGATCCTAAGGTACATTTTGGGAGGCACATTTCCTCTCTTTGCTGTTCAAATGTTCCGTGGGCTAGGGCCTCAATGGGCATGCACGCTTTTAGGATGCCTGAGTATATTGGGCTCTTGTATCCCGTTCGTGCTAGCCAAGTTAGGACCTGGTCTGAGGAAGAAGAGCGGTTATAAGAGGGACGGTTGAGGAGGGACTATGATGCCTTGAACTACGGGTGAGATGGGTCAGAGTTCTCTGGACTCGCTGCAACGATCTGTGAAGTGCAGGAAGGTCGACTGCATAGCCTGGAAGGAAATGATCTGTCCATTGCCAACGACAGCTGAAGCACTCCAAAATGGGGCAGGTTCTGATATATGTATCCAAGCTTTCCGATGCTGCGTCCTGAACTACCAAAGACAATTCTTTCATGGCCGCTGGGGATCCAAGCTCGAGATACGCGGACTCGGGCAGAAGAACTCTGCGTAGGTAGTCGACGAGATACCCATATGTCTCCGTGGACTTAGAAGACATGAATCACAGCTGGTACATGCTCGGATCTAGGCCAGAGCCTCTTAGCTACAACCGTCTGAACATGCCAGGATGAGTATATCTTTTGAAAGCCAACATTGGCAAACCTCCACAATGCCTCGAAGCGCAATAACTTGGGCATTGTCGGCAATTGAGGGGAGGACCACAAAGCGTTGAAAGGTCTGACTAGCCGCAGGCGTTCCATAACTGAGCGTAGTTGGAGGCGCACTGAACCGGAGACCGTTGTGGGGTCCTGACGTTTCCTACATTGGAGGCGTAATTCTTGAGTTGCTACTGGGGAAAGAAGAAGCCACTGTACGGTAGCTGATGTTCATCATACTTCCAGAGGTCTGAGGCGGTGAGACGCTCTATTCTCAGAGATGGTTCACAATCAGCAAAATCCGCAGACCCAATGTACCGAATGTGTTGAGCCAGTGCAGGCTTGTTGAAGAGAGTCTCAAACAGCGCTGGCATACAGGGATGTCGCAGAGTCTGTATGATACATTGGTACAGGAGCGGGGTTGCGATAGCATTGAACTTCAGACAGCTCAAGACAAAAGCGTGTAGGCTGCGCATAGTAGCTACATTTCTACAGCAGCGTTGTTCTTCAGCCTCTTCATCGGCAAGGAAGCCGCGTTCGATGCGCAACCCCGACGAGACAGCAACGAGGAGCTCATCGGGAAGCTCTCCTATGCGGCAAGTGACGGCATTTGCAGCTGCCTCCATCACGGTTTCGGGACCGCAGACTTGATTGCCTGGAGCCGCCGTCGCGCGCTGCTCGAGCCGACAGCAATACCTGGGGCTCAGGAAATGCGCCCAAGCAAAACGTCTGGCAAGCCTTAAAGGAACTCGTTGTTAATGTACGGTGATTCAGCATTGGGACCGTGTCAGGCCGTCTCTCGAGAATTTCGCTAGAAGTAACAATGAATACGTGTTGTCAGCATGGTGTGTGTGACATGGATGTCTGCAGCACCTCGCAGCCAAGATCAAAGCACGTTTGCCGACCATTCCATTTTCGGTCTAGACTGAGGCTGTTCCAGATATCAAGTCAGCATCAAATTCTACCATGGTTTAGTAGGTGGTATATCACGTTTGTGTGTTTCGCAAAATATCAATGGATGTAGGTCTTGAGTGCTGCAGCCACTGGAGTCGCATGGAGTGCTCAGGGTCGGCCGCAACCATTTCATCAAGGATGTCCAGAAGTATTGTTGATACCTTCACCGCGAGCGCAAGTGAAGGCAATGAAATCTACGCTAGTACGGCTTCCTGTTCGCCCTAATCAGACATATACCGTATCAACCCCACCTCTGTAAGACCCGCCTTCAACACACTGTCAGCCTCAACCTTTACCAACGCCTTGGACAACTGCTATCCCTTAAATTCGAAATGAAGACGTTCAACGCCATCCTCGCCTTAACGGGCTTCATAGCGACTGTCACCGCCGTTGCCCTTCCTCAGGTTCCCATTTGCACATTCGACCCCGCCAAGGGCGAGTACGTGTGCCCGACTGCAGTAACACTCAGCTCTACCACCACTTCCGCAAAGCTCAACCCGACCCTCATCGATGGCGCAGCCACCAAGTGCGGTGAAGAAGGCCTTCGCAAGTGTACTCGCGAGCGACAAGGCTCTGTCTGCAAGAATGGTCAGCGGGAGCTGGTCCACCGCTGCGCCACAGTCAGCAGTGTGAAATGAAGGACGGCAACTTCTGCTGCCGCACTCGTGGTCCAGGCTTCAGCTGCTGAAAAGCAGCCTTGCGTCGAGAAAGATTAGCAGACTTCTTGTAAGTGACAGTGCGCTCAACGATTCCATGCTCTTCTTTTGACCATACACAGCTTCCCCGCGAGTCGAGTCTGACTGGACTAGCGTCAATTGGTCTTGCCTCAGGACAGACTTGTCAGGACTGCTGATTGAGTGGCGATAAAGATATTGCCTTTCGAGCTGTGAGCGACACAAGATATGTCTTCGAGGACAGAGGAGACCTTACATGACTCTCCCAGTTGAATTCTAGGATTGTGGTTAGACAAAACGAGTACGAAAAATATTCATCATGGTTCGCAGGCTGTGTTCGACGTCTGCAAGTGATGATCCTGGGGTCAAGCCCTCTGCAATGTTTCTTCATTCGATAAAATTGCCAAACATTGTTGTCGAGTGTCCGTCCCTTAGAGATCCAGTGTTTTGTTCGAAGACCCGGTTTGTTCCACAATCATTGCGCGACATCGTGAGTGACAGCAGGAGGCGTACGAGGAACTGAGAACCTTGGAAGTCGCGTTCGAGACGCGTTTCTGGCCCTTGCCTGTTGCAGACTAGACTAGAACCCCACCCTTAACGCGCTTCCTGCCCTTCTCTCCCGCAACACCAAAGCGTGACCCATCCGCGTTCTTGCAACCATATAGTCTTCTCGAATCATCGGAGATGGAGAAATGCAGCGTCGACTGCTGCCTTTATCTCGCCAAGCACTCCGCTCTTGCGTCGTTGCGCAATAGAACCCCGCAATGTCGTTACCCGATCGCCAGCTGGATGTAGGAGCTTCCGGGCAATGAAGCTATGCGTGCTAAAGGTATATATACTTGTGCGATTTAACACGGTACTCAGATCATACGATCACAAAATACATCATCCAGAGCACTAGCATACCGTCAGAATGTCGACCAACGGGATGCAGAACCTAGAGCAGGGCAACCGAGTCTATGCGGCGGATTTCACACAAGGAGATCTGGCTCTGCCCCCTAGCCAGAACTATGCCGTTCTGACATGCATGGATGCTCGTATAGATCCCGCTGCTGCATTTGGTACGTTCATCTAGAACCGGGATCGATGTATGCTCACCTACATAGGCATTCCTCTCGGCGCAGCACATGTCATCCGCAACGCTGGCGCGTCGGCTCGTGATGCATTCCGTTCTCTCGTTGTATCGCAGCAGCTGTTAGGTACAACTGAAGTTTTGGTCGTCAAGCATACCGGGTGCGGAATGCTCACATTTGATAACGAGACGGCCAAAGATCTCGTCAGGAAGAACAAGGGTTTCGCCGCAGCTAAGGAGGTTGAAGGCATCGACTTCTTGTCCTTCTCAGATCTGGAGGCGAAGATCAAGGAGGATGTCGAGTGGCTGAAAAGCACTGCTATTGAGGAGGGCATCCGTATTACCGGGTGGGTGTACGAGATTGAATCTGGCAAAGTTAGACAGGTGGTGTGATCTGAGTTCAATGTACTAGAGGCTCCACTTCAAGAAGTATGATGTTGAACTATGCTGGGCCGCGCGGACTTCACGTTGTCCTCCTATCTCGCGCAGATACGCTGGAAATTCTGATCCTGGATTGGCGAGAAGTCAGATATAATCCTCTCATTGCACCTGGGTTGAGGATGCTTGGTTCTCTGCGACCTATGAGGAACTTGAAGTTTTTGGAGATCTGCGAACTTGGGTTTCTGAGCAGCGACCTCTCACTCTTAGACTTTCCCGATCAGGCCCTGGAATCAGAACTATCTGCTTTGTTACCCAAGAGCCGAGAGCATATGACGCTGCTCAACAAGGGCGACTTCGATAGCTACGGCGAAGATATCCTCGAAGATGCTTTATGCCTATGGCATTTTACTGGCGACCGCAGGACGTTGATGCCGAATCTGAGGACATTTGCATCAAAGTGGGACATAAGATATTGGCACCAAGCCTTACGAACGCATTGGAAGGGCTGGTGTTCAACTCTACACAGGTGAGCGGCCAGCTCGTGTGATTGATGAATCTTACCTGCAGCTTCTTCTGGCCCCTCACAAAACAGTTCTAAGTCTAACATACCACCTTTACCTCTGGCGTTTGCAAAGCTCCTTTAGCTTCCGCTTTGACACCGCTATCGATATAAAGATTACTACACTTCCAGGACGATGCTTGCTTGCTTCCTCCATCTCTTGGTCAACCTTGGTTTCAACCACCCACTAGCATTCCAGGTTCGTGACAGCCCTACCTCATTGGCTCTATCACATTCAACGTAGACGCTGCTCCCTCAGATAGGCTCTAGACGTTCAACTTGTCGACAATCACCAATGGCTTCCACTTCCGCAACAGAAATACCAACCTCCAATTCTGCGGTAGAAATCAAAGATGGCTCGCCTGACACACCACCTACCAAGTTCTCTCCACTCGACACCACCGTTGATACACCGCCTAGCTCGCCCGTCGCCGACATGAGCTCCCCGAGCACTGCTGCAGCTCCCGACACCGTCGAAAACATAACTGTTGTGGTGGTTCCCGAGCCTGTTCAACCTTCGGCATCGGCTGTTGAGTGTGACAATGGTCTCGAAGATGGAGAGATTGTTGGGCATAGTCGATCGACGAGTCCAGAAGCAGAGAAAAACAAGGAAGAAGTTTCAAGGACAGAGATCATCGGTGATCACACCACTACACAGCAAAGTCTCGTCAGCGCAGAATATATGGGTCTGCCCAAAGCAATGACCGAGAGCGAGACCGGTAGCGAAGATGGCTTTTCTGTGAGCACAGCTGATCCCGACGCTCCCGACGCAGCAGCAGCCAACAACGGAATTTGCGGAACACACCTCAAAAAGCTGGCTCCTGCCGTGGATTTATCCATTACTACTGGGGGACTGTCTGTTACATCCGAGGTGGACAGCAGTGAGGAGAAGGATGACCAGCACGACACCAAAGACTACAGGCAGACGAACGGTGTGTCGGAAAAAGATGGGACTGATGGGGGCAGCGAAGATGAGGCGTTTGGAGATGATGAGGATACGGCAGTAGAGTCGCAGAGGCACGATAATATCGCGCCAGCACTGCCTCGAAGAGCGCCTCCACACATGCGCCCAATGTTCAAAGCGCCGAATGCGCAATATTTTGGCTCTCAAGGGAGAAGAGTAAGTTAAATTCATCTCTGCACCGTATAACATACTAACAGATATCAGCGTGACTGGCCGGCTCCTATACTTTGTGCACCCCGCAATTACTATCCACCAGTAGGGTACCGGCCTTCTCGACCTCCGCTAGACTACGATGAGCTTCAGCGCACGAAGGCCCAACTCATGAAAGCCCGTAACGATCTCGAAGTCGAGCGAAAGGTCAATGCGGAGATGCGAAAGAGAGTCGGAGCCGAGAAACAAGCAAGCATCGGTGCTGCTATGTCCGACATGTTGACTGCCCTTCTTCAGAAGCAGGCAGATACGCTTGCGGCAAAGGCAAAGACTCAAGAGAAGGAGCGGGACTTGCAGTATCGTGAGCGGAAGATCGCGCAGCTTGAAGACTACCTCTCTGATGGGCAGCGGCAACTCAAGTACCAGCTCGAGCAGCAGGGTATCCGCTCTATGAGCGTAGTCGATCGAGCAAACTTGCGTCGCGAAGTCGAGCTGAAGGTCAGGCACCAATTCTCTGATATCGAAGGCAAGATCGCTATCCAAGTGGAGCGCCTTTGCCACCAAGAGGCTGCCCAGAAGATCCACGAGCGGCAGTACAAGGCGCTGATCCACGACGCTGTCGAGAACGAGATTCGCGAACAGCTTGCACGAGATGTGCAAGTTAAGATCGCCGATGCCAAAGTTGCAGAAGCAGCTTACAAACGTGGTGTCGCTGAGGGTAAGAAGGTTAGAGGTGCCGAAGCTTCCGAGGCAACCCTCAAGCAAGAGTTTTTGAAGGGCTACGCTGCATGCTATCGCTCTCAGACTACTCTGTACAACGTGCGCAATGGTCACATCGCCGCTGACAGCCCGGAACTTGTGTTTTTGTACGATCCCACGCAGGTCGAGAACACTCATAACTTGGGCCTCAGCATCGGTCGTATGGAAGTAGCGGCGGAGAAGGTCGAGAAGAGCACAGTGGGTGTCTTGGTTAGCCTTAAGTCGATGGAGGAAGGTGCAGCTCGGGCAGCCGCCATTACAGGCGAGCCACGGACAGCCTCAAGCGCAGCCACTTACCGCGTCCGATGTCAAGCTCAGTTCAACGATGCAGGCCCACCTCGCTCTTCTCAGGCTGCAGAACGCCAGCAAGAGCGCCCAACACAGACACAGAAAATGCAGCAGGAAGAGCCAACTCGCAGGTAAGTATCCAGAGCTGCTGCATGAAATCCTCACTGACCATACCACAGCTCCGTTCCTCCATGTGCCACCTTCGCCGGCGAGCTACGTGGCTCATCCTCATCTGCGACGCCCAACGGCATCTTCGCGAGCAGGTTCAACCCGCAGTCCACTCCAAACGCACCCAGGACCACTGCTACCCCTATCACGAACAGTGTTTCGAGAGTCGGCACGGTAGGTCATGTCAGCGAAAGTGTCTATGCTGGACGCCGCCCTATCCGCTACGAGGATGACTCTGATGTCGAGCCAGCGTCTCCAAACCTGATCGATCTGTACTAGGTCCGCAAGGTGCAGGCTTCTTGTGGGCTTGCAGAAGGTGTGTGGGAAACATCAACGACAAAGCTTGCCTAGCTGTTGATTGTAGGTCTTTGCGGAAGCGCTTAGGACAGCATGGCAGGCTAAGAATGGAAAGTTGGCGGATCATGGTCTAGCATGTAGTGCGGAGGTGAAGTTCTTGCATATCATTCTTGCACTGAGTGTGGAAGATCATAGTGTCAGAGAAAATTGACAAACCCGACTCACGTCTATCTCAATGTGATACCTCAACTGCATTTTGCAGAGCCGACGTATGTATACATGTAGAAAACGATGCAGCGTTGATGGAAGTCAAAGTGACGCGTGCCGGACGCTCCAGAATCGCGACTGCCTATTCCACACTAGGCCGGGGCAGCCTTCTTACACCAACGAGCAAGCAGTTCCCCTGGGAAACTGGTACTCTTCGATGAATTCGTTCCAATCTCCGAAAGCAGTTACGTCAACTGGGTCGGGCATGTCTTCAACTTCAGGCGACATTTGGTGTAGAGCAACCTGCTGATTTACCTCGGTAAGGATTAATAGCTGACTGAGGAGCGATGCGGTCTGGCCTTTTAAGAGGGTTCGAGCGGTCTCATCCTTCTGAGTCAAGGAATCCAGTGCGTCCATACACTTGTATAGGTCGTATGCATTCTTTTTACTTCTTCCACCTGGAGACAACGCTTCCTCCATCAGTACGATGAAGGTGATTTGATTTTGTTCTACGGTGGAAACGTACTTACGATTCTGTTTCGCAGCGCGCTTTTCGTTTACAAAGTGAGAACTCAGCTGTTCTGATGGATTGGGCAAGGGAATGTCTCTCGTCGGTGGTAGAGACAGCCACTTCTGCTAGAATATACGCGTCATTTGCACACCTGCGTCGGTTGCCCGCTGCTAAAACGCAGTATGCACTGCGCGAAGACTCTTTGTTTTTTCAATTGTGCGGTTTGTGACTTCCAATGCGACCAGATGAAGATATAGAGCACGTCACATATCAAACAAGGCATACGCTTCCGATATCATCTCTTTGAAGACACTCCTAAGGAATGCTGGGGCATGAGCATTCTCGCTTGCTACGTTTCTCCGATGCTGCAAAGTAGCATCCACACTCTCTTCGAAGTATTAAGGATCTTCACGCAGGTTCGCCAAATAGTCTTTAGAATTGTTGAGCATTGTTTGGAGGTAGTATCGTTGCCTCAGAAATTCGATGTTTGTGCGTTCTTGATAAGGGGCAAGTCGGGCGAGATCCGAAAGCTGATCGTCTCGCTGTGCTGCTCTTGCGCATAAACCAAGTTCAGACCTCTTTCTCCCGTCGATACCATGCTCCTGAGTCGCTCATAACATGACGCAAGGAAGCTGCAGATGCGTTGCTGGGTGTACAGAGCCTGTATCTCATGCAATACTAGGTTCCAAGCGTGTACGTAGAAGATCTGCCCAGGTATCTTGTTGGGACCTAGCTCCTCGTCCCGTTCGACTATCATGCCGTAGGTGCTAGGATCTGGGTTCCTACTGAACAAACTGCCAGTCCTGACGCAACTTCTCGAGTTAGTGGACCGAAGAAGTTCAACCTCTCAAGGTCTTCCCCTGCTACAGGGAAGCGAGAGCAGGGATGAACCAAAAGTCTTTAAGGTGTTTGATTGTTTGGGCTCTCATGCGCCACCACGCGCCAAACTCAAGTTCGCTGAGTGCGAACGTCCATAGCAGGTGGCGGGCGCGCGTTCAGATAAGTTGTGAGAGTCTCCGGTCCCAAAAAATCCCATGCAAGGACTCAGGCGTTTGGATATATTCATTCCATCTCCACATCATAACAGCGGTATGAGCGACCATGTCAGATTCGTTCTCATGAGGCATGTCTGGGAAAACACTTAAAAGCATCCCGCGTCGTGCGTCGGTATCCATGTTCGACCATTGGTTCAAGATAGCAGATCACGCTCTTCGAGACTTCTCCGACACCCGAAGGCGCAGAAAGCAGTGTCCTGAAGACGTTGTATGTGCGCTTGTCGACCCTAAAAGTGTTCTCTGTCTCGGACCCGGCGATATCAGGAGCCTGCACGGCGAAGTCTTCCACCGCGTCGGAATATGGTTAGCAATGCCTCGGGTCTTTGGCTTGATCTTGTCGACAGATAGTGTCGGGGTGTGGATCGTGAGTGATCAGTACGCATGTGCGGAAATATTGAAGGATTGAACTAAGGTTGTATTGGGTAAAGCTACAAACAGTATGTATAGGTGAGTAGCTGTAAACAACGCTAGTGTGACGTGGCAGTCACTCTCATGGCAGGTGAGGTTCGACAGGCAAGAGCACCCTGAACCGTGACAGAATCTCAGTTGAGAACGTTCGCAAATAATCAAAGAGAGGCCCATGTCCCAGCCTTGTAGCGTAAGTCTGTATAGCAAAGTTGTTCAGGTCTTTCTTCTTTCGATTGCATGTGCCTGTGACAATCAGACTGGTATCATTTGGATTGAGATTGACGTCCTGTGGTGCTCTCTCGCCTCGTCGACGATAGCCCTCAGGTACCATTGGAATTGAGTCTGTCTCAGAGGGTCCAGGAGTTGGCAGTTGTTGATTTGATTCGGATGCATTGTCAGCCATCTCACCCCCCACCTGGGAGCCTGCAGCTGTCGGAGCTGAGGTCGTAGGTGCTGTGCGGCGCTGACTAGCCGTCAACAGGTCTTCAATGCTGATATCGTCATCCTCAGGTGTAACTACGTGGGTTAGGTCACATGAAATCCTATTGTAGAAGGCACTGCCCGGTGGGCAAGTGCACTTACCTCTGAGCAGAGAGCTCCTGTACAAGAACATCACCGAACAACAACAGATAGCAATACAATCAGTGACCACAGCCTCTGGAACGACACTGCACACGCAGCTACATCAGGTATCTCAGGATACTCGAGTAGCTCAATCACCTCCTTGATCACTGATTGAGTAGCGTATCCATCCATACCTTCAAAGAAGAGTGTAGGCTCAAATACAACGTCGCGGGTGACTACGACAGTGTCCTTTTGAGTAGGAGTGTAGCTGCGAAGTAGCAAGTTACATTAATTACTATCGAGCTAAGGAGTGTTTCTCGTCTCTACGCGTTTTAGACATTGCTACCAATTAGAGAACCTGTCTAGCTCCCGATCTTGTGCGCGATGGGCTTGGTCAATAGCAGCACGCTGAGCGAGCTGAATAGGACCCATGCGATCATGGCGGAACCATCCCCAACTAATCGCTCGATATTTCTTTCCGATAACTTCCTCCGCGACCTTGCGTACGAAGTGCTGGCAATTGCCGGTGTTGCTCCCGAGGCGGAAGACCCTGGTGTACGTCCGTTTGTCGCCAGCTTGATCGCATATTCGATCTATTTGTTCATGTGTGAACGACGTCCATCCGACCTTTGCACATTAGCTACGACTAGCATTGTTCTTGATAGCCTGACTTACTAGTAGCAACTCATATATGTCCCCGCTATATGCATTGTTCAGATCTCTTACATGAGCAAGGTGCCTTACGGGCACGTCATGTTGGACCTCAGCGGTCCTATAGCGGACACGAGACCTATCCCGTGCCTCGGATACGTCTTTGAGTTCGTACTTGTGGCCATTGACAAGAAGTACATAATGCGAAACTTTGTCGATGCCAGTGGGACGGGACCAGTAGACTTTGTGCATGTCAGGGTACATTTCAAGCTCTTTCGACTCGTCCATGAACGCTCTCTGTACGCGTTTTTCAGTCTCGCTATTACGGAGCATGGTCTGAGCGCCGTTATTGTCATTCAATGGAGGAAACAAACGTCGTGCGTAATAGTTGTGTTCGGTCACTTCTGCACGAGGCCAGCTCTGGGACACTGTATGGAAAGTGCCATTCAACAAGTGTATCGGTAATCTTCCTGCCCAGTACATGGTGCCACTTGCTGCTCCTGCTGAAGCCCCTGCACTAAGTGAGCAAAGTTGGTGTCCTGAGCGGTTTATTGTTAGTGACGTGAGACTTCGGAGTCGGCAAAAGAAGCGCTAACCCTCGTGCTTCGCCATCGCGGCGAAGATCACCCCAGCTATTGCCCATGCTACAACAACAACCGGCGCTCTATTGCTGCCTGCGAGTCAGATTAGTTTATCTGTGCATATATAAAGATCATTGTGAGAATAGCAGACGACGGACGTACGGACTAGACCAAGATTGAAGTGCAACGCCGTCGGTATTGCAGATAGAAGGACCCAGAACGGAACTGCAATCACTATCAGTACTCATCTTGCCATGTGCTATGAAAAACGCATATACTCACCGTCTCCAAGGAGTAGCTGTGTCGTCAGAGCAGCAACAGCAACACCAAAGCTAAGGTAGATTGCAAGACATGCTGCGAAAATGAGCAGTACGAGCAGGACCGTTACCAAAGAAGAGAGAAGTATACTCCCGCATATGAAGTCAGGTGCTTCAACGGACCACCAAAGTCGCTTGGAGGTGGAGCTCGACGAGTTTGCTGTCCACGTCGAGATGGTCTGTTCTCGATTGGATACCATGACTCTTTGTCGGCTGCTAAGTTTATCCATCCATTTCGGAGCAGACGAAAAGGTGGGCTGCCATATCCTTTTCATGGTTCCGAGTAGTGAGATGAAGGTTGTGACTACCAGCCCAACTTCGAAAGCAATGACAGAGGGCGAACCATTTCCAACAGCTTGGGAGTTCGAAACGTGTTCACCAACGGCGACGGCGACTGGTCCGGCGGAGGCAGCTACGAGGATGTACCAGAGCTCTAGAGAAATGTATAGTGGAATGGCGCCGACATCATCAATCAAACGGAGGCTATCATCTATTGCATATCATCAGCTGCACTTGCCTTCGTCCTGGCGATAAATCCTACGTACAATCTGTGTATCTGTACATGGGCATACTTCTATGCATGAGATCGAAATCCATTATTTCGCGCACCTCTTGCAAGCTCAGCTACAAGCGAGCTAGGTTATATTGTAGCGGTGTGAACCGCTGTAGAATACTGATAGCTACGGTAAACAATAACGTAGGACTATCGGGTCGATGGAATACTGCGCTGGATTGCTATCTAGCTAGGAGGAGACGACTATATACCTGACCTGTAACACACTAGTCCAGGGTAGTGGTCAGGGGTATAGTCAGGCACTGTACGGACCAACCGATACCGCAACATATATATACACTCGCTTTGCGACACGCATTCTACAAAGGGGCGCGATTTCAATATCGTGTCACACCTCGCGTACCTTTATGGCTGACAGATAGCCGCCCACTTTGACCGGTGGGAAGCAAACCTAATGCGCGTGACATGGACATACCGTGTCCGTGCGCGTAATGCGCGGATTCGCGTAATGCGCCAAACCACCTTTTTGTACCCATACTTCACTGTACAATTACTCAACGCCACAATGACTATGAAATCTGCCTTTGAAGAGATAGACTCTATGATACCATGCGATAAGATCCCGTGGACAGCGCTGGCTAAAAAACATAAGGTTGTGCGCTCAACCCTGTCTCGAAAATATCGACACGAGACGCGATCGCGTGAAGAGAAGGCGATTGCACAACAAAAGCTCACTCCACAACAGGAGGACGAGCTTGTCAAGTATATAGAGGAGCTTACAGCTCGCCGTCTACCTCCTACAAGGGAAATGATAGCAAATTTCGCGTCGTCAATAGCCACAGAGCCAGTCAGC